GAAACCTTTGACGACGCCGTGCGCAAAGCCATTGAGCTTGCGGAGCGTGGAACATCAGGAGCACCAGCTCGCATCAATAAACCCGTCAATACTGCTACAATGGGCAAAAGGGCATTACGATCGTTTTCGACGGCACCATTTTCCAGCAGGATTTTAAGGAAACTTCAGGCGACGGCGGGTAGCACCAAACCAACGAGTCGGACTTTTATGACCTCGACAAGACATGGAGCTTCGTACAAAGATACTGTCCACAACTTGGCCATCAACCAGAAAACTCGTGTCATGTATCAAGGATTCACGGGAAAGGCCGCTACGAGCAATGCTCGCGAGGCCATCAAGTACGGGACCAAGATCGTGGGTGGTGTGTCTCGCTCTTCCAAGTCGTCACTGTCAACACCAACAACACACCCGGATGCGGCGCTGTCGTCGCTGCCCATCTTCAACACTGTGCGTGAAGCGGCCGACGTGGTCAAGCCCGACGCGACCGCGGTGTTTATTCCAGCTCAGTTTGCAGCCGGTGCCATTATCGAGTCTATCGAGGCAGAGATCCCCTTGATCGTCTCGGTGGCGGAACACATCCCGGTGCACGACATGCTCCGTGTCCAAGACGTGCTCCGTACACAGTCCAAGTCACGCCTCGTCGGACCAAACTGCCCTGGAATCATATCGCCCCTGCACGCGTGCAAAATCGGCATCATGCCACACGAGCAGTACAGCCCGGGATGCATCGGGATCGCCTCCAAATCTGGCACACTGTCCTACGAAGCGGTCGGCTCCACGACGCAAGCCGAACTGGGACAGTCGCTGTGCGTGGGTGTGGGAGGTGACCTGTTGCCCGGAACTAGTCTACTGGACGCCGTAACGGCCATGATATCCGACCCCGACACCAAAGGCATCGTCCTCCTCGGTGAGATTGGTGGTGATGCCGAGATCCAAGCGTCCGATTTGCTCAAGCGATACCGCGATGCAGAGTTGAAAGCTGGCCGCATTCCAAAACCGGTGGTCGGCATGGTGACTGGGCGAACAGCTCCTAAAGGCAGGACCATGGGCCACGCTGGTGCAATCAGCGGTTCGAGTAGTATCACGGCTGAGGACAAAGTCAGAGCGATGCAAGATGCTGGAATCGTTGTTCCTGTGCATCCCGGGGAGATCGGCCCTCTTATGAAGAGGTTGTTGCAGGAAAGCAGAATCAAGTATTAGGTTGACAAGCTGAGGAATTCTCAGACATATCACGAGTCAAGATAAGGTATTTGGGAAAGTAAGAGAAGAATCAGTGCACCGGCGCTGCTTCTGATGGCATTGGGTAAATGGAGATTGTTTGATTCTTTTAAGTCCCTCCCACCTTATCTTTGCTGTTTTGTGAAAGTACTGGGGACAGCTCAAAAAAGTCCCCAAGTTGGCCTTCTAGCCAGCCATCAGAAATCAGATCTAGAGATGAGCCTCGACGGGGCCAGTATCAACGCCGCCGGCCAACTCGGCAGACAGAACCGAACCGATGGCCTGATCTAGAATCGAAAGAGCCTTTTCAACTTCTTCAAAAGATACGGTCAACGGAGGGGCTATTCTGAAGATACCAAAGGCCCCAGGCAGAGACACAATCTGACATGAGAGACCCAGATCAAGCGCCTTTCCAGAGATTGCAGCTCCCAGCTCGGCGGATTGAACTTTGGTGATCGGATCGCCAATGATCTCTATACCTTGCAAGAGCCCGCGACCTCGGAGCTCGCCAATACACCAATATTTGTCCTTAAGGCGTAAAAGGCCTTCCCGCAACTGGTCTCCACGATCTCTGGCTTGCTGTACCAGGCCGTCTCTTTGCACGATTTCAAATACCTTGCATCCCACCGCGGCCGGTAGCGGGTCATTTTGATGCGTTGTGACCCAGAGGAATCCTCCTTTTACTGCCGCTTCCGCTATCTTGGCGGTGGTACTGACAGAAGACAGTGCGATCCCACATCCAAGGGACTTGGACATGGCGAGAATGTCGGGGACGATTTCGTCTCGCTGAAATGCAAACATGTCTCCGGTTCGTCCCAACCCGGTCTGCGCCTCGTCGGCGATGACAAGCATGCCACGCTTTCTGCACTCCATACTCAGCCGTTTCAAGTAGCCCATTGGTGGTTCGATGATCCCTCCGGCAGATAGGATCGGTTCAAATACAAAAGCTGCGAGCGATCCGACAGACTGTTGGTCAATCATAGCCCAACCAAAATCCATTTCGGTCTCCCAGTCATAGGTGCCATCGGGTTTTCTGAAAGGTGAACGGGAGCCATGAGGAGCAGGAAAGGCCAACTGACCCGGCATGACAGGGCTGCCGTGTTTACGGCCCATGCAGTAAGTGGCTGAGGCGACACCGTATGTCGCTCCATGGTAACTTGCAGAGAAAGCCACGATCTCGAATTTTCTGGTAGCTCGTTTGGCTATGCTGATGGCAGCTTCGACGGATTCCGAGCCGGTTGAAAGGAAATAAGACTTCTCTAAGGGCGCCGGGAGTATTCGACCAAGCGTGGCGGCAAGGTCAACCACTGGAGGAGAAAGAATCGTACTGTTGAGATGATCCAGGTTCTCAATGTATTCTTTGACTACTGCAGCAACTTCGGGGTGGCAATGACCAAGACTTGCACTCATTTGACCAGATGTGAAGTCAATGATCTCTCTATTGTCAACATCATATATCATCGTGCCCTTGGCTCTGGTGACAATGGTTGGCGTGTATGGCGCACCGGTGCTCATGAGATATTTGTCCGCTTGGGACCAGAAGGTAGTGCTATCGAGGGCCATCTTGACTATCTGGAGACCAAGAATCGAAACTGGAATAGACTCTGGGAGCCGAGAGAAGGGTTTTCAAGACGAGAGCATCGACTTTGTACTCTTCTGAAGTGGTTCCCCGCGGGAAACATCTCTGTGTGACTGGCCGCGGGAAATATGGCCAGAAGTGGATACCAGCCTGGTTGCCCGCGGAAAACTGTGTATTTTAGCTTGAAAAGAAGTCTACTCTTATCAAGACTAGAAGATATGTGAATGGTTTCCCGGATTGTAAATTATCGAGGTCGGTGATGAGTATTCGTGATAGACCTTGGAACACATCTAGAAGATAACAGATCTAAACCATATGATCAGTTGTATATCAGGGCCGTCCTCATGGATACCCTTATAGCGTCGCTCTACGACTCAAATCCAGCTCTTGCACTCATCGAGTACCATCCACTTTATTGTTGACCCGGCCTTCCAACATGGGCGTCGAAAAAGAGACAGAGATTACCACTCAGAGCCAGAATTCATCCGAAGACGAACCCAGTGACAAGCAAGTTGGTGAAATCTCTGCCGCCACCACCCTCGGAGAGGCACTCGACGTGTATGGAAATGCTGCGACGGCCGAAGAGCTTGGATATGTACAACGAGGGTATGTATAATACTTGTCATCTTGGGTCATGCCACTACTAAGACCTTCACAACAGTCTCAAATCTCGCCATCTTCAGTTCATGGCACTGGGAGGTACAATCGGAACTGGTTTATTCCTAGGTATAGGCGAAGCTTTTCTGATGTCTGGTCCCCTCTCGGTCATCCTTGGGTTCTCCATCACTGGAGTTGCTGTGTATGCCATGATGGTGTGTCTGGGAGAAATGACGACCTGGTTGCCTCTTCCTGGAGCTATCCCTCAGTACTGCACTAGATATGTCGACCCTGCAATGGGCTTTGCAGTAGGCTGGAACAATTGGTATCTGTCAGCCATCGCCATCTGCACCGAAATATCTGCTGCCGCTGTATTGGTCCAGTTCTGGGACGATCAAATCACTCCAGCCGCATGGATCAGTATCATCATCGTGGTGGTCGTTTGTTTGAACATCTTTGCTGTCTCCATATACGGCGAGGCCGAGTTCATATTTGCAGCCATCAAGATTTTAACCATCCTCGGCCTTTTGATCATGTCATTCATCTTGGACCTTGGCGGCAGCCCTACCGGAGATCGTCTTGGATTTCGGTATTGGACAAATCCAGGACCAGTTATGAGGGAAGTGGTCGCCACTGGAGATGCTGGTAGGTTCTTGGGTCTCTTCTCGACTCTCATATTTGCAGCCTTTTCTTATGGTGGTGTGGAAATGGTTGCATTGGCAGCTGGAGAGGCTGTCGACCCTCGCAAGAATATCCCCAAGGCTGTGAAGCGACTCTTCTGGAGGATTGTAATATTCTATGTGTTGGGATCCCTTGCCATCAGCGTTCTTGTTCCATCCAACGACCAGGAACTCGGCAGCGCTTCACCATGGGTCATTGCCATCCGTAATGCAGAAATTCGCGTTCTCCCAAGCATCATCAACGCCGTCATAATCACTTCAGCATTCTCCTCGGCCAACGCATTCCTGTACGTGGGCTCACGATACCTTTTTGGCCTCGCTCTACATCACCAAGCTCCTCGGATCTTCCTCAAATGCACGAGCCGCGGAGTTCCTATCTATGGCATTGCTTTCACTGCCATGTGGAGTGGCCTGGCGTACACTGCAGTGTCTGCGGGCGCATCCAGAGTGTTTAACTGGTTCCGAACATTCGGCACCGTTGCCGCACTTTTGACTTGGTGTAGCATCTGCGTTGCTTACCTGCGCTTCCGTCGAGCGCTGCAACAACAAGGGGTTGATCGCGATACGCTGCCTTTCAAATCTCGGTTCCAACCATACACTGCATGGGTGGCTTTGTGCTACTTCTCGGTAATCATCCTGTTCAACGGATGGCAGGTATTCACCAAGGGCAATTGGTCAGCCCAGGGATTCATAACTTCCTACATAGGAGTTCCCATCTACTTTGTCATGTATCTTGGGTGGAAGTTCTGGAAGCGAACTTCTCTCGTCAAGCCAGCAGAGGCAGACCTTTGGACCGGCAAGGTTGCGTTGGACGCCAAAGTATGGCCAAATAAACAACCTAGAAATTTCCTGGAGAGAATTTGGCTCTGGATTGTTTGATTGCGAGGACTTGGAAGGAAGTGTTGGGGTAGAGAAACAACTGGCACTCAATCTGCTGTATCTAGAAAGTAGTTCCCTGTGAATTCCGAAAACAATCCATTCAGGGCAGCAATGTCCATGTCCATTGGCATTGGCTCCTGCAGTTCCATTGTGTTTGAGCTTGGTCCTTGACATGCAGCCTCAATCTTCTCCATCAGGTCGCTACAGTTTGACAGACAATTGTCTGCCAGATCCCATGCATAATCGTGGCGAAGAGACCTGAGTGCATCGATCATAGCCTTTGCAAGTTGTAGCGAGGGATTCCGTACAAGCCCCTTGGAGGTGAGAGCACTTCTCATCAGGAAAGTGGTTGCTGATGTGAGGGAGTAGGCATTGAGTGGGATCCAAAAATCTCGACAATGTGTTTCATCAAGTCCTCGAACAAAGTCTACAATCTCCTCAGAGACCCGGCGAGCTTGGATGTAATAAAGAGAATCCACATCATTGATCTGAAGGGAAGCTCTGTCAAGATCAAGTTGACAGCGGCGGACGACGAGTTTGACGGAGAGATAAGCCAAACGAAGATTCGCTGCACCAGGTCCGGCAAGGCCTGTTCCTCGAATGACCAATCGACGAAGGCTGTCCGATAATGAGTCCTCCCAGTGAGTCAACAGATTCTCGAGACCAAGCGGGGAGCCCTCGGGCTTCTTGGAGAAGTCATTCCCTAGGCGATAAACCAACTCCAAGCAGTGGCCGAGGACATCAGTTAAAGTTGTGAAAGCCACGAAACAGTGGGCTGCGGCTATTTGGTCTGTACTGGAGCAGGGACTGTATAGATCTTCGGCAGCCGGGGCTGGGACATCATGTTGCGTTCGATGGATCAAGGGTGGGGTCCCATATGCCAGGCTGCACCTACAGGGATCTTCAGCGAAGAGCCAGAGTTGAGAGACGACACAATCTTACCAGCGATCATAGACAAGGAGAATCCTCCAAATTCGTATCCTGAACTTCTTCTCTGTCGGTGATAGATTCCAGACTGTTGGATCTCGATTCAGGCCGAAAGCATTCGCTAGTGCAACGGCCATACCCAACAGACCGCCGTTCCCTAACATGTGGCTACTAGGTCTCCCAGAGAGGTTTAAAATGATAGATATTATCGTGGAAATCCCAGGTGTGCATTTGAACTCTGCCGTCATGGCATTCTCGGCCTGTATCCAAATCGAGTAGTGGTCAGGACATTGAAGCACGCGTAGCCTTGGAGAAGAGTCCCAGTACGTCAGAGTGTTCCCGTACAGAGTAGCCAGCAGCCCTGGTGAAATCTTCTCTTTCTGTGTTGCAAGGAGTCGGCGAAATAGTGATTCATCGAATATGGGAAATGATATGTTCATCTTTTCAAAAAATCTGTTCGAGCCTATGAGCAAGGACCACAAAATGGATATTCTCGGATCATGACTGAGTACTCACAGGTTTGTAAGCTCATCCCGATAAGGCTCGATGGTCTTTTCGATGCTTGCACACTCCGAAGCTGCTAGTGCTCGACCTTCTGCTTCTCTGCTCCCACGTTTCGGGATCGTGTTGAAAACGATAGGTCTCGAAGGTCCACTTGAATTATACGAGTTGGGGTGAAATCGCACTGTCCGCCCACTTTGGCCATATGGGGTATTGGAAAGATACTCTTGGAATACTTTGTCATCGTCAGCAATTGCAGGACTCACTACATGAGAGCTGCCTTCCCCGGATTTAGCGATAGAATCTATCACAACGGAGATCAAGTCGTCATGGTGCCCAGTAGATGGTGAAGGAAGCTCGTGATAGTCTGAGATGTTTCCATTTATTGACGCATCCAATTCACTTCGTGGGGTGGTATCTGGTTGCAGCTCGAGTTGCGATGAAGCCGGCGAAGGTGAAGCCAAGCTCCGAAGCCTTGAAACTTCGTTTGGTGAAAACACGGTGGCAGATATTCTCTTTGAAGGTGTTTTGAACAGACCCTTTGTTCTTCGTGGACGTTCAGCTGCTTGGGGAAAGACACAATCAGTGCCATTTGTCTGGCACATTAAGCAAGAAGGCGATGTATGTGTAGTTTTGCATCTGGATTTTCTTGATCGACATGGGATGCAGGCCGGGTGCAAATGTGACCTGTACGGCCTCCCCTCGACTGTGACATGCTGTTGTTGACGGATTGCGGTGTCCATGAGGAACGAGTAGAATGATTGAATTGTGCCATTGAGATCGTCTATCAGTCTATCCTTATCGTGGGCCACAGCATCAGTCATTACTGAAAGTCGGTGCCATCTAGTCTAATCTAATCTAATCTACTTCATATTAGTCACTAGCCTTCGAAACAGCATCGCGTCCTGCGCCTATCACTGCACTGTGATCAACCTCATCCTCTTCCGTCTCAGTGATGCATGCGCTGTTGTCAAGCCAGACGAGACAATAGCCAACCGCGAATTTCTCATTGAACATGTGCTGCATAAAGCTTGAAATCCCTCAAGCCAACATGACGACGCGTCGATCCTCGTGAAACACTGACCACAAGATCCTTTCCAAACTCCTACATTTAGTGCGAAGAACGGCTCCCAGTAGCTTCAGATGAGGCGGTTCACATTGGCATAATGAAAAAGAGACGAAATCCACGAAGAGCTAGGAGCAAGTCAGGCCAGCTGAAATGCGGCAAACGATAAAACCCATTCGACACACACCTCGACTTCCGCATTTTGAATCACTACACTCGCGATCGAGGATGTTCGAAATAAATGGCTCGCTGCAATAGATCGTGGTAGAATCGGCTTACCGTTGGAAAATCGCACAATCTCGTCCAATTGCACAAAGTTCTCATACCATTCTCTATGCTAACCGCAATTCGCCAGGTCGCTCTGATCAGTCTATCAATGAAAACATCTTCAAAGACCTTAGATGTTCGCTTGTCTTGACTTCTTCCTCGACCACTCGTCGAAGGTCCTCTCCGCGTCCGCGAGCCCATCAAACCCAAGCAAACTCTTCTGATATTCGGCATCACCCCAATTAAAGCTACACGGGCCTTGCCATGCACTATCTGGCAGACTCGCCAACTCTTTGTCGCGACGAATCTGCTCATCTCCGTCGGACAAGTGGTAGTAATGTCGAGTATCCACGGCACCTGCGACATTCACCTCGGTTCTTCTCTTTCTCAGATCTTGGTAAAGAAGCAGAAGGTCGGACAATTGCTGATTTCTCTGGTCAGGCACATCAGAGATACCCTGATTCTGCAACCGGGATAAGAGCAATGCGAGGATAGCGCCATCTTCCACAGCCATAGCAGCACCTTGTCCCTGGTATGGCAGTGTCGGATGAGAAGCATCTCCAAGAAGCGCAATCACGCCCTGTCCTTGTCAGCCTCATTCGTCCCCAGCATTCTCCCTGACTCACCTTGGTCCATTGGTCGAGTTCTTTGAAATGGAGAAGTTTCCACTTCAAAGCAGACTTCAGACATGAAATAATGGTATTCAAGCTGCCATCGTCAGATCAATTAATTGACCCAGAGCAATAGCAAAATCTTACATTGGATCCCATCCTTCAAAGTTTGCCGCCATTTCCTCCAGACTTCCCTGTGACGTTCGAACGCCTTCAGGTAAATCATCCCCAACGCTTGAGATTCGTGAGCAGGAGTCTTCAGTGCATATTGGGATCACTCACAGAAGTACCAAATTGTATTCCGTTTTGTTTCTCAACGGATAGAAAACGGCGTGTCTTCCTGGACCCAGCCAAACCTGTACATTCTCGGCTTCCATCAACTGGTCGATTCTTTCATTCTTGAAGGACTTCAAATGTTCCCTTGTGAAAGTCCCTCGATACGCAAGATCTCCAGTCTCGACAGGCGGGAACGATCGACCCAGAACGAGTTCCCTGACTCCAGACCACAAACCTGTCGGGAGTGTTAGAGAACCACCAGGACACAATGAGAGAGGCAATACCATCTGCTCCAACTACCACGTCCGCTACCAGACTTTTCCCGTCTTTCAGCACGACCATGTGCTTTCCGAAAGACTCCCCGATACCCTCGGCGATGCCAATAACTTCAGCATTTGTGAGTATGTCAGCTCCAGCTTCTCGAGCGGCTTCCAGCAGAACACTTTGGTAATCTCCTCGGTGAATCGCACTGTTCGAATTAGTATGAAAGTCGTTCCAGGACTGTTCCTCGCTTACAGCCATTCTGCGCCATATTCGGTCTTCATCCTCATGCCCATAGGCTTCTCGACCAGAACGTTACCATTCTGATACCTTCTCAGCGTAAACCCTTTGACTTGGTACCCTCCTGCTTGCTTGAGCTTGTCCAGTAAACCCAGAGAAGAAACAACCCTGCAAGCATTGGGTGGAATGTGAATTCCAGCGCCAATAGTAAGAATCTCAGGTGCTCTCTCAACGACAGTCACAGGCAATGGCGGATTTGCTCGTCGGCATGCAATCGCACAGGCTAGGCCACCAATTCCCGCACCAACCACCACGACATGAAGGCCGTTCTGCAACTATAACAGATGATAAACTCGCAATGTCAGACCTAAATCTTGTGAGCACTTACCGGCTTGTGTTGGTTGTTCATGTTTCGTTGGACCTATTATCGTATCGAGAGTTCGGATATGCAGCTTATTTGCCCAACAACATTCGAGTGTTTGACAACTCAGAGCATCGTGCCTAGTCATATTTAGAGCAAAGCTGGGGCATCATTATACCCCGTATTTTTTTACCTGTTGTCCCCCGAACCACCGGCTCGGAGTTTCCGCTGTTCCTTGATGATTTGGCATGATCATGCATGGCTGAGTGTACTGCGTGCTCTATCTCGTGGGCAGGGGCAAAGGCCTGGGGACCTGGTGCACCGCCCATTCGTACATTGAAAATCTGCCTTGTTCCGAGACCTCGTTCCGCTTATTGTCATCCTCGAAGACGTGTGGGACCCCCCAGGCCGTCGTTACCTGGTGGTTGGGCCCGTGCTTAGCTGTTCGAGGCCCCTGGCATTGCTCGCTTTAAGACCCCCGTCCACGCCTTTTGCTGACTACATTATGGCCTAAGCATGCCCGCAGGTGGATACGGACTTGTGGTCGATAGATTGAATCTTACCAATTGATGCCGTTCGTGCCGCCGATTTTTGGAATTCATCGACTTACGCCTGGCACACAAGCCACAGCGTCTCATTCTTTTGACCGAAAAATGTCGCCCCCGTAGATACAGTCAAGAGTCTGTCCTGAATCTATCCTCTTCTTTCTCGTCTTCACACCGCTCTGCTTCGTGACCAAGTAACTTTCAATCCTTCAACACTTTGTGAGGTCATGATGGCCTCCTCGAGCGACATATCACGTGGTACCACTAGGACTTCGGAAGGAGTTTCGGCGTCGACCATGCGACCCCAGAGACGTTCCAGGGCCAAAGATCCAGCCGATCGGAAGAGGGCTGTCTATGTCGAGGAGGCCTGTATCTTCTGCAAAGGTCGCAAGATCCGATGTGATGGAAAGCTGCCATGTGGACCCTGCCAGCGAAGGTCCTTTGACTGCCGGTACACGAAGCCTCTACACGGCGACGGTCATTTAGGGAGTAATGCTCCAGCGAGTGTATCAGGAAGTCCTTCTTCCAGAAATTCCGACTCTGTGTAAGCCGTTTCCGGGAGACGTTTTGATTCGATCAATTGTCTAACCTCTTTCTTTGGTTCAGTGGACTCTCAGAATTGACGGATATCGTGGCCCGTCTGCAAAAGAAGATTGCCATCCTAGAACGGGGAAATGCTACGTCTAGTAGTCGAGATGAGGTTTCCGAGGAGCACGGAATCGGTTCGATAAGCAGCCATGCTCTCCCTAACGATGTGGTCGAGACACAGCAGCAATGCATGCAAGACTCTACTGCGCCAGGATCATCACCAGTCTTTGCAGGCCCAACCAGTGCAGAGTTCAGCTTCGGTGTCGCCAACATCATTCTAGAACAGGAAAATGGTGCAAGCCCAGGCCAGTCCAATCAAAACCCTGAGCTGGCAGCGGCCTTGAGTTCCCACGAGAGCGAAGATCAAAATGTACCCACGTCGCAGGGTCCCATATCTCCAGATCAAGCGGCACTGCCATTGCACGGTCTTCAGCTGCACGATACCCTCCGGCTGATTCAGCTGTATCATGAAACGCTTGGGATTCTTCATCCAATCGTCGAGATTGACGCGTTGATTAGAACGGCCAACTCTGTCTTTTCAGTCCCCAACAGTATCTCAGACTCCTTCAATCAGCCTACCACCTTGCACCTTGCTCAACTGAAGATGGTCCTGGCAATTGCACTGCTGGGTGAAGGTGGAGGATCGTGTCCACTGGCAAAGATACTTCACGAAGACCTCAAGCCAGTCATTTCAAGCCAGACAATGGCACGGACATTCACTTTGGAAGGCCAGGCTCTCCTTCTCCTCACAGTGAGTCCTCCCTCGCTCTCGAATAATGGCGTTCACGGCGTCTTTGAGTTACTCGTGCGTCCGTGCTGACTTCTTCCAGGCATATTTCCACGTAAACCAGGATGACTCGAGACTGGCCTCACGCTACGTGGTGATTGCCTCGAGGATCATGATCGAAGCTGGACTCCACCTCAAGCACATTCGCCGACGCCTTTTCCCACACGCGGCAGAACACTCGAGGCTTCTTGTTGTTCTGACCACTTGCATGTACCTCGATAGGCAACTCAACTTTAACGCGGGATTGCCCCTGACTATGAAGGAAGCAGACGTTGACATTCCCGAGGGAGTAAGTTTGATCTTCCAGAATTGTTTTGATCAGCTCTGATACTTTGTCATAGGAAACGATGCCGGCATATCTGGCGGCCATGAGCTCGTACATGCGCATGGGTCCTCGAGCGTGGGCGTCCGTGACCGACGACCGTGGTCGACTCAAATACCGAATCAACAGTGAAGATTTCGAATTCATCGACTTCCAAGTGCGCCGATGGCAAGCCAATTTGCCCGAAGACCTACGGATGGATAGCTCACTCGACAATCACGAATCCGAAACCGAGATGGCCTTCAACAACAAGACCCTGGACAAAGGCACCCAGAACCTGCGATTCATTTTGTACCTACGGGCCAACCAGTTCAAGATCGTCATCATGAGACCACTCTTGTTCTCGTCGCAGACGCTCCAGGCCAACCTCGAACACGTCCACAAAATCGTCCACCTCGCCACCGACAACATCTCGACCATTGTGACCATGAATGAGAGACACGGCTTGTACGAGAAACAACAACCACTACTCAATTTGTTCTTGTCTTCTGCCTTGTCCACCTTGTTTCTCATCTACGTCCACTTGATCTCGAACCCACCACAGCAACAGCAAACGAATAACGACCCCCCTCAACCGCAACAACGACCAGAATTCATCAAGGACGTCCAGCAAGGAATCAACAAAGGTTTGGAGTTGTTACGAATCTACTCATACTGTCGCTCTTCGCAGCGTCTGTCCAACAAATTCGCCACGCTCTTACACCGGTTGGGTTTTTCAAAGTCGACACAACAGCAACAGCAACTACAATCTCATTCTGGTGGTGTAGAGAACAACACCCAACAACTGTCACAGCCTCATGTGAACCCTTCACACTCGCCCGCCGACGGCATGACCAAAGATATGGTCATGGTTGGAGCTACCGACTCCTCGTCCAACTCCGGCTCTCTGTCCTCGGGGACGGCTTCGTTTGAATTCTCGAGCTGGAATTGGTCCAACTTTTTACCCATGGGGAGCAGCCCAGGTGGTGTTTCCAACCCGCCGGGATTTCAATTCCAGCCCACGAACAATCACCACGATTTCGCTTCCTTTTCGTACCCGGAGTTGAACCCGATCCCCGTAGTACCGCCCAACGGCACAGGTCAATTCAACGACGACATGCTCTTGACATTTATCAATGATTTCTCTTAGCAAAGGGTTTGACCACAAGTATGAGTTGATGTGGATGGGAAATATGAATATGACTGTTTCGATTTTTGGGTTCGATGGAGAATTAAATGATTGACCCATCCATGAGATAATACGGTATTGGTTCGTTGGACGTTTTTTAATCTATAAAAATCACGAGCATGTAACATGTAGAACACGAAATAAATCTCATCATGATGTCTATCTTGTCAAGACAAAGGGAAAACCGACCCCTTCTAGGTCAATTGTCAGACCAGACAGAACAGTAGTTTGATCGATCTTGCTTGCTTCATTCTGACATCTCCATCACTACTCGTGTCTTTAAACCCTGGCAATAAAGATATCTATAAATCTCATCCTCAGACTCAGACTCTCTCAACCCCTTGACAAAATCGATTTCAGAACCGTCCTCAACTTGTTCTCGCCATCCTGTTCCCATTTCTGACATCTCCAGGCGACGAAATAATCAGGCCTCACCAACACACAACCAGACTCCTCGACGTCCCTCACCTTGACCCAATCGAGGTACCTGTCCTCGTAATCTTGCCTCCAGCCTATTGAGTAAGCGGCCAGGGGAATACCCAGCTCGGCCGAGACCTTGGCTGCGGCGTCCTTCCAACCCTGGCCGCCAATGCCGGTGAACAGACAGAAACTGGCCTTGCCGGCGAGGTCGAGAGTCGAGATGGCCTTTGAGGGGACCGTGTTGCTCAGCCACACGTGCGGCAATCTGGCACCCGGGTAAGTGGTCGGGTGGTAGTGTTCCAGGGGATCCGTGGCGAAGGTGGGCATGGCCCCTTGGTCAGACTTGTACACTGCCGACGAGGTGTATCTTTGGTTCATCTCGATGCCCAAACCGTGCTCTTCTCGGTTGATGAGTCTCAAGCACGCCTCCAGGTCTTGACGGCGTTTCCGGCCCCTCTCCGAGTCCTCCTTGAGGATGTTGAAGGCCTCCATTCGCTTCTCGACCGTGGGTTCGAGGTTGCCCAACACCTCCCAGATTTTCTTGTGGTTTCGAAGAGAGGCGTTGGCTCTGAAAAGGCAAAAAAAGTCAGCTTGTTCGTGTTTCCTTTGTCCTGATTGTCCAAAACTTACTGTGTGACTACGTCCAGGCCTACAGGTTGACGTTCGATACTAAAACTGTCGAGCAATTCTCTCCCAGCCAGTCCTGTAGTTTGCTTGTCAGCAAGAAATCTTGCAGTATTTCTCGTTCCAGTCTTCGTGCTTACCTTTGTGGACCATGGCCACTTTCCAAGCCAAATTGTGAGCATCCTGAATGCAAGTGTTTGAACCTAGGCCGTGGTTCGGTGGGTGTCGGTGAACGGCATCACCTAGACAAAAAACATCTCCCTTGGAGTAGGCTTCTGCCGCCGTCTCGTTGATCATCCAGGTAGAGATGCCCTTGATCTTGACCTCGATCGAATCATCCCCAATGAACTCACGGACGCGCTGCATGTATTCTTCGGGGGTCCGGACTTTTCTCTCGGCCTCTGCGGTGGGGAAAATGATGCACAGCCATTCGAACCAGGGTTTGACCATTCTGATACATCCGATCCAGGCGAAATCAGGGTGCTCCTTGTCTGGGGTGAGGAGCCAATGCAGGTTGCCCATACGGTTCTCCATGAGATGTGACATGTCAGCCTCCATGAGAATGTTGATGGCGAAACCCTGGCCGGGTCTCTTGATCATTGGGATCCCCGTCTGTCGCATGATGGGACTGCGGGCACCGTCGGCACCAAAGAGAAACTTGGATCGAACTTTGAAGTCGCGCCCGCTGACCTTGTCGTGCAAGGTGGTGGTGACACCCTTACCCTCGGGTTCCTGCACATAAGATACAAAAGTCGTATCCCAGCGGCTCTTGAATCCATTCAGTGTCGCATACCGTATCAGCAGAGGCTCGAGCAGAGTCTGTGGTAAGTCCAATGGGTCTGAGGGACTGGCGAGTTCGTAGTCACCCTGCAAAATGTAAGACAAGCGCCGGACCGCATTGCAAACAACAACACCTACCTTTCTTTTCGGGTCGTTGCCCCATGAGTATATGCGCGCATACTCCTCTCCGGCAAAGCTATTCGACCATCGGGTGTGAACCATCGAGTCTCCCGAGGTGCCAATGATGTAACAGTCTCTGTCTACACCAATATCTCTCAGGCAGTCTAGGTGGTGTTAGAAGGGCCCATGTTCTTTCAGAGCAAATAGTGGTCGGTCTTACCAAGGGCAGCCATATTGGTGATATGTGCTCGTGGCGTATCTGCATTGCCGGGATCTTGACTCACAATCAAGCCAGTCAATCCTGTGATGAAGAGCGTTCAGTCAGAAAGGACAACTCTCGTATCATGCATGCCAATGCGCTCACCATGTTGAGTCAGGAAAGATGCCAATGCGCCGCCAGCTGGGCCTGTACCGACGATGAGGTAATCTGTAAACACTTCGATTCCCTCGTCATCGTGTCCAGCTCCGTTGACGCCGTTAGTTTGTGCCATGATGTTCTGCTGCTAGTGCTGGCTCTTTACGTGGAAGAAGGAAGTCGTCAATAATCTACAACAAACCGCGACTTGTTGGATCTGATTTGTTTTTTTACTTTTTTATTTTTTTGGGTTCCTGATCAGTAAAGGAATTCGCGTTCCGTCAGTAGTCGCTCCACTCGAGTCGCCCGTACCCTTCGTATCCCGTAGAGAATGACAAGATCGGGGCTTCCCATAACCCCATGGGTTGTCGATTTGGCGCGCAAAGAACCTTGGATTCTTGGGGCCAGTACTCCGTTTAGGAGGCACTCCGTACTCCGTCCAGTGACCGTTGGAAAGCTCCGGCGGCGGTACCGAAGTCGCCAAAAGACCGCGTGATGTGATGGATCCAGGCGGCAGAACGCACAAAGTCGCTAGACATGTGGCCTGGGCTTGCGAACGAGCCACTAGGACATTTGGCAGGGCTTTGGCCGGAACTCGATGGGGCCAACCATCTAGCAAAGAACCAGGGTAACACTCGTATCATCGAGGTCGGGAAGGACTGGGGTTTGAGATCTTGCGGAACCCCATCTCTGCATTCTTCGTCTTCCCTCGAGTTGAGCTCTGTTGATCTGCCTCTTCTACCCCTGCCGTGGAGGATGTTGTGATGACTCGATGATTCGCTGACTATTCTCGTCCAAGTGCATGCGTCTCCCCCGGCACATGTCTGCAACGCTATTGCGACGAATCTGCCCAAAGTCAGACACTTTCAGTAGTGACTCGGAGTAAATATATTCCAGGAACTGTGGTCAACCCTGAGCTTCATTACTCCACATTCATTATGGCTAGCAAAGAGGACATCGAGTAGTAACGCCTCACAGAGTCGAGTTGAGCTCTCGCGAATATATGTACAACGCCATGTAAGCAGGGTAAATATTGAGCCAGCAGATACTCCGTAATGCATATCCTCTTTTCATATCTCGTCATCTTTCGTCCTCCTTGATACGTAGTCCTCCACAGTAGTTGACACGGCTGGATCAATTGTCCATTAACCTATCCAGTGTCGCTACCATCTCTGAACAACATGGCCAAGGAAGTTTGGTGAGTTCATTCTTGAACATACTTAATACTCTCAGCGTACCGTATTTGAGGTCGGTGGAGGGTTGAGAGTGCAGCTTTTTCCACACAACCAGCGAAGACATGAACAGAATAATTGGCAGCCAGATGGACATTTTGTGTTCAGGAGATTTCGATGCTTTGTCACAATTGTCGAGGACTAACCAGGCAAGGTCGATGGCTTTGTCTGGTATATCAAATTTGGTATTGGACTGTGGTAGACTGGGAACATTATCGGCACCGTATCCGGCCAATTGAGGGAGCTCCCAAAGATTTGGGCACATTAGGTAGACCTTGGTGAAGTAGTAGAGGGCTCTTATGTCGCTCCCAACCTGTTGTTGGAAGTGTTGTTCCCAACGAGCAAGAGCGTTGGCCAGATGAGAGCTCAACCGTGAGTATTGTGACATTGAAGACATTGGCGCGTAGGGATTGCGCAGCATGGGAGGAGTATGCGAGGCTGAAGGACCAATGCGTGACATATCGGGAGGTCGACTCCGTTGAGTATATATAATGTCACCAAGCAAGGCGGTAAGAAGCAGAAGCGCATCCTCACGGCTCTTGACATCTTGTGGTACATCGTAGCCGTGGGTCAGTGAGTTGTAAATGGTACGAAATTGGTGATTTGACAAAGGCATCCTGATCAAGAGTTCGCTCGAGGTGTAGTTTGGAGCCAAGTCAAGGTGGACGGCTTGCATGACATCGGCGAGCAGCATATATGAGATGAGGGAGCTATCGATATCCGTTAGTCGTGAGTGACATCAAAGTCTTCTCGACATACCTTTTCATTCCAGCATCTTTGGACGAAAAGTCGCTTAGTGTATGCATTGGGGAGTGTCCATCGGTGAGGTGAAGCCGTCTCGAGATCTAAGTTGTCAGTGATTGATCTGGCTCATTTCGAGATCACAAGATACATACAGTGACAATGTTGCAGAACAGGCCGGATGATTTCCTCCATACTGTCCTATCCGACGATAGTATGCCATAAGTGACCAACAAGATCGCCTTTGAAGGATTGAATTAGCGCTGGCACTCATCGAATGTTGGAGTCCTCCCACTTACAGCCACAACTGCCTCGAGCAGACGAGTCTCCCTATTGTCGACCTCCAGCATGACTGACCAAAGTTTCTGCCCAGCCACAAACAGGTTCGCCGCAGCGTCTGCCTGGATGGTTCCATTTGGCGTGGTGAAGACATTGTCGACATCCGGGGAGGTCATCGAGCCTACACATGCAAGTGCATACTGGAGATATGGCGGCAGGATCTCCAAAGGCGAATTCACAATGTCGATGGCCTTCATGAAGATATGTTGTTTGAAGGTGGTGAAGAAGACGCCTTGCAATCGTTCCAACTGTTCTTCGGACGGTGTGGCTGGTACATCTGATAAAAGAACCATGGGATACGTATATGACCTGACCGACTAACGATACGTTGGTAAGATGATGGCTTGTTCAAACTGACTGCCAGATACTCACTGTACTAAGACTCTCTGAACTGTCAATGACCGATTCTGAGTCCAGGAAAGAATCCTCTTCGGCACCCTCACTGTGAAGCAAGGCAGCTCGAAAACGATCGAGAAACGTCACGGCCGGAGACTCGTTGGCATCGTGCACATCCCACCTTGTTGGTTGACGTTCTCCTGGCCATTGTCGCGAGCCGGATAGCCTTGCCTGGTCAGCTCCTGGTGTGTGATGCATGTCTGGGGCATCTTCATGCAAGGCTGTTGTCTATGATGATGATGTACAATAAGTTCCCCAGAGAATCGATTCACGAGGACTCAAGGGTTGGAGTTTGGTTGGTGGTGCGGGGAGGGATTGGCACGCCAAGTCACCCGCAGGTGTGGTGATTGATGCCTAAAGGACTTTCTTAGGCGGTCAGTAGGCCTTCTAAGACGGGGCTAAGGCATTCCCGTGCAAATAAATGCACGGGCATTGGTGTCTGGTCAATAGCCTACAGGACTACATAGGTACTGTACTGTACTGAGTCTGGCACCTGTCTAACCGGATTCGCTTGAATTTGTTAGTGTCTGTTGTAGCTGACCAACCACCAAAGTTCAGTTATTAATGACGCCCGGCGATGCCGATCGTGGTTGACTCTTGGTGCTTTAGGTGCGCCTAAACGGTTACTCATAGAGTATGAAGGACGCCTATTGGGAGTTCTTCCCGCCTGGTGGTCCCTCGAGTTGACTGCTTATGGCACCTAAATTGATGCCACCAAAACTTGCCATCACCAATACACCATCGCAACAATCACCATCATCATCATCATCCGTCGTAGCCATCGTCCACCTCTGTCCTCCTCCGGGGCATACTCCGAATCTCGTATCCTTTCCACCGCTTAGGCCCACTGGTGGCACCCACACTGACCAGACTCCCGGGGCTAGTCTAGGCTGTCCGACCCTCCCTCGACCCTCCTCGCACATGCTACGGGCGAGAGATATTGTACACCAAGAGTAGCCTAGGCTTCCTCGTCAAATATCTTAGTGAAAGAACCTCCAGATTCGGGTTCCCCAGCTTCTCACACATCTCTCCACATTCCTCTTCCCCCTTCCTGGAACTGGGACTCCAGACGCGAGTGTTCGACTGTCTGCTGATGGCCGACGTCAATCATACATCTCCTGATGTTCGTCAGGACAAGAAGGTCGGTTGATCATAAAGCCCACTAGATCCTCCCAGCCAGCATTAGCGACCCAGAGATTTCCCCCGCGGCGGTTTTGGTACATCCCGCTGACCTCTCATCCCAGTGCGATATCTGTTCCCGGTGCTTTGCACGTTCCGAACATCTAGCAAGGCATCGACGAACCCGTAAGTACAAGGGTTCCTTTTCTGGAGGCGCTAATTTAACCTCTTCGACGAACCAGACACCAAAGAGAAGCCTTTCAGTTGTCCTTATTGTCGCAGGTCCTTTCAACGATCTGATGTGAAAGCCGTACATGTCAAGAAGTGCCATGCGGCTCCTTCAGACCATGGCGCCGACGATGCCGCCAGAGAAGGCTCTGGTCGCAAGCGAGTTCGTATTGCTTGCGACAGTTGTCGAAGGCGGAAAATGCGCTGCGATGGAAACGAGCCATGCGGTCCTTGCCAGTCGACCACCTCAGACTGTCACTATACGGCATCGACGGCGCCTTCAATAGCCCCCAGCCTGTCTTCACACGCCGAACTTGGGAACGAAGATCAACCCAGCAGTCTACCAAATGGCCACGGATTTACCGCAAGCGCATCTCCCGACCACGAGGGTTCGCAAGACCTCAATTTCGCAACCCAGCACCCAAACTTGGACGTCCCGCCTACCATGACTTCGGCCATGGAAGGAATCCAAACCTACCCAAATACAATATCCATGCAGTTTCATGCTCAACCAGTGTATGACCCGACAGCCACCAACGACAACAACCTGTCGCTTGGGGAGGATATGCTGTACCCACTTCCAGATGGCGATGGCATCAACGACTTCTGGCAGATGCCTACTATGGTTCGCATCTCCCAACTTGGTCGCTGACCTTCCCTAACGTCCTTCACAGAACAGCCAGTTTTGGTTCGATGGGTCTGACTTTGCCTGGACCGACAACTTTTTCGATTCAAACTCGCCACTTCTAGATCATGTCCTTTCATCTTCAATGCAGAACCTCACAGCCATCATGCAGGAATACTTTGACAGGAAGTCCAGGGCTCCATCACCATCCCTCAACAAGGCCAGCAAAATGTGGTATTCGGCGCCACCAAACTTGGACGACCATAACAAAGATATTGTCAAAGTATTCCTACAAATCTTTCGTCGAAACATCCCCCAGACCTTCTCGCTCTTCAAAGATTGTACGGTAAGCCGGAAAAGTCGAGCCGAGTATACTCTCGCCATGGCTGCTATCGGTGGATTATTTTGCACTGTAGCTGGTAGTTCCGAAGTAGCAAAATCCATGTACAACGATGCTCGACGGTTATTGTTAGCCTCGTTCAACGTCAGAAGTTCACTTGACGAATTGTCGACAAACCCTGATGACAAACTTACTGTGGTCAAGACGGTAAGCATAAGTTGCTCTTGATATCAAAAGCAGCGTATCCCCTAACCTCGTACAGTTTATCCTCCTTGAACTGTATGGCCTTTGCAGTGGTGACAAGAGAAGTTATGAATTTGTCGAAGCCTTTCATGGCAACTTGATCCATGTAACTTCCACTCCTGGTCAGGTCCACGGGATCGACAAGCTAATGTGTTCAAAGTCTGTTCAAGAATATAGCGCAGCATGTAAAAGACTTGCATCAAAAGACAACGACAAAGCACGGTAAGGAATTGAATGATTGATCACGACATGTACCTGCTAATTCATGGCAAATAGCTTACTCGAGACGTTATATATTCTCGATTGCTACCGAGCGATTATTATGCAGCGCCCACCGTCACTGTCATGGCATCATATTGATTCATTTATTGACCATCATTCACACAGCAGTCGACTTACTCAGTTACACCAAGAAGTAGTCAATCTCACAGATACCGGTCACATATCACTACCATCCATAAACACCGAATTCGACCTTGCGTCCCTATCTTCCTTGACAAGTCACCTCTGGCCGGCCTTATATCCACGCCAGAATACGTACGGTGCCGACAATGTTTCGGTGGAAAGTCTTTCTCTGTGGAAACGAGACTTTGCCGAACTGGCTTGCGATACCTGGCTTCGTACTCGCCGTGGCACGGTTGACTTTTCGTGTCTTGCTGTCTACCATATGATGAACATTATGCTACACGCCAACCTTACAGTCCTACAAAACTTTGCACACTCTGCGCCTGGGTCGGCAGCACGAGACCCCAAGAAGAGTCTCGCGGCTAGAGAAGTCTACGCGTGGACACAAGATCGGCATTACAAAATCGCACAGTGGCATGCTGAGAACTTGATCATCTCTATCGAGGGAGCATTCACAGCCGCCACGAAAATGGATCAACAAGGCCCCCAACAACCTCCTCCTCGGGCTTCTTTTTCGACATCTGAGCCTCGACGTTTACCATATGAAGCTCCTCATGTCCCATACGCTGTATATTATGCTACTCTGGTTTTATGGTGCGGTGCGGTTATCGAGGAGAGTGGTGGTCACACCCCATCGGGACTACAAGCGCCCATTGCGCGAGGTGAACGGATTCTGTCTCTGCACAAAGTTCACATTGCTCAGCTTTTGGCTCGGGTCTTGAACGAAATCAAGTAGATCAAAATTAATGAACCTGAAATGCACAAATTCTGGATGCAAACCCAGTAGACCACGCGAACCAGTCAACAGATGTCTCCCCAGCGCCACCCATTCCCTACTACTCCGTAGCAGGGGTGTCCTTGTGAGCCTCGGCTAAGGCTCGTAAGGGTAGGACTACCCCGGAAAAGGGCAAATTTGTGTTCTCCGTAGGGGTCGATACGCAAATCCGGCTGGTGGTGCATATGGCACCATCTTGGGGTTCCGGATGCCGCGGAGCGAGACAACAAAGCACAATGCACCAATCCAATCATCACCACCCATCAAGTCATCATCGGGGAGTATTCGTTAGGACCGACCATTCCAGAACATTTTTTGGGGTGAATACTTCGACCGAGTAAAACCGAGTCTAGATAGTTTCTTGTTGTTGGTGACCATCCGTCTGGCTAATAGGTAATTATTGTGTACAGTCCTCACCTCACACTCAACAGCAAAAGTCCAAAGGACACAATCTTCTTGAACAGACCATGCCAAACAAGATAAGAAATGACCTTCACAAGGTCGATACAACCTCCTTTGATTACATATATGAGGAGAATGCGACCATCCCATTGAACGAAGGTCGTGGCATTGTTCGTTGCAACATCTTTAGACCCAAAGCAGCCGAAGGTGCCAAATTCCCTGTCCTTGTGACATACGGACCGTATGGCAAGGATGTTCACTATTCCGTGTAGGTGTCATATACTCTTTGAATGGTTCTTTCTTTGTGCTTATGAGATGGTCCAGTTTCCATGCATCGTCTTTTGCAGAAGTCCCCGAAGAGCATCACTCTCCACATTCGGCTTGGGAGACTCCCGATCCTGGATACTGGACCAAGCATGAATATGCTATTGTTCGAGCCGATGAGGTCGGTCTTGGTCAGTCACCGGGTGTGCTTAACACCATGTCCAGAGACACCAGTCTCGCATTCAAGGATGTGATCGAATGGGCCGCCGCACAACCATGGTCTTCCGGCAAGGTCGGTTTGTTGGGCATCAGTTACTACGCCGGCAGTCAATGGCGAGTGGCGGCTCGTCGACCCAAGGGACTCGCCTGTATTGTGCCATGGGAGGGGATGAGTGACTATTACCGGGATCGATGCAGACATGGTGGCATCCTCAGTAATACTTTTATTGATTTCTGGTGGAATCGTCAGGTGAGTTACTGGGCTCGTTTCTGGCATAATCTAGCCATACATACTCATTGGGCATCAATAGGTCATCGTCAATCAATATGGCCGTCCAGGACGAGCAGCTCGCAATTGGGGTCCAGACACGATCGAAGGCAATCTACCTGAAGAAGAGCTGCGGGCCAACTGTCACGACCAAAACATCGACAACGTCAAGAACCGGTTTCTGGACGACGAATACTACGCCACCAAAGACTATGACATTTCCGACATTGAGGTTCCTCTACTGTCGGTAGGCAACTGGGGTGGTATCCTGCTGCACCTCCGAGGCAACGTCGAAGGGTGGATGAATGCCAGCTCCAAACACAAATACCTCAGGTTTGTCACCGGCAGACACGACTTGCCCTTTTACACCAAGGAATGCGTAGACATGCAACACAGCTTCCTCGACGCTTTCCTCAAGGGCAATGACCCTCTCGGATGGTCCAGGGGAGAGCAACCCACGGTGGGATACAAGGTCAGGGTAGGGGATGTCGGGTTCAACGACGCGGCGGCCGAGACTGCCTACCCGACGAGATACGGCTCTCAATGGCCCATCCCTGATACTCGATACACAAAGTATTTTCTGACGCCGTCGCAAGGTCTACAAGACAAGCCTAGCCAAGAAGAGGGCAAATTGTCCTACAAGGCATTGGGAGATTTGAAGAACCAGCAACTCGTCCAGTTTACCAGTGCACCATTCACGGAGGAAACCGAATTCACTGGTCACGTCGTCGCCCATTTGAACGTGTCGGTTACCCCTGGAGAAGGTTCAACGACAAAACCCAGCGACATTGACCTCTTCTTGACCGTCCGACACTTGAACGCCGAGGGTAAAGAAATCCTCTACACCGGTACGGTCGGAGATCCCGTCCCGATCACGAAAGGATGGCTTCGGGTTGGTCTGCGCAAGGTCAACGAGAAAAGTCCAAGACATCAAACTCCGTGGCACCCACACCGAGAGTACCTGTCTACCGATTACTCACCACTGGCCCCTGGCGAGGTTTACCCTGTTGATATCGAGATCTGGCCGACCAACGTTGTCATGTCGAAGGGTGACCGTCTGGTGTTTGAAGTTTCTTCAGGTGACACCCAAGGTGCTGGACTGTTCGAACACAATTCAAAGGACGACAGAAGCCAGGAAACGTTTGCCGGGAACAATCATGTTCATTTCGGAAAGGATTATGAGAATTGGTTGTTGATGCCTGTGGTACCGACGAAGAAGAATGCATGAATTGTGAAGATGTATAGGTAGTGGTTATGCAGTGAAAGATATAAAATATAGATTTGGTTTGACCCACAAGCAGTGTATCAGTCAGTAACCAGTACATCAAACTCATCCTACATACTCCATACTGAGCGATGGCCATCTCATCGTCATCTTCTACCATTCTCCTCCAACTTGATATCTCATGATTTGATCATTCCATTTCCCAGCAGTTGCACGCCATAGTCGATTGATGTTCTTGGAATTGAATAGCATGTCAGTCTTCAATGATTCATGCTTTCATTTTTTATCATGTCTACTCACCCCCAATAACCATACTCCGCTGAACATGGTCACCACCACGGCACCTTCAACGGCGTCTTGTCCAGCAGTTCGGTCGGAAACTCGATGAGTCCGACTCGATTCTCGATATGGTGGCATCCTCCTCCAATCCGAAGGCCATTCTCTGTCTTGGTCTGTGTTTGTTCTTGTGCCTCGTTGTTGCTCTCTTAGCTCTTGCGGCTCTTGCTGTTGTTGTTGAGACGATTCAGCCTCTTCCCTTCCACTTTCATGGACATTGTAGACACGAAGGGTTTCTCGGAGGGTGGTCGGTTCCAACACTGTTTCCGTGCTGGCCATTTTGGTGTCAAAGGATCATGTAAGACGTTCTGAGCGAATCGAGGAACGTAACCTGTTGCACCCAAAAAGAAAAATGCGCCTAAGGTCTAAGTTGGGCGCAGTCGACACAATTTCTACCTAGCAGCACAATACGACTGAAGGGTAAGATACGAACAAGGTATGGCGAGGTAGGTTACTGCAGATCCATAAAACCACCTCTTCTTACACGGACTAACTCCAGTTACTCTGGACCCTGTACCGGTGATGATCGGTATTCGGCCTCGATGAAAGCACGAGTATCGTCCGTCAAATGGGACATTGAACGGTGGACTGACAAGCCTAATCGGAATGAGTTGGGGTTAAAAAGAGCTCAGATTCCGGGGGGTGATTCTTAGGCTTAAGGGGCTTGGAGATCCTTAACTCTAGGTACTCCGTCCTCCGTAGAGGCCCCCATAACCCCCTTTTTCCAGGTGGCAATTTCCGTACCCCATTCATGACCACCACCATCGACATTAGTCTTACTGTGTCCCTAGGGCAAGTAACAATTACAAAACGCGGAACCCCTTCCGAAGGTTCCCAGGTGCTCTTTTTGGGCGAAGACAGTCAAGGAGCTGACCTCAGATTCATTACGAGTAAACCTACTTTTGTACGGATACAGAAGACCGGCAAGAACGAAGACAGAGAGATATGGATATGTCAGTTTTATCCAAATCATTATCATCATTCCGGGCATAGTTGGGAAGTACAGACCCAAGTACTCGAAACGTGTTGTGCAAGATACACAAGACTCTCTGTACACTCACCTACACCTACCGACAGCTACAAAAACTAGAGAAGTTCTGATCCCAAATGATTCAAAAAATGGCAGAAGTATCATCCTTCTCTCGTTTAGAGATAGCATGTTTGGAAGGAAGACTTCAGTCTGTTCGGTTTCGACAAAAGTCGTTTCATTCTCTTTACAACATCATCCAAACACAATCATCCAACATCAAAGATGCCATCGCCGCAGATACGGGACACACCGAGGCCGAAGTCACTCTGGAATACGCCCTGGCCATATCGGAACTACGCTCACATTACGACGAGTTGAACCTCGAGGAGGACATCAAACAGCAACATTCCCTGGAGAATCTCAAAGCAACCACAACGAACACAGGCATCGTCTATCTGATTCCATCCAAGCAGAACCTCTTTTACTCCGTCATCTCGGCCTTGACGGCATCTCTGGCTGCCGGTAACTGTGTCGTTGTCGAGGTATGTCTGAATTGTACTCATACCCATTCAACTCAAACTAATTTGTCTACAGCTCCCAACGACATTGACCCAAGTGTCGGGCTTGCTTCGTAAGATGTTGCCTTCAGCTTTGGATTCCGACGTGTTTGCCATCAGCAGCACAAGACCACCCCAGGACTTTTTGTCCAAATGTCAAGTTGTGTCTCAGGCCGAAGAGGACGATGACACTTTGTCGTCCTCTGCAAAGGTAGTGGCGATTGTCGATCGAAGTGCCAATGTGTCTGAGGCTGCATCCATCATTGGCACGTCGAGAGTCTCATTCAACGGCCGAGCAGCGTATGCTCCTGACCTTGTCCTTGTCAATGAATTCGTGGCCGACGACTTTTTGTTTCATCTTGTGCAAGCCGTGACCACACCATTGTCCAAACCAAGTAATTCAACAATCAATCATCAACAGCGCTCCTCCCCCAAAGCTCAATCTGATGGAGTTGGTCAGATCATGAAGGAGCTCGAGAGTAGTGAGGGCGTCAGAGTCGTCATGTCTGGTGCGAGTGGTAACATTGTCGAAGTCAAAGATCGGTGAGTTGATGATGGGCTGGTTATTTGGCTCTGGACTTTGAATTGACTGAGGCTAATGCACCTCTCTCTTCACAATTTAGGCAAAAGGCTCCATTAGGTCGTCGTATCGAAGGTCGAGTCATCTTGGTTTGTCGAATAACCAGTCTCGACGATGCAATTGACTTGTGTAATGGGTAAGTCCCCTCCCTACAGCAATTCATTCAAGCAACTAGACGCTGACGTTGACATTGAACAGCCTCAAGACACCCCTACAAGCTTCATATGTCTTTGCCGCGCCAACCGAAGCAAACTATCTATCTAGATACACCGACGCAAGGATTTCTTGCACGAATCACATCCCTGCCGAACTATTGGGCAAGTACTGACGAAATACCGTCAATCCATCACTTGGTTCTTTCAGTCACTAACTCTTTGCCATGACAGTCGGTCCATTTGCACCTCAACATCAGACGATTCCGCCGAGTCCATCTCCACGTTATCCGACTATTCTGTTCCGGTCCCCACGACCTAGACTTGCTCAATCCTCGAATCTGACAAGCATTTTCCGCAATCTCACAGTCTCTAGATCTATGAAAGACCTCGAATCTTGGGCTAGATCGGTTGTAGACAAACCACTCCCGGTCATCAAACAAGGTGATGGAAGATCTTCTGGATTCTTTGATCAAGCATTCATGGTTGTCGGATCTACTGCCCTCGTGGCTCTTACTGGTAGCGCGTACATGTTGTTTCGAGTTTGGAGGAAGCGATAAATCTTAGGTTTGGTCTTTGTTTGGTTTTGAGAAGTCCCACGTACTGTCTACAGTACACCATAAGTCGACTGGCATTTGGGGCATCATTGTCTCTATAGTCTTACTTCATACTCACACTCTGTGGGTGCATCTGTCAAGTCCAATTCTGCCCTCGAGACGACGCTGTCCTGCGGAATTTCTAAGATCCATTGCAACTAACCCGAATACTTGTGATGGTAACCAAACCAAAACCGTTGTTGATCTCACGGTGTCGAGATGGTCACTTTATGAATCAATTGTCTTGCTTATCAATTTGTCAAACATTGTCGTATACAGTTCCTTGTCACCGTTGAAACTATCAAATAACTCAAGCCGTAGCAGTAACCATTCTTGGTCTCGCATCTCTGATCTTCCTGTCTGATGACGACAACCCCATATCCCCCTTGCCAGCACTGCTACTGGCATTTGTGTAAGTACCAAAAGTAAACTGAGAATTACACATGTTTCGCAACTCCCAAGTCTCTGCCGCGAGGACGTTCGGTTCCGCCTCGTCCTCAAAATCACCCGCCGCACCGGCCGCGAACAGAGCAGGCATCCAATGGTCGTCGGTGGCTTGGGCCTCGCGGTACGCCGGATGCTGCATCAACCTGATCATGGCCTTTCTGAGTGCCGGCCCACGGTTCTTGGTGACGACGTCTTCTGTGGCCTGTCTGAAATTCAAAGCCCATGACTCGGGGGGTTTTTCTTGTCCGAGTGACTCCCTGTACAAAAGCATGTCGGTCCAGTAGTTACGGTAGAGGTTGTGGACGGCTCCTCCAGTGCCGATAAGGAGATATCCTTCCTTCCGTAAGGGACGGAGGGTGGCTCCGACCTTCACATGATACCATGGGTCGTAACGAGCGTTCATTGACACAATGGTCGTTGGTGGACATTTACTGGCATCTGGAAACATTTTGATCAACTACAAGATACAAGAAATTAGCATTGTGGTCCCAAGAGATTTGTCGAGCTGCTTGCCCAGGTAAGTCTGGACGTACCACCATGAATGTATCATGAATCCATTCAAACTCCCTGTTTGCACTGACATTGAACCCTTCTTTTGCGAGCATAGAGATACATCTTTCTGCTCCATCAATATCCGGGTTGGGTTTCCAATCCTTGTACAATGCCGGGTCGACGAATGGACATGGGCTTTTACCAGGGTTCGGGTTTGCTGCGACTTCGATCTTGTCACCTAAACATGCCTAGACTTCTTAGAAATTGTCCTGCCAGCTCGAAAAGCGTCAAGAACTCACCCAGTGTGCACCCTAGAATGAAAATGTTAGAGTACGGTGGGCAAGAGACAGGATAACAAAATCTCACCATCAAAATGACACCCTTGACACCATGAGCGAGTGCCTCTTCACCACATTTTCTCCAATAGTCCCCAGATTCAGTTTCGGCCTCTAGCATACGCGTGGACCCATGGGAGAAGAAGTGCACCGGTGTTAGACCTTGGAAAGTCAGCGATGCACAGAGAAGAGTCAGAGGACCAGGGTGACATACCCATCGTTGTTCAGGTCGGGTAGATACGTTTATACAGACAGTCAAGTCACTTATCTCAAGATAATGTACTCCGTGTCAGAGCAGAGATGTATGGGACCATATGAATAGTTTGGGGTTGGCGTCTTTTCCGCCACTCAGACTTACACGCCCACACTCACTACTTCACTATCTCTCGGTCTCGGTCGCAAGATTTCAAAGACCCAGAATGCGAGCACAGTAAGCAAAGGCGAAGGCTCCTTGGCCTGGATCCTGGAGTAAGGGAGAGTCGTACGAAGCCAGAAGAGGGATTGCCGGTCCATGGTGGCACGAAACATGGGGTTCCGTAGGTTGGTCCGTTAACTGGTTCGGTCTCCACCCATCTGTCGAATGCAAGCCACCCAGTCCATCAGCCGCCGGAGTTATTTGCAAAGCGGTCTCGTGGTTCTTTCCGTTGGCCTCAGACGAGGGTAGTCGGAGATATTTTTCTCCAAGGGTCTGGCTCTGAATCGGGATCATAAAAGGCTGGGGACGGCCTGAAAAGAGTACGCTGCAAAGACGAGGTTGAGACACGGCGAGATTACGAAAATAAGATCGCAATAAAAACAACCAAACACGACGACTCAAGTACCTATACGTGTTACATATACTGATTACCGATATGTCTTCACGTCCAACCACGGAAGGTCAATTGGCCAAAGACCTACCCGGATTGACGGCTTACATCACCGGTCATAACCCTACCACGGGAGACACCACGATCCAAGAGCGACGACCGGCGAAATGGCAATCGGTCGACAGCGGTGGCATGGCTTTCAACGTGCCGTTCACCACGTCTGAATTCCCAGTGTCGATGAACAAGGACGTGGACATTGTCAGACACGACCAACGTCTCGCATCCGGTAAAATGGGCATCGTGAACCCGAATGGTACGGTGTTGCGATTTGTCGATTTCGCCCCCGGGTTCGAGTCGATGATGCACCGCACACGAAGTTTGGATTACGGCATCGTCGTCGAGGGATCCATCGAGTTGATTCTGGATTCGGGAGAGAAACAACTCTTGCAACGAGGGGATGTTTGCATTCAACGAGGTACCAATCACGCCTGGAGGAACCCGAGTAGCACAGAGTGGACAAGAGTCGTATACATCTTGCAAGACTCTCAGCCTGTTGAAGTTGCTGGAAAGCCTTTGAAGGAGTATCTGGGACGAAGTGAAGGAGAAATCCCACCAAGTGGTAACGACTAGACTACGGTGACAGACAAAACAATCGTGTCAATGTCCAGAGATTTATCCAAATTCACCTGTGAAGCTTTCATCAATATCTGCTACTCTTCGTACTCGTATCTTGACTATCCAACGACACAACGACACACTACGCGGTCACCCCGTACCAGAACAAACAATGCCGTCAGCAATGATTGAATCTCCAACTCCCGTACTGGTGAGAAAGTCATGTTCGTCTCCTCATAGGGGTTATCTAGTTCCAAGTCTCCACCTCGCGTGGGCCTTTGGGGTACCGAAAACTACCTTTCTTTTACTCCATACAGGCAGCGACATTGTGGGGATCAATCAAGAACTGGCCCGGGGAAAGAAAAAAATTGTGATGGCGTCAATGCTGTTTACGGTAAGCGATAACCGACGTGACGGTAGAATTTCCAACGATTGACAGCGCCTCTTTTGTCTTGCTTACTGAGAACATCATCGAATCCGACTGGTTGACCACGACCTCTCAAGCCCCGGCAACCCATTACTGATACAGTAGTAGCCCACTGAAATGGCTTTGGACATCTAACCAGCCCAAAACAGGGTTCCAAAGTGAGGGGCACAACCTCTGAGCCTGAGGTTCAGCCTGAGCGCACCCTGAATCCCGTCACGGCTCCATGCTTAGCTACTTTACCTCGAGTGGATAAGGAAGGTCCTACTACCAAGACCAGGCTATTACGCCCTCCATAGATCAACGGCTATTTGGATTGCCACGTCGCACGGTCGGGCAAAGAAACAGCCCAGGGATCGACTGGGGTTTCGCCCTGGGGTTTGATGATTTCAAGCTCAAAGGTCAAGGACGACAAATCGAGATAAATCCATTAAATACTGACCAACCTATGACGAGTCATTGGAGAAGCATGCGTGTGTCCATCATCTGGCTGTCCTATACATACTCCTTCAAGCCAGTGTCTTAGGGACCAAATCTCTATCATACTCTCTCTGTACAAAGTCCCAACAACCATGGCTCTCCACGTCTTTCAAGCGAGCGCAGTCCTCGCTGCGGGCTTGATTCTCTACGTATTGCTCTTTGTGGGTAGAAGAGGTCGTAACATGCCAGATGGTATGTGAAGAGACAGAACTCTACTACAAAATGGCTGCTCACACATATATCCTGGATAGGTCCTCCAACACTACCCATCATTGGCAATCTACATCAACTACCCAAGCAAAAAGTCTATCTACAGTAAGTTATCGCTCGTGGCGACGTCTTGAGTTCCCCTTCCTCTTGTGCCACACCAGATCCTCGACTCACTCCGTTTCAAAGATTCACAGAATGGGCCAAAAAATATGGAGGCATGTACACGCTCAAACTCGGTCCGGCCACGGCGGTTGTTCTGTCGGACCGTAGAATCGTCAAACAACTCTTGGACAAGAGGAGCGCCATCTCCAGCGAGCGTCCGACCAACGAAGTCAGCCAGCACATCATCACCGAAGGGGATCATTTGTTATGGATGAACAACACTCCCGCGTGGAGGTTGATGAGAAAACTGATCCACCAGGACCTCACAGAGAAGATGTGCGAGAATGACCACCACAAGATCCAACAGGCCGAGTCCGTGCAGATGCTTCACGACATGCTCAAGTCTCCCGACGACTGGCTGAGACATCTCAAGAGATTCAGTAACAGTGTCATCACCAGTATCGGTATGTGTTATCCTGGCAATGTTTACCTCCGTTGCTTCTGGCGCGAACGCCGTGTGATGCCATCCTATCGGTCCGAGAATTATGGGTCTAACACTCTTTGATACTGCGTCTCCAGTTTACGGCATTCGCTCCCCGTCCATCGATTCAACCTACATCATCCGCCTCAACGCGCTTCTCGAAAAATGGGCTCGGATCAACGAATTCGGTGCCACCCCACCCGTCGACATCTTCCCTTTTCTCAAACTGATCCCCGAACGATTCTTGGGCAACTGGGTCACCCGGGCCACCGTGGTCCACGACGAGATGCACGCCCTGTACAACAAACTCCGCGAGACGGTCGAGAAGAGACGTGAAGCCATGGGCCCCATGCCCACCGTCGTCGACCGATTGCTGGACCAACAAGAAAAGACCGGTCTCACCACTCACCAAATCACTCTATTGTCCGGCGTCACCATCAAGGGCGGATCCGACACTTCTGCCTCCGTCTTGTCTTCATTCATGCAGGCCATGGTGACGAACCCGCACATCGTCAAAAAAGCCCAAGCCGAAATCGACGCCGTGGTGGGAGACGACCGCGTTCCCAATTGGTCGGATTACGAGAGCCTGCCTTACGTGGCTGCAATCGTCAAGGAAAGTCATAGATGGAGGCCGGTCGCTCCTCTTTCTGTACCACACGCTTTGTCTGAAGGTATTTTCACACGAGACCACTCGAGAACCAAATACTGACACTATGTCCAGATGAATGGGTAGATGGTAAACTCATCCCCAAAGGCACAACAATCTTCCTCAATGTCTGGGGTCTCCATCATGATGAATCCAAATTCCCAAATCACGACGTCTTCGACCCGGATCACTACAAAGGTAGAACTCTTCTGGCATCCGAGTATGCAAATTCTGCCGATTATGAGAATCGAGATCATTACGGTTATGGTGAGTTTTGTTGCAGACACATGCTCCCCAATCTCTAGCTCTATTTCCCTAACATATTCACTACTCCAAGGCAACGGAAGACGTCTATGTCCCGGTATCCATCTCGCCGATCGAAACTTGTTCCACGCAATTTCCAAGATCCTATGGGCATTCAACATTGAAAAAGCAACCGACCCCAAGACTGGTAAACCCATCGAGCCAGACACCAGCATGGTCACCGGTTACCGAGAAGGTCTCACCGCCTGTGCGTACGAGTTCCCGGTCAAGTTGACCGTGAGATCTCCAGCCAAGAGGAAAACCATCCTCAAAGAACACGACGACGCAAAGGCCAACGTGTTTCCCGATTACGAGAAGACTGCCATTTTCTGAATTGGCCGGTAGTACATCACTCCACTAGCACATTCTCTGGTTTCGGGTTTTCAGCCTCCTCACTGTGATGCAGCTTACTGTTCTCCCCGGCGTCATTCTTCTCGACATCACCAAGTCTGACTGGAATCTTCTCGAGTGGAGCGTCGATATGGGCGTTAAATTCTTCGGTTGGGTTTCGAATGAAAGCCGATACTAAAAATGACATCAGAACAATTAGGATAGTTTCTCCAAGTAGTTTCCGCTGTGCATTTTGTCAAAACCACGAGATAGGGTCTGGAACACTTACAGACGAGACCCAAGAATGCAAAAGCAGCCGTACAAATGAAGACATCCCTAAAACCAATCACGAAGGCCTTTGTAACCGCCAGGCTTGCTGCCTCCAGGATCTCGGGAGTGACTCCGGGTAGTTTGGCTGCCGCTTCCGCCTGTCCACCGGTAAGGTCACCGATCAAGGGACCGATCGTGTCGCCGGTCAAACCCAACGGCTCGACTGCCGCGGTGACCTTGGGGACGAGGTTCGAGGTCAATCCGTGGTTGAAGATGGCATTCTGGATGGCCACCGCGATGGCGCCGCCCACGCTCCTCAGTGAACCCAGCAGACCAGATGTGATAGAAATGAGTTCGGGTGGGGTCGACAGTTGCGCCGCGGTGACCAAGGTGATCAGACACGTCCCCAAGCCGGCGCCATAAAAGGTGATGAATCCCCAAAAGTGGGCTTCGGGGGTAGACGCCTTGTTCGTGGCCATCAGGACAAAGAAGATTAGGAATCCGACGAACGAAGCCATGGCCGGACCTCGTACCGTCCTCGTCTTGTGAATGTAGATGCCCACGGTCGTCGAGACGGCGAAGAGCGTGACAAACCCAACGGCGTAGGCTATGAGAACCCGAAACGTCGATATGCCACTTACCACCGTCTCCATCTCGTAAGGGAAGTAGACGTTTGCGGCCATGAACGCGAACCCTTCGATCGTGACACCGGCCAGGGCGAGAGGGAAATTTCGATGACCGAACAGACCGTGGTGGAACAATCCGTCCTTTTTAAATTTGGTCTCGTATATGATCAAAACGATCAATATGGCGGAACCCAGTAGAAATGGCGCCAGGATGTGTGCATTGGTCCAGCCGAATGGGTTTTGGGAGTACGACAACCCCAAACAAAACAAAACCAAACCGGCGTCGAACAAGACATACCCGGTCCAGTCTAAGGCGCGGAGTTTTTGCTTCAACGTCATCGACAGCTGGAGATCTCGAGGGGGTGGGTTGTACAGAACCGCCATGATGATGGTGGAAAAGGCATACACCCCGGCACAGATGTACCAATAAGTGCGGAACCCGGCCGGATGGTGGTTCGTCAGTGCACCTCCGACTGTGAGACTCGTGATTGCGCCCAGTGCTATCGAACTGTTGATGCATGACTGTGCGTAGGACCGATACTTGCGAGGGATGATCTCCGAGCAAACCGCGTGGACGAGAGGTTGAGCACCGAACGACACGCCGCCGAGCACAAATCCCACGATGGCCACTTGCATTGATTGGGCTGTTGCAACAACTATACTACCAATCAAACCAAAAGACGTTGGAATGACCAGAAGCCATTTTCGGCCCTGCATCGTTTGTCAGCGCAAGAGGACTCATGGGGATGTTATGAGGATCGCACTGTCCACACGGTTGAGGAAGGGACTTACCCAGTAGTCAGCAGCTTGTGCGACTGGAGGTGCAAAAGCAGCCGTAAGGATGACAATAGATGATGCTGGCCATGAAGCAATGGATTCTCCACCCACCACTGCCGCGATATCACGGGGATAAACGCCTGAGCCGACGATGAAGAGCAACTGACAAAAGTATTGGCTGCATAGTGCCTAGTTGGAGAGTCAGTCGGTCATTGATTTCCTCTTGCACAATGAGGGTGAGCATACTAAAAGGAGAAACGAAGTCTTGAAGGGCTTCCAGTCCAAAACCTCCTCTTCCTCTGGCGGTGTCGTGACAGTACGAGTAGCTGTTTCTTCTTCCATTCTGTTCTTGACTTCCACTTATCTCTCTGCTTACTTGACAGCGACATGCAGCCATCCCCTGTGATATCTTGTCTTTATATCAAAGACCTCCCACGGAGAAGCCGGGGTAAGTAAGATATGTCGTGTCAATCGTGGGTTCTCCGCCAGCCCCCAAAACCCCCAGGTCCAGGCTTCCATCGACATACGGACGCAGAAATTGTAATTGTAATTGTAATTGTACATGGTACGCTTAGCGATTACGCCATTAGCCTTGTCCATGATTAAATATGGCGTAATAGGAGAGCTTGATGTCCATGTGGCTCAACATAAGGCTTGGTTTGTTTGTTCGGTACCCGGTTCCGGTACTGGTGATTGGCTCGGACGAACTCGCTGGTCTCTTCGTGCAGAGATATTGGCCACAGGGACTGATACAATTTGCATTCCGGAGTATTGTTGTGGACACGGATGTGAGTTGGTGTCGTCTTGCTTCGAGTAAGCATTGCAAAGTCTTGAGATCAGGGGCACCGGGAGGCTTAGCAGGTCGGCACAGACACCATTCCAAATACTTCAATTCAAACGACTTGCTTTGCCGGTACATAGGGATCCGCCACATAAGTTGTGTCGAAGATAATGCAGATACTCAGGTGCTTTGGTCACGTATCTTACCACCCAGCGAGCAGCCTCATCTCGCTCAACGGTTGTGATGGCCAGGAGTTGAGTTAGGCCTAAACTAACCGTCCGTGCATGAGATGCATCTCTAAATGTCGAGAAATTAGCTAGATCATTGGTGAGAGTGTTTCATTGAGAGCTTCGAAGCAATCGTCGGATGTCGAAAATATCGATTCTATGCCTGCAATGTTCGGCTTGAGTGGGCGTATTGTGCTCCCATTGTAAGTGTAATTTATCACAAAATGAAGCAACTTGAGATTGAAACCACAGTATAGATAGGATCTTGCAGCGTCAAGAGCTTTGTTGATATTAGTGTCCATTGACTCTACCGAAATTGACCCTCAAATCTTGCTACCAAGATAGTATGGGTTTGATAACCTAGGACCAGATGAGTCGACATTCGGAGAATCAGGAGATTGGGATCATCATACCTTGCCCGACTTCATATCTTGCATCGCCTGCTCAATCTCGGTAGGTGGATATGTCTTGGATAAAGTGTCAATGGGGAATTTGCCCGAACGAAACATTTGTACCAGTCGAGGGATGAACTTTTGAAGGTCAGCAAGTGCCGGAGCACTACCAAAAGAGCAACTCACGGCCTGAGGATCACAATAACCACCAGTGATGCCAATGATTTTCTTGCAGTGCACCAGCATGTCCAAAGCATCAAATTCGGCCAATTCCCCTGGACGAGGAGTGCCAACCACAGCAAAAGTCCCACCGTGGCCCAAAGCCTTGATACCTTCATTGATCATCTTGGTTAGGCCAGTAGTGTCAACGATATAATCGACGCCGGCTTGTGACACTTCCCGAATAGCAGCTTCGATACTCTCATGTTGTTTCCCATTTATCGTCTTCGTCGCACCAAATTTAGTCGCCATCTCTAGCCTCGAGTCAAGGATGTCGACAGCAATGATCTCAGCAACAGGAACGCTTTTGGCTGCCATCAATGCACAAAGTCCAACAGCTCCAAGACCAAATATTGCGACGGTCTGGGATGGCTTTGGTTGCAGGACGTTCAACACTGTAGCTGCACCCGTCATATACCCACAACCCAGTGGTGCTAGAAAAGAAAGATCTTCAACAGGCCCGTCATACTTGACCACTGCTCGATAGTCAACGATTGCCAACTTGCTGAAGGAGGATTGACCGAAGAAGGCTCCCCGGATCGATGTTCCATTGGCGAGGCGGAGAGGCGAATCTTCCGGTCCTCGTGCTCCTGCAAAGTTGACCATTGCTATGTTATTGCAAGCTCCTTTCCGACCTTCATTGCAGGCCGGACACTCCATACACGAGCAGTAGCCTAGCATAACTCGATCACCAGCAACAAGACCCGACTCCTTCAGCCCGTCACCCAATCTGAGGATGACGCCCGCTCCTTCGTGTCCAAGTACAGCGGGAAATGAACCAATCGGCATCTTGCCCTCTTGGACAACGATGTCCTGTAAAGAAGTCAATCGTGATCGACACAACCAAGGAGGTATAAAAGCTCACAGTGTGGCAAACACCAGCATACTTGATCTCAACAAGCAGCTCTTGTGGTCTGACCTCGTCCAGTATCACATCTTCAAGTACGAAAGGTGCACCTGGCTTTTCAACAACAAGTGCTTTTGTTGGAATGTTCTTCGTGGGAAGCGAATCCATGGTGCAGGCGGTATGTACAAGTGCTCACAAGAACACATTCAACTCTTTCTTTCGACATTCTGAGCCGTAAATGGATGTTTTGCATAGCTGAGTATATCATGACCTTTTCTCCGCTGTTCTGGGGAATTGTTTGTTCCGAACATGGGTCTATTCTCTCTGGACAAGAACGGAACGCGGCAGTCCGGCGATTGGATGCGGGCCACTCCAGACTTGCGGGGAACAAGTTTCGGGCCGGAGAGAAGTCGAAGGCTTGGAGATATGACCAACCTTGACGTCCGGGGTATGGAATGAGAGAACGAGCAAGAAGTTCTAGCCGTACGTCTTTTAGTTCCTCCATGGCCTACTCCGCTGAGCAGCCTTTGTACCTGATACCTTCCAGTGGTACACGAGATTTCGACACCAGATCTCAGGAACAATGCGATGGGCCTCCGTGGGAGCAGATCACTTGCAAACTAATGTGCTTTGTTGTAGTGTTGATACTGGTGAATGGGATACTTGCCTGACTTGCACGTACTAAGTATATATTCACTTAGTGATCCATACCGTGAAATGTACCCTACATATATTTATTCCAGTGAACTTTTCCTCAACAAAGTACGCCTTGATGGCCACTATTAAAGACTCACCACGTCGAACCGCCACTTTGGCCCAATGGTTCGGAGGGGGGCTTATTCTTGGAAACCAGCTTAGTGGATTAGACTGGGAGTCAGCGGGTTTCCATGATCACTGGATAAACATCCCTTGACCAAGGTATGGAGGGGATGGCAGTGATCATAGTCGGAATAAGTAAAAGAGAAGCACCAGTCCGGGCTTCAACTCTCCAAACTTTTTGTCCTTTTTTTTGGCAGATTTCGGGACGATTATTGGTAGGTGAAGAGGTGTTGAGAAGAAGTGAAGTTGGTCAGATACAATATGCAACGCGTGAGGCCATTTGATGATTTTCAATTCTTTTGTCAGTCAAAATCCATATACCCGTCTTTTGCTGTGGCTACAGAGAAACTCGCCCAAAAGCCATAGTCTTTACAAACAACTACAAAACCGGGTATCACGCTCTATATTTTCTTCTTTTTCACATGCTGTGTTGACAACCTCCGCAACTATTGTCTACACATCCCGATATCAGACTCCTACGTGAGCACGCTGGTCCATGCAACCTGTCCCTTTCATGCGAGCTACATGTAGACTCGGTCGACCTCTTTTACTGGGGAGAACTGCTCGTCCAGTTCAAAGGACTTTTTTGCGCACATATCTTCCCACCTGCGTTCGTGCTCTGGTGACTGAGTCCAGCGACTCTACGAATGCATCCTTCGTTGACACCGTACCTGAGAACTTAGCGACGACATCTTCAAATGCTGCGGCGTCGCACTCCACACCGCCGAACAATGCCATCCTTACCTCGAGGAGGCTTCCAGTCTCATGCCCGGGCTGCGGTGCCTTGACACAAGACATCGAACCTGGAGAGGCGGGCTACTACTCGCGCTCGAGGAAAGCTGTGAAGACATATTTGCGAGATTCTCCGCGCATAGGGCTGTCTAGTGATGGAGACAATGGCACAGAAACAGTTGGAGCGATTGAGACGAGTGGTCAGGATGTGATTCGAGAGCGAGATGCAGAAGAGACACCAGAAATACAAAATCCTATACCGCTTCCAATATGCGACCGATGCCATACATTGATCCACGAATCTCGTGGGCAGCCCATTGCACACCCTTCAATTGAGAGCATCGCAGACTCGATTGCTGAATCCCCTTTTTCCAAAAACCATGTCTACCATGTCATGGATGTGGCAGATTTTCCAATGTCTTGCATACCTTCAATCTACAAGGAGCTATCCCTGGCCAAACCTAGAAGCCAGAACCGTCGATCACAACATTCGTTCTCTTCCAAGCCTTCGTTGTCGTTTATCATCACCCGATCAGATCTATTGGGACCTTCAAAAGACATGGTAGACCGAATGATGCCCAGGTTCATTGCCATCCTCCGAACTGCTTTGGGCCGTGCAGGTCAAAACTTGAGGCTTGGGAATGTCCACCTCGTCTCTGCAAAACGAGGATGGTGGACCAAGGACATCAAGGAGAGCATCTGGCAAAGAGGAGGTGGGAACTGGCTTGTTGGAAAGTTCAATGTTGGGAAATCCAATCTCTTTGAAGTTTTATTTCCGAAAGGCTCGTCTAGTCAGGCTTCCGTCCATGAAGAATTGCGTCGACAGCAAGATGCAAAGGCAAACGAATTCTTATCAGTTGATAGCCTTTTGCCTCCGCCTCAACCAGAAGTGCCATTCCCGGCCATGCCTATTGTATCGAGTCTGCCTGGAACGACAGCATCGCCTATTCGACTTCCTTTCGGCAACAACAAAGGAGAACTCATTGACATGCCTGGTTTAGAACGCAGCGCCCTTGATAAGTATGTGAAAGCAGAAGACAAGTTGGATTTGGTCATGACTCATCGACCGACAGTCACCCAACACAACATCAAACCTGGCCAATCTCTCCTGCTCGGAGGTGGCTTGGTCCGCATAACACCCCTTCTGGACGAAAATGACCCCAGTATGATCATGATGGCTTACGCATTCGTTCCACTGAAATCGCATGTCACGGCCACCGAAAAGGCGCTCGGTGCACAGCAACAGGAACGTGAGAGTGGAATCGAGTCTATCCTGGCAGAGGACGCTGGAACTCACATGGCGTCGGCCGGCAGATTCAAGCTCAAGACGAATGTAACGAAATCAAGAGCCGGTGCCGTTATCAGAGCAGGTGTAGACCCAGGGAAATTGCCCTTCCAGGTGTACGCCACAGATATCCTCATCGAAGGCGTTGGGTGGGTTGAGCTAGTCTGTCAGGTTAGAAAAAAGCAACGGGCTCTTTCTCCTACACCTCCACTAGAGAAAGAAGTCACCGAAGAGGCCGTGGGTGAAAAAGATGTCCCTACTTCTGAGGATTTGTCTATCGGATCCACCGGATTTGTCCCTTTCAGTGCTTCGATCTCAGACGGTAATGCATCAGGCAGCCCCGGATATCCTCAAGTTGAGGTTTTCACCCCCGAAGGCAAATTTGTTGGACAAAGGGAGTGTCTGGATGTCTGGCAAATGTGGAACATGGGGAAACCTCGCAAGGAGGTACGCGCCGCTCGCCCTCGGAAACCTATGAGTGGTGCGAGGAAGAGAGCAAAGATGGCTCAACGATGACTGGGCCAACTGCAATGACATTCAACATAGCAGAGCGACACGAGAGACATCACCCTAGTAAAGGCTGGTAGCGTCTGAGCATCGTGATCTTGCTACTCGTATACTACGAGTATCTTCTACTTGAATGGTCAGAGTCCTTTTTCGTCTCAGTCGCTGCAGCCGTCCCGCCGACTTTTTCTTCGGCGTCAAACAAATGACCGTCCCTATCACTTCCATCACCTTGTCGTTACGAGAAAGTAACTTGTTCATCCGGTCAAGACGACGATTTTGCCACGAGCAGTATTCTTCTCTTGTGTCTCGTGAGCCAGGACAATCTGATCCAGCTTGAAAACCTTTCCAATCTGAACCGGCATGGTGCCGGCATCAATCTGCTTCAGCAAATCATTCAACGGGGTATCCATGAATTCGTCTGGACCACCACTATATGCGGTGAGATATTTGGCCGATCCTATTGCGGTCATGGGAGCGAAGTTATCCATGGTCCATTTGTTGCCTGTGGCACGAGAAAGAGTCAGCGTTAGATGCAGTTGCGGAGGACTACCAAATGTCAACCTTACCAACGATTCCCGTCACACACACAATTCCGCCTTCCTTGATACACTTCAAAGAATCCTCGAGGGTCACGGTTCCAATAAGCTCCAGAACCTTGTCGAAGTTGTCACCAACCTGGGCCGCGACATTGCCATCATCGACGATGACTTGATCCACGCCGCTCTTCCTCATGACGTCTGCGCTCGCTTGACCCGAACTGCGAGTGGTTCCGGCGACGAAACAGCCATGTTTCTTTGCGATCGATGCCGCCGCGAGACCAACGGATGTTGTTCCGCCACGTATCAAGACGCGATCGGTAGACTCGAGCTTCAGCGATTTGAACAGCGAGCCGTATGCGGTCTGCAACATCTCGGGCACGGCTCCAATGGTGGACCAATCCAGGTTCGTGTCTAGGGCTTGTGTGTTTTTGGTTTTGACACAGGTGTACTCGGCATATCCACCGTCGAAATCACGGCCCATGCCACCCATGGCGCTTGCTACTTTCTGCCCTTCCTTGAACCGTCCACTTGGGCATTTGGCGACGAGGCCTACAGCCTCGATGCCGAGAACGCGCGGGAACTTGACGTCCGGCGAATGGCCTTGACGAGTAAACATCTCGGATCGATTGAGTCCGAAAGCCTTGACGCGAATGAGAACTTCATCGTCCTTGGGGGCTGGGATGGGAATGGATTCGATCTTGAGGATATTGGGTGGTCCAGCTTCGTGGACAACAGCTGCTTTCATAGCGGACATGATGTAGAGTATCTCTTGTACAGTAGGAGGATTTAAAAGTATCGAGTGGTATACTTGGTGTATATATAGATGAGTACAGTGAAATGTCAAGTAATAAACTGTAGTATTTGAGTATTTACTCCGAACGAGTACAGTCTCTTTCCTGTTTTTGTATTCCTCAGTCTACACCGAGATCACCGAAGAATATTTATATTTTTTTTCGTCAGCACCAACACTGACATATGCACATACACTTCCACCGTACATGGTAAACTACCCGACATACAATACCCTCTGCGTGCCTTATGCTTTTCTTTGATAAGCCTCGTACCTAGCTAGTTTACAGAGTATAAATCATTGCCGGTGCTCCAATGGTTCAATTGAGTTCCTTGATATTGTGCCGTGTGGGAGAGCGATGAGGTAAGACACCGATAACTCAAAGGGGTAACTCGACACCACACCCTACAATGACGCCTACAGGGGCATTCGAGGTTTAAACCGCGTACACTCACTCCATACGAGGACGGTAGATCGTCCCAGACGGAGTGTTCGATATGTAAGCAACTCAAAAACTTCATCTCAGAATGTCGCCGAATTCTCTTCCATCTGAGAGATATACGCAGTAGACGGGAGAACATCAGGCCGTCGACCACATGCAACATCCTCCCAAGGTAGTCACCAGCTAGAAGTAAAAAAAAACAATGTTGCAAAGGATTATCATTAGGTCTGGAGGAAAAAGAGACAGATATGTAGCATACTCCCATCCATAACGAGACAGAGCACGACTATCGTGTTTAATGAAGCGTTGATCCCCAACAATGACTTTGTCTCAAACTTGTACCCTGGATCAACAACCAAGGTGACACAAGAGCCAAAAAACGCCAACAAGGAATAAGTTGCCAATTGCTCATGCCAAAAGGGTATATACGAAAAAAGAGTAGAAAACGAAATCAATCAAGAAGTTTTTCCCTCCCCCCAGCAGTTTCCATTCCCCCAAAAACCTCATGATGTTTCTTTCGCTTTGTTTTTAAAATGTGCCATGTTTATCGTTCAATGTTGTCTCGATCTTTCGTCTTCTGGTGACGATCTCCCGAGGGCGTCGCTTTCGCCGCTGCTGTCCTCGTCGTCAGCATTGACAAGACATGACACGGGGTGTCTCTGGCGACCTCCGAACTTCATCTCGCTTTGCGTGCGACGGTGTTTGGTTTCGAGTTGCTTTAGTCTCTGGTCTGCCTCTCGTAATTTGGCCTCGAGGTCTTCAAGTTGGTACTGTTGGGATTGAACAGTATCTTTTCTGATGGTGGCGGGTGTCAGTAGAGACAATTGCGCCAGGCAACAAAGTAAACCAAACTCACTTTTGCACCAGAGAATCCTCAAGGGCACTGACCCCGTTCAATCTGAACATCTCGTCCAAGGTCGCCGAGAAGTCTTGGGCTAGAGTCCTGACCCCATTGTTGTTAGTAAGTCCATCAACAACAGAGATGGTGGGGGGTGGCATCTCACGATTGAGGTCTGTTGTTGCTCTTCCAGCCTGCATCGGCATTCATATTGTGTGAAGCATCCATTGTTTTTCCCGGGTGTATAGCGAATAAAACTCGAGGCGAGGAAGTCGAGAATGTCGCAGAGGGAGGTATTCGTACTTTATGGGATCACAACCGACCGCGGACAAGGAGTACGCCTTGCGTGTGTCACTCGGGCTTGAATGAGTCAAGTGAGCAGGGTCTCGAAGGGAGTCAGATGCAGGCGTCGGGCAAACAGGCAGACAGGCAGACAGGCAGACAGGCAGACAGGCAGACAGCGAGGGAGATGACAACCTTGGGGTTCAGATCAGGTACGACTAAGGCAAGGAGGAGATGGACAGCAAAGTATAGAGAAGTGCTTGATGATGATGATGCTGGTGATGTTGGATGCTGGGTGTGAGATATGGCCACCGCAGTCACCGCCATTGAATCAGTTCTCTCTTTTGCCTAGCATGTTAAGCGAGAAAAGGGGGCAACAGGGGTTGTCATGTAAACCCCAGGCATTTGCAGATCCTTGACTTCAGGACTCGTTCGACTCCAGCAAAAGCATCAGGTGAAATTGAAAGGTTCATGGGTCTGTGTTGTGGATAACAAAATATTTACATATGACGGTCCCTGAAAAAGCGAGATGCCCTATTTACTCTGTGACTCCGTTAATCACCTACCTAAAAGACTTTGCAACCATCGCTGCAGGTCAAATCAAATAAATCTAAGCCCGGAAGAGAATGAAATCTCGTCTATAGCCGCTCATGATCCTTTATTGTTTGGTCCCTAACGAACGCCCCCCCGACTGTCCCTAAGCCTAGTGCGTTTAGTCAACCTTTTAGGCCTATCAAGCCTAAGGATCCCCCGTAGTAGCCTAGTTAGACCCCGGGTAGCGGACTCTAATAGCCTTACTACAACAACGACTCTCAGGTACAGACAGCATCGTCTTCGCCGAAAACTGTCCAGCTTTCGCCAATTTTTCCAAATCCTTAATCCTTAGCACCCATCAAATTTCGTGTCACTACATTTCTTTCCATCATCTCGTCTCCGCGACCACTCATCGTCTCCATCGCGTACCACACTTGGATCGGCGCGTTTCTCGATCTCTAGTTCATCAATCAAACGCTCAGATTGCCTCTTCGACCACGGGAATAGGGCATTGTCGCGCATTTGGGCGATTGCGACAGTGACCTTGGCCTGCCCTTTTTTTCTCTCGCGACGATGGGATGCCTTCACTAAAAGCCTATACACCCTACGAGACTCTCGCATTTTGCCAGTCGGTCGCTCGTCATGGCTCCGATACTTCAGCCTTTGAGGACATTGCAAAGTCGCTCAATTCGAATCACCTCATTCGCGACAACAACAACTATGACCAGACTCGATTGACCGCGGCTGCATTGGAAGGCTTGTATCAAGAACTACTGGTTGAAGAGAAGAAAACGAGTCTGGTCTTGGTCAATGGCGATGATGGTAATCCGCGCAAACGAAAACTGTCAGCCTCACCTCCCCCATCTACCGGGAATCATGATCGATCCGAGGAAGAGTTGCTCCAATCCCTGGTAGACAAACTCTACACGCGGTTCCGAGAGCAAACAATCAAGGAGATACGGTTGGAAGAGGAGGCATATCGCAGGATAGAAGCTGAAATTACCGAGCTAGAGAAAAAGGTCGAGGAAGGGCAGGAAAAGCAAGCCAGTGGTGATGATACGAAAGCAGAATCTCAACCCAAAGATATTGCGCCGAAGCTTCAGGATGGTCAATCCAGTCCAGATGCCGCTGCTGCGCAACTACAAGCGGGTCTAGACGCCAGTCGAGCAGACCAGGCTTCGAAAGCTACACCAAAAGAGCCAGGACCCTCTGTGCCTACGGCACGTGTCGCGCAGCCGCAACCTGCATCAGCTTCTCCTGCGACTCCCGCGGCCAACTCATCTGTAGAGCCTGCGCAACAGCCCAAGCATGGTCAAGCTCCAAGGCAGACCAAACCGGCGCAAGGCGTGTATCCGCGCCCTTCGCCTCAGAGGCAGGACTTTGTGCCAAACAATCCTCCATATCCTCCTCAGGGATATCCCATGCAAATGGTGCCTCCGGCTCATGGAAACATGCCTCCTCCAGTCGAATACCCCGGTTCAAGACGGTCTCCATCTGGTCAAGGTAGAGCATCTCCTGTTCACATGCCACAACAGCAATTCGCGGCGTATCCGGGCTATCAACAACCCTGGCCACATCATCCACCACAAAACTACCCTCCACCGCCATATCCCAACAGCTATTATCCGTATGGGACGCCCCAAAACCCCCAGCAATATCCAGTGTATCAAGGCACACCCGTCCAATGGACTGGCCAGCTTCCAGCACAAGTGTGGCAGAATCAACCATATCAACCTCCTAATTCTGCCAATGTAACTCCGGCTCCCCGAAGCACGCCGAGCCAGCAACACACGGGTAGGTCCTCTACACGTTGGAAACGAAGGCCGGAATCTACAAGTGCTGCGCGCAAGTCGAGCCCCGTCCGTCCGAGCGAAAGAGATGTCAGTCCAATCTCGGATGTCGAGTCGCCATCACGTTCGAACAAGGTCGGGAAATCAGCAGAACGAAACGAGAACTCCCTTACGGTGCAAGACGTGAGAGGCAGACGTGGGGCGAGCGCAACTCCTGGTGTCGATGGCTCACGATCCCAGTCACTTGCCTCATTCACATCAGAGACACCAACGGACAAGAAACGCCGAGGACGGCCACCATCGAAGATCAAGGCCGAACCACCGAGCACGCCGGCTCCGATACCGTCGGACACAGAGCCACAACCTTCAACGAGTCGCGCTGGGAGATCACGGAAGGGTATGGTGACTTCAAAAAATGATCAGGTACAGACGGCTGTCAAGCGAAAGCGTTCACCAGGTCGTGACTCGGCGACTCCTCCGTTACCTTCCCCGAGACGAACACAAATACCCTGTCATCCTTCGCATGACGTGGAACTGGTCAATGTGTCCAAGAACTTCTCAAAGACTGCCCAGCTCCTTCTGAACGATATCACGTCTCACAAATTGGCTGGAATCTTCGCCAGGCCACTGTCGGAGCGTGATGCTCCTGGATACAGGGACTTGGTGTTCCGCCCACAGGACCTCAAGAGCGTGAAAGCTGCTGTTTCCAAGGGTGGACGGGCGGCTCTTGGGGCGATTGAAACTCTCGAGGCAGAAGACCGGTCTGGTCAAGAAACACCAACCAAGAACGCTCCAGGCCCTACGTCTGAAACGGGTGAACGTTCCTTGGGGAATGGCATGTATCTTGTCAAGAAGAGCGAGGATCTGACACCACCCAAGGGTATCGTGAACTCATCACAGCTCGAGATGGAGCTGGTGAGGATGTTCGCGAACGCGGTCATGTTCAATCCGCTGCCTACGTCTGAACGAGGGTTTGGCCGGTCTCTTCGTCCGAGAAAACGAGGTGGAGATGTCGACGTCGATGTTGACACTGACAGCACCAGTTCCAGCGAAGGAAGTCCCGTGGACGAGGGTGGTATCATCTCGGACGCTCGTGAAATGTTTGAGGACGTCATGGCCTCGGTACGCAAGTGGCGAGAAGTTGAAGTTGAACGACTCAAGGGTGGCGGCGGTGGTGTTGGTGGGGATGATGCGACGGGATCCAACGTCAAGACGATGCATGGTCATGGTAGTGCCAGTGCCAGTGTGAGGCAATCTAGCGTGAGTTCTGCCTTGAATGAAGATGATGCTGGTGGTGACTCGGCGACTGCATCGACACCTGTCCCGACAACTGGTACGGCGAGAAAGAGAAGACGAATTGCGGATTGAGTTTGTTGCTGTTCTTGTTCTTATTGCTATGGCATCGATAAAACTGTTGAGATGCTTTACCAAAAAAGGAGGACAGGATAGGCGTATGTTTGTGCCAGCCTCGCAAGGCTGTGAGCGAGTCGGTGATAGTGATAGTGACAGTGACAGATTTCTTGAAAGTCAGAATTGAGATGGACAACAATCAGATTATTGTTTCGAACAGATTCTTGATCCTGTCTTTTCGTTTTTACTCTCTTTACCTATTCCTTGGAACTCTGCTGCTACTGTACCTACATCCCAGCACCTAGGTACGTACATTAGGTACCTACCAGGTATGTAGGGTAGGAGGTTAGAAGGTACCAATATACCACAAGAAATTCGGCCGGCACCGTCAAACATGTACTGGATTGGGTACACATTACGTAGCTGTTAAAGGTCTGATCCTCTTCACTGTACAGAGTCCGGCCTTTCTAGTTGACCGACCAGTCATGTTCGTTCTGGAAGTATAACCTCAATGGTAGCTACACACGGGGGGGGATGTTGAAGATGCCATGAACATGCCAGCACTGGCCTGCCTCTTTGGCCCGAACGACCTCCAAGGATTCAGTATCACCAGCATCATCATCATCATCATCGCCACCATCCATGCTTCGCGTTCGGAAAATAAAAAAAGGCATTGCAGAAACTTCCGGTTCACAGTCCTGCAAACCAAAAAATTCAGACCAAAAGGGCCGTTGGATCAGAAAACTGACTCGAACTGACTCGAGCTTACCTACTCACTCATCCAACCGCTTAGGGATTCAAACATGTCTAGCACACAAGGAGCCGTATGTCTTTTTCATCTGCAAGAAACCGAAAAGAGATCAAGAAAAGAAAAAAACCAACCTCCAACCCAACCTCAACTCGAGAGTCGTTTGAAAAGAAAAAAATCCCACCGGGAAAGGAAAAATTCTCACCGGCCAATTCTCGTCTCGACTCAGCACTGAATACAGCTTGGATGCATAAGAACTCACCAGGACTTGTTGTCCGCAGAGGTTGCATGGCCGGACCCTGACCCAAGCCTCTTTACCAAGCTAGGGGTCGGTCGATCAGTCTTTCGACACCACCGGCTCACCGGTTTCAAGACGGGGAAAAAAGGACCGTGTATATGATAGTCTGATGCAAGTCAGCAAACCAACGACATGATTTCAGTGGTTGATATCGATCGAAGCCGCATCATGGCGAGACCGAGTAGAGAAATCAATCAGCGTCAGTCATCGTCATGAATCGTATCATCCCAGCACCGTAGCGTTTTCCTTCCATCCGAACCAGCCCATCAGGAAAGAAGCAAAGAGCTTCATCCGGCTACTTGCATTTGCAGCCAAAAAGTCAGTCAAGGGGAGGGTCAGAGGGTTGGTTTCTCATGTTTACTTCCTAGCAAGGGCATCCGAATCCAAGTCCGAGTCTGATTCCCTGCAGCCCTGGTGGTTCGAATTTCAACGAACAACGACAACACATACTTTCGAGAGCTCTCTCTCTCTCTCTCTCTCTCTCTCTCTCTCTCTCTCTTTCTGGGATGGATGCATCAAAATATCCTTTCTAGGAATAAGAAACTTTGCGCGGGCGAGGCAAGAAGGAAAAAAAAAGGATTTTCAAGCGACATTACCTCCCCCGGACACCTGCATGAAACGGCCAAAAAACCACCCAAGAGAGAAACCCCTCCAAAAAGGGCTTGCTGCATGATTCACTTGGAACGGTAGGTAAAGATCGGAAATCGACTGATGGATGACTGACTCAATTTGCGTTTGCACCTAGTTAGTCGGGTAGGTAGGCAGGTAGCAAAATGTGTAAAGTGTGCATGCATGCAACGCTTTGTTGTCAACAACTTAGATCCTGCGTTTCTTCCCCTTGACCCCCTTTCACGGCCGGCTGCACCTCAAGACTCCTAGGGGATCGTTGCCAGCATGCTCATGTACAGAACGAGGGTTTTTCCCCACTTGCTTCCGCCACGTCCCAGTACAATACTGAGCACGGTCGACGCCTTTTCGTGTCACATACCTACCTGACCTGCAGTAGACAGTACTGTAGTGTGTGTGTGTGTGTGTGTGTGTGTTGTGTGCCTGCGACCGTGGATCCGACCGATGATAAGGTGATGAGGTAGGTAAGGGATGCCGACAAAGTCTGCAGACCGTTGTCGTGAACTCTTGACCCTTGATCTCCCTAAACCTTGGACTGACCTGACCAGACTGACCCGCTCTAGGGTGGTTGTACTGTAATAAAATCGCCGACATCCGTTACACAAGGTCGTCAGGCTGGGTTTCCTGGCCATGATCCCCCCTGCATAACTGATCTACCTTTCTCCGTACCTACAGTACAAGGTGGAAAAAGTTGAAACGTACCTAACAACAAAATTCAGACCCCATTCCATTCTGGGAGGGAGTATGTGTGTCGGCGGGAACAAACATGGATCATGGAACCATGGAACACGATTTCGACCGCGCCGTGCAGGTTCAAAACGCGCGATTCCATTCATTGTACTTGCCAAGACCAAAAAAGCAATCTGTACTGTACAAGTAACAAACCCTCCAGTTGGATAGAATTGGTTTAGGAGATCTATTTTCAGGTTCGGTAGTGTTGGCTTTGTTTTTGTTATCCACCGACGTCGTCGAAAACGCCGGTTCCACTAATCTATACTCCCGAAATGCTGTCCGCTCCATTTCTCACGAAACTCCTTGATCTGCCTTGCTACAAAGTTACTCCGTGGGACCAAGTCCGGCCGGGACGTAACTTGTAATAGTGTTGTACTTCGTACTCCCGTCGAAAATAAATTAGGGGTTTGTTTAACTTGACGGCAGAGCCATAAAAAGATCATCGTACTTTTCGAAATGCGGCTCCACCAGAACCCGTTCAGATTGACGAAAAGGATACTCCGTACTCCGTACACATCCCCCTGTTTTTTTGTTGTTGTTGATCTCTCTCCCCATAAGACCCTGGCCCTGGGAACTTTGAATTGTTTGATCTCCAGGGGTCCTGCCGGGACATTCAAAGGGCAACTATACGGAGTACCAGTACTCGAAGTCGTAGACATTGCCGTTTGACGCGCCAGTAGTGTCTCATTGGGTCTCCCGTCCGATCATCATGTTGGGGGGTTGACAGTTTCACCATGTCACCAAGATTATACAATATTATTGCGAATGGGACCCTTTCAATGTGACATGGGACGGCTTTTTTTTTCATTATTGCGCAATCGGCGAAATTGTGATCATTGTACGGAGTACTCAGTACTCGGTACGTCAACCACGTAACAACGTCATAAGGGTCAAGTACTCCGTACCTTCGGATATCAATCGTCGTTGATGCGCGCAACAATAATGACAATCATTCGCGAAACCAGCTGAAAAGGACGGACAATCACAATTTGATAGGTTTCCCCCAAATATGTTCCAGGCAAGGGGGTGTAAAGCATCATAAAAACATCAATGACTGTATTTTCCCGCAGAAAGGGGCCTTGAAGCTTCGGTTCGTCTGAAATTCTGGTTCCGAACACGAAGCTCGTTTGTTACGTTGTAGTACGAGTGCTAAACGATGGGTACAAAGAGTGTTTCTATTATCACCGACGGCAACTACCCATACTCAGAAGGATCAGACGGAGACCCAAGGCAGACACCCAAGTTCTGGGCTCATCCCCCGAGGTGTTTCGGTGTCGGGCGGGAAGGGCGGAATGATAGTTACCTACCTATACCTATTGTAGGTACTTCCGTACTGTAGGGGGAGTAGATGAGCCTTGGCTTTGGCTCTTCCCGACAGTGTGGATTCCACAAAAAAAAAGAAAAGCACGTGGGGACCCTTTTCTGCTCGCCAGGAGATATTATTGTATCATCAATCACATTTACTCCGTAAATGAAACGACACCTTTCAATCTTAAAGGACAGGGATCGTCGTACTACTGTACAAGTAGCGAACCCACGTCGTCATCGTCAGATCAGATCAGCTGGTGATGGGTGATGATTATTGCTGCAGTTATCAGCCCGTGATATGATTGCTGTTACGATACAGGAGTATGATTAGTCGTCCATCGCAACCCGGGGTCCCGACATTAATTATCGTGATCAAGGGGGGGGGAAGAAACGAAAAAGTCGTGGACATCTCCATGCTACGGACAAAGTCATTAACAGTACTCCGTAGATGGTCACCTGGTCATCTCATTTCTCGGGTGGAATGGGACTGGGATTGGGATTTGGGATTTCCAAGCAGGGGGTTGATGAGTCGTAACAAGTACCATCCCACAGCGCTTACTCTCTATGGAACCAAAGGGGGCTAACAATTCGCTTGCCAGCGCAGACGGACAATCAGCAGGGGGCTCTTCTTCGGCGCGTTCAGGTTCAGGTTCAGGTATGTTGTGCAGGAAACCCAGGATTCGTTCATCCCTAGACCAGATTGTTATTCGCCAGACCAGGAAAAAAAGACGACCCCCAAAATTCACCTCGTGACCGCCTTCACCTTTTTGCGCAAATTCAGGAGGAAGGAAAGAAAGATTATTGACTGGCCCCCTGGCGAATAACATACCTACCGTAGGTAACAATGCGCCGGAGTCAGCAAGGAGTCAAATCACTGGATCAAACCGATGAGCGGTGTGATGGCAAGGGAAATGTAGACACAACTCCTTATTGGTAACCCGGGGCATTTCTTGTTTCCCTCGAATAAGGCGGTACAGACAGGGTCATATTTTCGCAACTCTGTCCCAGACAAACGGGGGCAAATCACCAAAGACTTAAGAAAAGCCAATACTCTTCCCTCGCAGCGAGATTCGCACGAAACACAACTGGTAGCTAGCTCGTATTATTATTGCCAAAGTTTCCCTCCATGTTCACGCAACTTTGGCCCCTTGGGATGTTATCGTGTCGGGCCAATAAAGATCCTTATCCCACTCAGGGCCACGTCAGAAACGGCCCCCCGGGCTACCGAAGGGGGGGGGAGGGCGCGTGCAGCGATGGGTTGCATAAAAAACGAAATGAGGTGCATGGACTTAAATAAATCCGGGGTGCATCTTGGCCTTCACTGGTCTCCCTGACACTCTTGGTGTACTACCGCCTCACATTGGCCGAGGATCCTGTCAAGCGATGCACCAACGACGTCAACACATCTCCACCACCGATCCGGTTATCGTTCATGGCGCCGGTTGACTCCTGAAACAGGTACGCTAACTCTTCGAGAAAGATCCCAGCGGCCCGCTCATTGTGCTCTTTTGTGTCCTTGACAACAGTGTCCCTTTTCCTTGCGGAGAAAAGGTTCGCGCAGCGGTCGTCAGGGAGAGTAAATTGGGCCCGCGAGATAGGAAGGGATAGGAAGTCGAGACGGATACCGACACCTCAAGTGGTACTCGTAGAGACACGCTCCGTATCATTGTACGAGTACTGGTCCATGTCGTGGGAAGCGCGGCACACGACGGCAAGGAAAGTGGATGAGCAATAGACAGACCTTGCGGTTCGCACAGCCGACGGGTGAAGGAAGTTTATCCTAGTCGTACTTCTACCAGTTACAGTATTGTACAAGTAACTAACCGGAGAAGCGGGCTTGGAACTCGTTCGAGTAACCCAAAACTTGGTCTTTGTCCGGTCGAAGGGTGGGTGGGTGGCATGTACTCGTAGAGGGGAGCGGGTGGGAAAGAGTGCCGGACACGGGAGTTGAGGAGCAGTCAGCGCGAACGCAGCTGTCAAGAGGTGCCAAGTTCACGAAGGGGGGCGTCGCTATGCACGGATGGGCTCGGGTGTTCCTGAGGATGAAAGTCCAGCTGTGCCACCTTGACAGCGAGGCCGAGCAAAGGAGGGGACCGGGATTTGGATCCAGCAGAATGGATCCAATTGTCGATACCAAATATTACCAGTCATTTCAGTATCCGGACGAGCGTGGAACCATGCTCCAATGTGACGTCAAGGGGATGGACTTGATGCGAGTCCGAAGTCTGGGGGGAAAAAGACGATGGTCTGACTGTGTGTATTCTTTACTGTATCGTGTATATCGAGACCTCCCTTCCTCTTTTGACGGTGCTGCACGCGACTCCATCAGTAGAACTGGCATGTCCTCGATTGCCCCTACGACCTTCCTCCTTCATGGCATCATGGTAGGACGGAATTGCAATGTCGACGGAGGTTGCCTTGTTGGTCAGCGATGGCGTGGGGTTTCTGGAGGTTGGTGTCTGTCATGCAGCTCGTAGCATTGGATAAAACGATGGCCACGTATGCCGCGGTCGTGGAGTTGATATGCCATGCTTCTGCACCTCATCGCCACCGCTACCGCTCTACGAAGCGAATAGACGATTTGGATTAGATGCAGGCCGACGAAAGCATCAAGGTCAGGGTGCAGCTGGACGGCACGATGCGCGCGAAAGGCAGGCCGCAGATAATCTGCAAACTGGGTGTTCGTGTCTGCAAGTGATATGTGAAAGATGACCGTCAGCAGACTCACTATCGACAGTTTTCGGCACGGTGCAGCAACCACGGGTCACTGCCGAGGAAGAGGGTTTGAAGCTATTGTTGAAGATTGTTTGCGATTGACCATTTCTGGCCTGGTTTGACGGTGAGAAATGAGATATGTGCACTTCACCGACAGCGAAGCGTTTATGCCGTCAGCTGAAGTGGTTGGCCGCATATCGCCTGGAATTTGGGCGTAGACTGGAGTTCTGTCGGTGACAATCATACTCTGTACCTAGTCATGCGCCAGATTGCGTCTTTGATAGTGGCGTCAGATGCATTCCAACAGGCTGGTTCAAGTGGTTCTAGAAGCCAGAGATTACGAGTCATCTGCGATACAATGCTGTTCGTACCAGCCGTGACGGTCAGATGAGAATAGATTACAACTCGGTTTCAGGGCGCTATGCACGTTGGCAAGGAAACTACTGCATGGAGTAGCTAGGGAGGGATTCGAGGAGATGTGGGCGGGAGGCGAGAGTAAACGAGAGGGTGAACTGACCAGGGAGACCTTGTAGCGAGTAGGACCCTAGAAAACTGTAGAAAAGGAACATGGGGAAATAAGGGCAGTAAGAAGTACTGAACGAGGCGGAAGAACGGCACCCATCAATTCAATCAAGGTCATCCTGGTGTCAAAGACGGGAAAAGGTCTGGCTCGTTGAAGGGTTGAAACGCCCCTTGTTGGGATATGCCCTTGTAAGATATTCTCTACGAGTACCAGATAATTGCACATATCTTTTAGTTGAAGAGAAGGGGACAAAGAATGAAGTATTATTGAGCTGGATCGATTGAACATTGTTGGCCCATGTCGGAGCTCTGATTATAGGGGACGTTGTATTGTAGTCGGTATTGCGCTGTAATGACTCTTTAAGCTCCAGAAGAAAAAAGTGTCGAGTCTGACCTGTGACCAGGAAATCCCTGTTACAAGAATATTCCATCTTTGACCCTTTTCATTTCCACCTCGATACCGAGTACTCGTAATCGTACTTGTACGCATCCAGTTATTGTTAAGTCGTAATGATACGAGTACGACTCACTTTCCCCCCAAGGCGTTTTTTCTCGCAACATCGACCCTCTACTCGTATGAGTATTTGCCCATCAGTCCAAAATTTCCGGACACAACTGGGTACTTTGTCTGGTTTCCCGTCCTTGTTTTCACTGGGTCCTAGATACTCCCTACTGGTATTGGTACTTTGGGAAATGACTCCATAGCACTCACTGTACTGTACGGAGTAACCTCGTCAGTCACCCGCTTCTCAGCACTTTTCTTTTCTCCTCGTCACCAAAAATAAAATAAAAAATACCCAGGTACCTTACGAAAAAACAGGGCCACGTCAATCAACAAAAACCTCCCAACTTCCTCGATACAGAAAAGATCCTCTCTGCCTTCAGCTTCCTCGAAACCCTCTCTCTACATACGACCCCTACGTGTTGGGCCTAACCAACATACCATTTTGACATTCTGACATCTGTCCGATTTCTGCTGTCTGTGCCCTGAAATCCTGAATAATACAAGTACCCTGCCAGCGAACGAACGAGCACTGTAAAGCAACAATACGAAGTACCCCAGTTCGCCGACCAACATTGACGACCCAGTCTTTTCCTCTCTCTCCCGCCAAATAGTCATCAATCAACCCTCGTCCTACTCCGTATTTGTACGACACTATTTTTCCCTCGTCCGCCGCTGCCACTCAACCACCACGCACTTTTTTTCCCACACTCTCGCATACATCTGCATACTACTGCATCGCGCCATCCAGTCATTCCCTGGTCGCTCGAACGTACCATCCCTCGAATCGCTCACTTGTGCTGCGCACCACTCCCCGACAACTCATCTGAATATCCTTTCTGAGCGGACAGCTGGATTGCTTCTGACTCGTCCATTCCTTTGTCCGATCAACCCCCCTGCGAACGTCCACCCTCCCCAACCTATACAAAATCACACATAGCCCGCTTCTTCGACTCGAGGCTCTGCAACCGCACCAGGTCGGTCGCCTGTCGTCTGACTGCATCCCAGTCCAAAGTCTGCCACCGCCTCCCTTTCAGTCCGTCTGCATCCTCGACTCCGACCCGAGCCTCGATCTGCAAGGCCAGCGCCTTACGCACCCCGTCATTTCGAGTCCGCCTAGAGCCCACGCGTTGTACTTCCTCCTCCAGACGGGCCCTCCCTGCATTGCAGCTGCACCAGCACCGATCCGATCCTTTGCGATATCAGGCGACGCTCCTGGCCATAAAACATGGCCGGTATCCGAGCCTGATGGACCGCCCTGGTTCCCTCTCCTCTACACGACCGCTTCTTGTCTTCTCCCTACAAGACCACTATGAAGTCGTCAAAGGACCATATACAGAGCTGGACTCATTCTGACCATTCTGACCATTCTCAAACCTTTTCTTGATCGTTCTCTACTGTTCTTGGACAGACCCGAGGCCCGTCCACCATGATCTCTGCATCACCATCGCCTGCTCTCAGGCCCTTGCGGAGCCGGGAAAGCTCCCCTTCGCCTCGTCCGCGCCCAATGGCTCACATGTCTGCCTTCCAGCGCGTCAACACCTCCCTACCACACCAGGTGCTGTCGGTGACCCCTGCTTCCGCCAACAGCACCTCTTCTATCGCCCCGAGTCCCCATATCTCTTCTCTTCAGTCATCCCCGCTGGTCTCTCAAACACACTACCACCACCTAGGGACACCGGGACCTCTTGAGCTCCCCGAGTCCCTAGTCTCTGCTGCTCATGCCTCGCCTCCGCAGCGAGATCCGTCTGTGAGCCTCAAGTCAGTGGGTCTCATGCGCAAGTTGTCCCAGAGCGCAAAGGATGGCGTTTCCTCCACCCGGCAAATTCTACGGAGGAAAACGTCGTCGAACCAAAATCGCCGGGACGAAAGCACCGGACCTATCGCTCGCCGAAGGAGTGACAGCAAGAATGCACTGCCTAGTGGTGGCGGTAGCAGCAGCATTGAGTCACCTTCTTTCGATACCTTGCCCATGGATATCCATCCCGGTCTGGGTCTTTTCGACACCATGAGCATATCCAGCGAGCCAGTAACTCTCCTCGATACCAGCCCAGAAGGCCAGGCCCCCTGCGTGCCTGAACGTCTCGTGGGAGGCTGCCTCTTGACCAAGATCACCCGGAATAAAAAGCAGGAGAAATTATTCTTCCTCGATGTCGAGGGTTCGAGGGTCTCTTGGAAAGGAGCAGTCACCATGAAGGTCTTCCACATCGACAATATAAAGAGCATCCGAAGTGGTGAAGAAGCTGCCAGCTATCAACAGGAGCTACGAGGTGAAGCTGTTGACCCAGAGCTCTGCTTCACCATCAACTATGCGGCATCGGATTCCTCAAAGCAGGTCAAGACCTTGCATCTTGTTGCTCATACACCTGCCGACCTCAAGCTGTGGGTCGACACCCTCGAGAGCTTGGCCAAACACCGCGAGGAGCTGATGACTGTCCGCTCTTCAGAGCGCGAATCGGTCATGAGGGCTCACTGGGAGAGCGAGATGGCAAAACGTCCCGACACTAAGATTGACGGTCTTGACTTGCCTGCCATCCGGTCTCTCTGCCGTAAACTACATATTCACGCCCCTGAAAAAGAACTGGAACACCATTTCAACTCCGCGGACATTGACAAGTCGAGGCGCCTAACGTACGAGCAGTTCAAAGAGTTTCTGAAACGCTTGCGCGAGAGAAGCGACATCAAGAAGATCTTCAACGATCTCAAGGATGACCACGCCGCCGGCGTAAGCCGGTCGAAGTTCGTTTCGTTTCTTGAAGACGTTCAAGGAATGAGCCTCAGTGACCTATCTGAACCAGCTGCCTGGGAACAGAAGATGAATGATCTGGTTGCCTCTTCGTTCCCAAACCGTCCAGACCTTCGTGAGCGAGATCTCATTGATGCCAATGCCTTTGCTACCTTTCTCATGTCCAAAGACTGTCATGTCTACTCGAGGCCTGAGGAATCAGTACCCATCTTTGATCGACCACTGAACGAGTACTTCATCTCATCTTCTCACAACACCTATCTTACAGGCTGGCAAGTCAACGGTACGTCTTCGGCAGAAGCTTACATCACGGCGCTGCGCCATGGGTGCCGCTGTGTCGAGATCGACTGCTGGAACGGCCAAGATGGTAACCCGAGAGTTACACACGGTCGAACTCGCACGACCTCGGTGCTTTTCTCTGACTGCATCAATGCTATTCAGAGATGTGCTTTTGACGTTACCCCCTACCCGGTCATCATCTCGCTTGAGGTCCACTGTGATAGTGAGCAGCAGGCTAAGATGGTCGATATTATGAGCTCCGTCTTCGGCGACCGGTTACTTGCTCATCCATTGCCCGGATTTGCGGCGAAACTGCCATCGCCTGAGCAACTGAAATACAAATTCTTGATCAAGGTCAAATCTACCGAGCTACACGCTGATCTCGAAGCTTCGCGTCGGTCTGCAACTCTCAGCCGCACTCGAAGTGCCAGCTCGCCTAACCGCCATGGCCCTACTAATGGCTTTGTTCCGGGTCTGTCAACAGTGTCAAGTCCTTCTATGATAACGCCACCAGAAACCATTTACTCCCCGACTGATCGATCAGTAACGGCGACTAGTGCGAGCAGCGCTGACGAAGAAAGTGATGTCGCTCTTACATCTTCCTCGCTCGCAGCAGACAATGCCAAACGCACTCCCAAGTCGAGCAAGGTTGGTCCACTCCTGTCCGCCCTTGGTGTATATATGAAAGGCTATACCCTCCGTGAGGCTCGAGATCTCGGTTTCCAACAGTACAACCACATTTTCTCACTAAGCGAAAATCGTGCCATGGAACTCTGCCATGCTCCAGAAGACAAAGCCAGGTTCGAGGACCACAATCTGGAGTACTTGTGCCGTGTTTATCCCAAGAACCTTCGCTTTCAATCATCGAACTTTGATCCCAACACATTCTGGCGAAGAGGTGTGCAAATGGTTGCCCTTAATTGGCAAACGTTCGACGCGCATATGCAAATGAACCAAGCCATGTTCGCCGCTGGAACGGATGCCTATGGCTATGTGCTCAAACCAGAATACCTTCGCAAACCTCGGACAAAGCATGGCGACTTTGAACATCGTGTCAAACTCCCACGGTACAAGATGAAATTCTCGGTTCAGATTGTATCAGCTCAGCAGCTACCTCGACCGCCAAACATGAGCAGAGAAACTCCCTTGAACCCCTTCATCGAGGTACAGATGTTCAGCGCCGAAGACAGAGCTCGTGGGATTGCCAATGGCACTGGTGGCAAAGAGACCTACTCGAACGGCTACCATGGAATTGGTTCGCCATACCGTCGTCAGACACAAATCTGTTTTGGAAATGGTTTCAATCCCCAATTTGGCGATAGCATCGAACTGTCCCTGGAAACCAAGTACCCCGAACTCGTGTTTGTTCGCTTCATCGTCTATAATTCCGACGATGGCAGGCACAATGGCAAGGGCATCAGACAGCTCGCCGCCTTTACAGCCAAACTCGACAGCATTCAAAAGGGTTACAGACACTTGCCTCTGTACAATGGCCACGGCGAGGAGTTCATCTTCTCCACGTTGTTCTGCAAGGTGGTCAAACAAGAATCCAAGCTCATGCCGTGGTCGCTCCAAGATGTGAGCGAACGACCACCCAGGGCCAATGTCTTCCGAGGCATACTCTCTCGAGGCCTCTCTGGGGACCGTGGCAGATCCCGAGCTTCCAGTATCGAGGATCAACGTACCTCCCGTCAAGCCAAGCTGAACCGGGAGATTGAAGAAACCGTCGCTAGACGATGAGATTGCATACGCACTAATGCACCGGCATTAATTGTATCAACGCAGGGCGCGGGAATTTGATATTCGAAAGAGATACCCAAAAGCATATATGACCGTGACGACATTGATTAGATTCACCCCGTCTGGCAACGGACATGATTTCTTGTGTTAACAGTCTTTATTTTTTGTATTTGGAGGTCAAAGGAGCTGGACGGGTGTTGATTACTGTTACCTTATCCTACCACCTATTTTCTATGTACCATATCTATATAGACCTTGAGGGCTATTTCTTTCTCTCTGTTGGAATATGATGTTCATTTTGTCACAATTTATTTCTTTGATGACGGGGTCGACTTGGGTATAACATTGACTGGAGACGTACATGGGAATATCTGTTGATCTTTGATACTTGGTAGTTTTTGCAAACATTAGGTCTACATCTGATTGGAAACAAGAATCGAGCTGCATGCCCCCAGAATCAATAGAATGCTCTTGGTGCTGACTTTGCAGTTGATCTTATCCAGTCCAGTCGAGTCCTTCACCGACTAAACTGCTATTCTGCAGTAGTGACTTATGCACATAATGTCCGAGGTCTGACAACGGCCTTTCCAGCCATCACCACAAAACTCACTCTGTATTGCACAATATGAACGGCATTGACAGCCCGTCATTCTATCCCAGACAAAGTTCACCGGAGGCTCAGCCGCTCGACTCTGCAGCATCGACCACTGCAGAGACCGCATTTTGTGCTGGCAATCCTCCCACTCCACTACAAGAGACTTGTCTATGTTCGATCTCTATCCTGAGACCTCTTAGGTCTCTTTTACCAGTGGCAGTGTCTGCGTCGTTTTCTCTGTGCCTCCCTCGGATCAAAATGCTGCTGCAACAGTTCTGCTAACACTGGAGAAAACCCGCGCCCTCCGTGGTCTCAGCCCCAAGGGATCTTTGATTCGGCAAGACTTTTCAAGTCTCTCCATCACTCGGAGGGAGCAGGATGAGGTTCATTCAATCTTTTAAAAACCAAAACAACTCATTCCAGCTTGACATCGTCGGTATGTAGCATCTACCTGAGATGTACCTGAGATCCAATTTGCTGACCCGATTCGCTCTCCAGGTTTCCTTGCTATCCTTGGAGAAGGTTCCGTCGAGACTGTTGCTCAAGTCGTGACCTTGAGTTATCTGATATACCTCCCTCGACTCCTGCCTGCGCCTCAGATCTTTATCAGACCCTCGAGACCGGAGAAGCTCGAGACGACCTCGGGAGCAAAAGTCATTGGGGTTCATTCAGGCAACACTGGCGAAGATATACACCATGTGGCCCATGCGTTACACCGTGGAGACAAGCTTGCCCCGAACACCGTGACATGTGTGAGGGTGAGAGAAAATGACCGGCCTCGACCGTCCATCAAGCGTTTTGGGCCGTTGGCCATACTGGCCTTTATAGGCTTCGTCATGAGTGCAGGATTACTGGGCTTGTCTATATACTATCAGGATGGGTAGGATGGGGCGATTGCGCGCGGACTTGGAACACCTGCTGACGTGGACTAGGATGTCGTTGTTGGCTACTGTCCTGTTATCCTCACTGAGCAGTGTCACCGGTGCAGCTAACAAATGGTCACCCACCCCGAACGACCCAAAGCCGGACCCTCACTCTCCGCCCGGCGACGTGGTGATCAAGTACCCTCAGGGGGCGTTTATTGTGGTGAGCTGTGAGGAAAGGACGGCACGATATCTGTATTTCAACCCCAGCGAGCGATGCATCTATGCCGTGGAGGGCACAGCCATCTACCGAGGACTGTCTCTAGTCTCGACCCTGTTGCTGATGGGTGGTGTCATCTCACTGGCCAACGCCAGGATCGAGACCCAGACGGCATTTGCCGGAGCGTACATGCTCATCAACATCTTCTACTGGATCGGCGCCGCTCTGCCTCCTGCCCAACATTGGGACCTCTCTCGGCTGGAGGTTGACCACATCGAGGTCCATGGCGGTACACCACCGCGCACGGCGAAGATCGACAACTATTCTCCCACGTACACTGAAGCCCTGTGGAAGGCGATCGCGGTTACAGGCACGAGTAACTGGGTCAAAGAGGCTGGGTGGGCTCCCAGAACTCCGGCATGGAACGACTGGCTGAACGAAGCAGAAGAAGCCGCACTGGGTGAGCCTCTGAAGTCGAGTACGAAGACGGTCAATGAAAAGGTGGTCGAGGTCTGGACGATTCGCAATTGGGATAGCCGGAGCGCTCTCTCGACGTTGCTTCGTACCACGACAGATAAAATAGGACCACGGTCGCCCAAGTGAAAGGAAGCCGTCATCGTTGTACGGAATGTGTGAGACGAGATCTTATTTTTGGTGTGTCCTGGATAGACTGCCTGGCTTCATGAAGATGATGAATTGATACGAAACCATGACCAAACTAGCTGATGAGTAATGATTTGATGATGCTGCATATTTGTTATAGAGAGATAATGAAAAGATTGATTATTAAATGCTCCTACTCGGTTTTGAGGTTGGGTACCATGTATGAGACTGTGAATCCTCTAGATCGTGGGTAGAGAGCGAGGGTCCCCCACCCAACTCTCTCCCCCGGCTTCGTCTTCGCGATGGCTTGGCATGCGCACAAAAAAAGTGACCACCGTTCAAGACTCAAAGTGCGGACTTCTCACAAACTGCGAATCTCTCAAATTCCCAACACACTCAGACCTTTGAACAACCGTGGTCTGCACCAACCTTCAGAGAAAGATGTGAGAATCCCTGCATATCGCTGCGGAAATTGGTCTGCAGCATGCTGATTCTAAGGATGTACAGTGAACTCCGAGATTCGTCTTGATCAGAAGCCACAATGCCTTTCACCAAAGAGTTTGTCCACCTTCTGCCTTCGGAGTCTAGATCATCACTAACAAAGTCATTTGCAGAGTCAAGAACTCGCCGTACTTTTCGCGCTTCCAGACCAAGTACAAGCGTAGAAGAGCCGGAAAGGTATGTGTCTGACTGCGCCCTCGGTCGACGACTTTTGAGGCCAACCTCGCTGACTTTTCTCACTACTTGCAGACCGATTACTATGCTCGTAAGCGATTGATCGCCCAAGCCAAGAACAAGTACAACGCTCCCAAGTACCGAATGGTCGTGCGCTTCACCAACCGCGACATCATCTGCCAACTGATCACCGCCGAACTCTCGGGAGACAAGGTCTTTTGCGCCGCCTACGCACACGAGCTTAAGAGATATGGAATCCAAAACGGTCTGACCAACTGGTCCGCTGCCTACGCCACCGGTCTCCTCCTGGCCCGCCGTGCTCTCAAGAAGCTCAACCTGGACGAGGATTTCACCGGTGTTGAAGAGGCGGACGGTGAGTACAAGCTCACCGAAGCCGCCGAGGTTGACGGAGAGGAGCGCCGCCCATTCAAGTGCTTCCTCGACGTCGGTCTCCACCGAACCTCGACCGGTGCCCGTGTCTTTGGTGCCATGAAGGGTGCCTCCGACGGCGGTCTCTTCATCCCACACAACGAGAAGCGATTCCCCGGCTACGACCAGGAATCCAAGGAACTCGATGCCGACACCCTCCGCCGGTACATCTTCGGTGGCCACGTCGCCGAGTACATGGAGACCTTGGCCGACGATGACGAGGAGCGCTACAAGTCCCAATTCGTCAAGTACCTTGACAACGATGTCGAGGCCGATGGTCTGGAGGAGCTGTACAGCGAGGCCCACGCCGCCATCCGCGAGGACCCCTTCAAGAAGGATGACGACGAGGGTGAGAAGAAGGACAAGGCTCACTGGAAGGCAGAGGGCAAGAAGCACAAGGTCTCGAAGTTGTCCAAGGCTGAGAAGGAGAAGAGAATCCAGGAAAAGATTGCTGCTCTTGCACAATAGAGCCTTTCTATCTATCTGCCTGCTTACCCACCATCTGGTCGATGTCAATGGAGTCTCGGAGTGAGTTGATTACCATACTCGGGGGGGATATGACATGGAGAAACAATTGAGATTGGTTCAGCCTCAGCATAGTGAGCAGAAGAAAAGTTGTGTCCTTGTCCGGCCCATTCACAATGGCCCTGCCGTAGGCAAATCAAAAAAAAATTGCCGCCGCCAGAGTGATTGCATATGTTGATGAATCAAAGAATGATAACCAAAGAATTTTGACGTATTGGAACTTGTTCTACCTCTTCGTGTCAGATACTCCTGAGTGTAGAAATGTCATTTGCCATGACAGAGCCTCAGGCTATTTGGAGTGACCGCTGAGTAATGGCCGTTTGGCAACTCTGACATAAGATGCTGACTACCTAAACCGAGTCGCCTATGGAGTACCTAGAGTATGTAAGAGATACTGACTGTGTTTTACGAGGGACTCTCGTACTGCAGATCCCAGGCGAACTGCTGCCCTGGGTTGAGTCAGATGCAGGAAGTGTCATTGATGGAGATACTGGACAGTAGAAGTGGGCATATCAACTGTGCTTTACAAGGACACACAAACACCGTGTCGGCGAAACATCTCAATGCAAGCGATAAAAACCTTCACGGTCATACCACCGAGCAAGGGTTTTTATTGACTTCATGCCAGATAAAAGCCCGGTGTGATGATGGATCTCCAGTAACGAGTAATTGTGCGATGGAGCCACGGAGTGTTCTTCTGATGAGAGAATCATCGGCGGTGGCCACCATTTCAACTGAACTAACTGCTGCAGGGTAACTGGGTACTTCGTCCTATAGGGTACTCAGTACTTGTATCCAACTGTTGGGTGATTGATGACCGATGACCGCATCGTTGGGCCACACGGGCCTGATTCAAATTAATAGGCTGGTAGAGCTTCTGTACGGAGTACCCAGGTAAGGGAATCAATGGTGGTTTGCCCCTCTCACTCCCGCCCACAGGGCAAGTCAATGTGTCTAGACTCTCACACTGACTACAGCCACCCACGTTCTTCCATCATATCCCGGTCGCCATCATTACCACAGCCGAATGGAAACAAGTCTTGTTGAACCCCGCCGTCGCTCCATCGCTCCTCAGCTTCACACTGCACTCATGACTCTCCATCATGTCTTTGCTCCAGCCTGAATACATATTTCTGTGATCAGGGCCCGAGTTGAAATAATCTACGGCTGCATGCCGAATCTTTGCCGCAGCCATGGCGAGCACAGTCGGGCACAATCTCGACGTTGACTGGCTCTTGCATTCGAAGAAAGGTGAGCAGCCGAGCTTCGCTGCATCTCAGCGAGGCCTTCTACAACCCGACGGTGGTGCTGATGAAGTCCCAGAACTCTCGCAATCCTTGGGCGACAAGAACAACAAAAAAGACGAAGTGCGATCGCAATCTCCGCCTCAGATCAAATCGACCGAACCAACTCCGCCGTCCACACCTACCGATCACAAGCAGCCGAAAAAGGCGCAAAGAGATGCAGACTCTGTAGCTGCACCTCAGAAACCTGTGTCGACGCCGAACGGCACGACTGGTACCGCACAGGCGAATGCGACAAAGGCTGGAGGTGCGCAGACTCAGCCGAAGAGCCAGCCGCAGAATGCACGACCTACACTGCCCAAGGGACAAAGTGCCGAGGACAAGAAGAACTTGAAGACCAATACACCCAATGGCAAAAGAGATGGCAGACGCAGCTCATGGATCTCGAGTATCAGTTCGAAATTCTCCTCGTCGACCTCTCCTACACCCTCCCGCCAGTCGAGCATGGACGACAGACAAGGCCTTCACAAACCCGACGTGCCATCGCCACAGCCCAGCCCAAAGGTGGAGTTGTCGAATCCTTTCAACAAGAAGGAATCAGTCAAAGACGGACACAGCGATACCGCGAAAGAGGAAAAACCGACCCCAGTTGTACATGCTGGCCCACGTCGACCGTCGGTTCTGGTTGCCGCGGGCAAGGAAACGAAACTGGAGCACCCAGGCTTCCTCTCGAGCGCTTTACGGAGACTCTCATCGTCTTCCAATGCGACCATGGGCAAAGGTGGTGGTGCATCCGGGGCGATCTGTCCGAGGAGGGTCATGAACATTGACCAAAATCGACAGCGAATCAAGATCAACGAATTCGATCAGGCCAAACTCAAACGAGTGGCTTTTTGTGTTGATGTCGAGATTGCCGGGTTTTCTGCATCAGCCGACGAGGAGCCTGACAAGTTCAGCCGTCCTACCACGTCGAACATGCAGAAACAAAGCCTCACCACAGAAAAGGAGTCCACCAACAAAAAAGACGTCAAGGATGCAAAAGTGAAGGACATAGGGGAGGGTGCTGCTCTGAAAAACCCGGCGGCCGCCACGGAAGCAAAGGAGGAAAAGCCAGCAGTCAAGCCTGAGCCGACGCCTGAAGAATCCAAAGACAAACAAGATGTCAAAGTTTCATTGAGTGAGGCCACCACCACATCTCCGGAGAACCAACCTCCGCCTACGACAACAAGGAAAAAGGAAAAGAAGAAACGGTCCGAAGCCGAACGAAAAGAACGAAAGGAGAAAAAACGGCGGCATGCAGAGGCCAACGGACTCGTACCGCTCGAGTTGACCAGAGATGATGATGATTCGGATTCAAACTCCAGCAACACTCCCCCAGGCGCTTCAACTCCGAGACGACCAATGGACGGGCCCACGATAGACCCTCTACGAATCTACAAACGATGTTGTCAACTCCGCGAGACCTCCATCCTTCCTCAGATGAAAGAGCAGATTACGAAACCATCAGCGACCCTGGCAGAAGCACCTGGAACAGTGGCGGTAATGGATCTGACCGGATTCCAAATGTCGTTACAAGACATCAACACGTTGGGCGACTGGCTCGCCATCGTGCCCGTTCGAAAATTGATCCTGGAAAATTGTGGCTTGACGGACGAGGGAGTTAGAGTGATTCTATCTGGACTCTCAAGCTGCAAATCTATAGAGCAAGCTCGGCAAAACAGAAAACTCCCCAAAAGATATACCGGAAAACGTGGTATGGAACAGATGGGTGTCATTGAAAAATTGTCGTTGAAAGATAATCCTGCCATCACCAACCTGGGTTGGAAGCATATAGGACTTTTCCTCCACATGTCGACATCTCTCAAGGCGATTGATCTTTCTGGGTTACAATTTCCGAAGTCAGGCGATCTATCGAGGACACCCTCGGGCAACAGTTCAGTCAGTAATGCCGACACAAATTCCAAGATGGTCGATTTGGGTACTCTGATCATCCACGCACTGACGGTACGATTGGGCGACAAACTGGAGGAACTTATACTCGGCCGGTGTGGACTCTCCACCAAAAACATCCAAGACATTGTTGAATGTGCTATGAAATGCAAGATCCGTCGCCTCGGACTGGCCGACAACAACGTCACCGAAGAAGCATTGGCACATCTCGTTCGCTATGTCAAGTCTGGTAGCTGTGAAGGTCTAGACCTCGGTGGGAATGACTTGCGAGGTATTGCACATACATTGGCAGAAGTTGCCACTGACACATGCCCCCTGTTCGCTATTAGTCTTTCGGCTTGTAACCTGACACCGACCGACCTCAGCGCGATCTTGATTCCATTTGGCAAACTCACGAACCTCAAATTTATGGATTTGTCACAGAACAAGGCGTTGTTTTCCGGGGGACCGAATGCTGTACCAGTTTTGCGGAAGTTCCTGCCCAGACTGACGGAGCTCAGACGCATCCACTTGTCTGATGTAGACCTAACTCCCGATCAAGTGGTGGCGCTGTCTGAGATTCTACCCGACTGTCCGAACATGATGCATATTAGTATCTTGGACAATGCGCCTCTATTGCATGCCATGAACTCCAAAGAGGAAGGTGCTCAAGAAGAAGCTTGCGCTTTCTTTGCGGCGTTGATGACAGCAGTGAGAGTGTCAGAGACCATATGTGCGGTGGAGATTGAAGTTCCTGGTGCCGACAGTAGTGAAGTTGTCAAGGCATTGGCGTCACAGGTTGTGGCATACAGTCTTCGGAACATGGAACGGACAACTCTCGATGACATGGGTATCCATGCCGCCAACACAAATGACAAGGATGCTCCTGAAGTGCTTCTTCACCTTGTCGGACACATGGACGGATACTCTGACAATCACGATAATGATGAGCCGGCTCCTGACGAAGATTATCTGATCGCGTCGACGGGTATAGTCAAAGCCTTGGACGTTTGTCTGACGAGCAAAGATGGTACCAGCCGGGCACATTCAAGGAATATCAGTCCGAGTGTCAGTGGCACAGCAACACCGAGACAAGGTGCGACCCATGGTGTCAAACCGCGGGACGTCAGTTTGCAGCTTTGCGACAGTGCAAGGAAGATTCGAATGAGATTACGGCCGGTCCTGATCAGGGAAGATCGTGCTGGGAATGACTACAACTACCGTAAGTTTGTTTTCGGGGTCGTCTTCTATATTAAAATGTGCTAAAACTGTCACAGGCCGTCTTTTCAACCTCGATCAAACCTTGCAGCGTATGATTGAAAGATTCGAGGACGAATACCCAGAAACCAAAGCTACAGATCCAGGACTCGTGTCTGCCAGTGGCTCGCCCTCTCCAGGTCCTTCGACGGCCGATCCTTCGATGCTCTCGGCGTCTGTCGATTCCGATGGATTGACCAAGATGACTTCGGCAGATGAATACTTCCCCACCCAAAACGACGAGCAGGATTCGTCTCGGCCCATCAAATTATCTCGCACCACCTCAGAAACCTCTCTGGCTGCCAAAGCGTTCACGGATGAAGAAGGTCGGATGCACCGTTTGGGACAGAGTATTCGCCGAGAAGTGCTCAAACCCACGGGCATGGAGGATAACCTCCACGGTACGAGCAATGGTGATCATCCGGAACCTCCCCATATAGCGGCTCTCCGGGCGAAACTCGAAGCACTCAGCGGAGAGGATATAAGGGCAAAAGTACAAAGGGATGGTGCGGATGAGGTACTCAGAGAGATTGGTTTGAACGCTGAGGAGTTGTTGGCCCTGAGAGATACAGACCCAGAAGGGTTTGAAACTTTTCGAAAGTCTCAGATGGCTGCAGCCATCAACAGTGGTCTTGTCGATGTTTGAGTCTTTTTTTTTTCTTTTTTTGCTTCTTTTGCTGTTTTCTTTCAGCCAAAGGAGGAGGAGGAGGAGGAGGAGGAGGAACAACGAACGGAATGGCTTTGGGCGTGCGTGTGCATGTTGTGCGTTCTGAGCGAATTTTCTTGATTGACCAGGAAATGGCAATTGTGTATTGTTTTTTTCTTTCTTTTCGAGTGTCTCTTATTTGATACCAGGTTGAGATTGTACTGGAAATGATGATGTTAATGATGTCTTTTTGTATCGTACCTAGTGTACCGAATATACAGAGTACCTTGTTGTTCAATCAAACCGTCGAGGATGAGTATATATATATTTAGTTGGAAGATTTCCCAATACAAAAAGGCAGGATTTTCGGCATAAATTGGTCGAAGATGCTACTTGCGTATGCGAAGGTGTCTGGGATAGATTTCCCATGCGAGAACAGGTGTCCGAAGATATTTTTTTTATGTATGTTTATTTCATGGATATTTGACGATTGATGTTTGGTGATCCTCCAAGGTGGTGGTGGTGTATAGTCCAGTTCCCCGGGTACATACTCGGTACGGTGTCATGTACAACAAACGGAGAGAAAGTCACCCGTTTCCCGACACCACGATGACCAAGAAGAGAGATTTCGAATGGAACCGTATGTTATCCTTGATCCTTTGGCCACAACGTTCCGAAAGTACATTACGGACATTGATCCGTGGTGATGCTCTGTAATCGACGGGGTGAGATTACTTGTGCTGAAGTGGAAAATGTGGATTCCCCTCCGCGGGCGTCCACGGAGGGGGGGGGGGGAGTGGGCAAACCGGACCACGGATCTCTCTCTCTGGGATCTTGACGACTCTCGACAACCACAGCACTCTTACTTCTCCACGTAACAAAACACACACACTCTCTCTCTCACACGGCGAGGCCACGGTTCTTGGAATCGTGGTCGGGTCCAAAATGTATCTAGAGCCCGACCAGCTTTTTCAAAACCTGGTCAGGTTAATTGGTAAGCAAAAGGAATGGAACCATCAATGAATGGATTCATCGACCGGACCTTTCAGATTCACGATTGGCAAAACAAAAAAGAAAAAGAAAAACCACACTGATGAGGATGTATATATTTTGCTTTGTTTTCCTACCGCACTCACCCGATCAACCTACTGACAGACAAGAGATATTCGTGTACTTGACTTTCGGTCGAAAAGAAGGGACAAAACACCACCAGAGGTTTTACTTTGAATCCATCACCATCCAAACCCCCTCCTCCCCCCCACAAACAATACAAAGACATGTCTTCAACAAAACTCATCGTCGTCATCGGAGCCACGGGCACTCAAGGTGGTTCCGTCGTCGACACTTTTCTCTCCGAGTCTGGTTGGAGAGTTCGTGGCGTCACAAGAGATATCACCTCGGAGAAATCTCGAGCCCTGTCCTCGAAAGGTGTGGAAATGGTCGAGGCCAATCTGGACGACGTTTCTTCACTCGTCCGGGCCTTTGACGGGGCACAGGTCGTTTTCAGCGTCACCGACTTTTGGACCGGATTTCGTGATCCTTCTACCCTCCAAAAGCTCGAGCCCGGTCAATCTCTGATGGAATGGTCTCACGATTATGAATTACAACAAGGGAAGAATGTTTTCGAGGCAGCCGACAAGACCAAAAATCTCGAAAGATTGGTTTATTCTGCACTGTCAAATGTCACAAAGTGGTCGGGAGGGAAATACAAACACGTCTATCATTTTGACAGTGAGGCGAGGGCGGTCGAGTATGCAACGACAATCTATCCCGACCTCATGAAGCGAACCAGCATCATTCAGATCGGAATGTATCTGAGCAATACAACTTGGATGTCACATTATCAACCACACAAGGTGAGTTTGTGGACTTTCCACTCGGCACCTGACCAGCAAGCGGTCGTATACTGTCCGATGCTACCGTCACTGACTGTACATTCTCTAGAACTCTGATGGTATACATGTCTTGAGGACGAGAATCCCGGCGGATGCAAAGGTACCATTGATCGCCACGGATGAAGATACCGGTCCATTGACACTCGCCCTGGTCAAGGTCGAACCCGGTAAAAATCTATTGGCATTTCGTGAATTGATCACCCTCCAAGAATTTGTCACCGTCTGGGGTCGAGTCAACAGTGTCGAAACCAAATATGAGGTCACCGGCCCCGAAGAAATCTGGGTCGATATACCGGAATTGAGACAAGACATAGAAGAGTGTGCCGACTATATCGGTGAGTTCGGTTTCGACGGTGGTGATCCTACAGTGGTTCATCCAAAGGATGTGAGTATTATTTTTTTTTCTCCCCCTTTCTGCACAACCCATGCTCCTGCCACTACTGCTACTGACAATGACGATGACGCTGACGACCCTAGCTCGGTGTTCCCGTCAATTTGCCTACTGTGGAGGATTGGATCAAGAAACAAGATTGGAGTGCATTGTTGTAGAAGACCGGGATGTAGCCAGCCGAAGTGTCTAGTCTTGTTTCAGAATGAAGTAACAGACCGATATCAGAGACCACAAATCAAGATTGTTTGACCCATTTCAATCCGATCCGTTCTGTCCCGGACATTTTCAGGGTGACAATCACTTTGGCCTTGTTTACGGTTCGCAAAGCTCGAGTTTTGACGTCTTCATAACTCTCGCCTCCTTCCGGCACAAGTCTCACTCTCGATCCGTCGGAGAACAAGTTGAACATCACCCTTGTGAATTCGACCTGTGAAAATTTCTTGCCCGGGCATACTCTAGGTCCTGAATTCCAAGGGACGAATGATCCGGGGAAAGGTTGAAACATTGACGTCTCGTTTGACGAGTCGTCCGACGACACCACTATCCACCTATCAAGTCTCCATTCATCCGCGTCGTCGCCCCAATACTTGGGATGTCGGTGTAGACCCACAAAGTTGTGTGAGATGGTCGTGCGAGGTGGGACAATGTGAACTCGATCTTGAACAACGAGTTTTTGTCTACTGTCGGCCGTGTATCGTGGCATGACCGCGACCGGACCGTATAGTCGAACCGTTTCATACTGTTCCTCTCTTCCTGTCAGCATACGGGGACGAGGGGCTGTTTTTTTGTGGCTCGAGATTCTGGAACTGGAGCAGAAAAACATACCATCAAGGCCAAAACTCTCTTGAGTCTGGGAAATATATCTTCATAGTAGGACAGTCCAGTGTCGTCGGCCTTGCGAACGGCGTCGATCTCTTCTGCTATCCAAGTTTGCCATTCGGGGCACGCGGCCAAGAGAGTGATGGCGAAATGGAGGGTTGCTGCGGTGGTGTCGTGTCCTGCCAGATTGTAAATGAACAAATTCCCGTACACCTCTTCGTCCGACAATCCCGCTCCCGCGATTGACCCTTCGGAGGCTCGAATCATCTCACTCAACAGGTTGTGTCTCGACAGGTCGCCTTGTTCAAAGGCCTGTTTTTCTCTCGATATCATCTCGCCCATGTAAAACTTGAACTCTTCGTAGGCCATGTTTAATTTCTTCATACCTCCAAACAAGGCCCACGGAGGGTATCCGACATTCTTGATCAACGACAACAAAATCACCTGGACAATGTCTCCCAACAACAACCGAAGGGATTCTCGGTACCCCAGTCTTTTGGGACCGAGATTGTCTTGTTGGTCTTCATCGTCGGTGGGTGGCAACGTGTCGTCCACAAAGGTGCTCTGAACTCCGAACCCGGCTCCACACAGGACGTTCAATGCCAACGCGTGTACATCTCTCTGTGTACTTCTGACCGTGCCCTGCTTGGACCACACGGCCAACATCTGGTCGGCCTGTTCCCCCGCCTCTCTCCACACCAGAGCACTGTTTTGTTCGTTGAAAGGAGGGACCGTGACTTTGCGGTGACGATCCCAGACTTTACCGTTGACCGTGTCCAGGTTGGGGCCGTAAATGTCCAACATTCCGTACATGGCCGGGTTCTTGATGAAATCGTTCCTCCTCTTCATCACTTCTTCCGTCGCCGGAGGGTCGGCGAGGACGAGTTCAAGCTCGCCCGGTCCGACGATGATGAAGGCGTCTCCGTATCTGGCGTGGTCCCGATACTTGAACGGAAAGGTCCATCCGACGTCACCTCGAAGAGCCCAGTCCCCAAGACCAAACGGTAATTTGGAAAGGATCGGAATCAAGAGGTCCTTAAATGTCATCCACAGTGGTCCTGGCGGATTGATGGGTGTGAAGACGATGGGGAGACCCGTTCTCTTCGCTTCATTGTAGTTTTGCACGAACCGAACGACGGACCATGAAAAGTATCCCATCACCACCGAGGACATCACCAAAAGGAGCATGGTGATTGGTTACGATGATGGTTGAAGAGCGTTGTGGACAAGCATGAAATTCCAAGGGGCTTTTTCTGGTATCTCAAAAAAGTAATCGACTCGAGTGGTGAGATTGGGATTGACCTTCTCATAATACTCCCGGTTTGTGGGAGGCCTGAAGTCGCCGGGTTGAAATATTTCCCCCTGAAACCGAAAGAGTGTCACAAGAGTACAAAGCATAGGCATATGTAGTCACAATCTAGTCACTATTGGTGAGGACAGCAATGGTGACATGGCAAAACGGTCACCCTCTTCATCCCTCAGGATTCTTACCTTGTGCTAATCCATTCGTGGTGTCAAATGAGCGAATCCAGGGACGAATTGGTAACAACGTAACACGAGCCGACCATGATCACGGGCATTTCCACCACTCAACCCGATTTCCCCAGTCTTCAAGTGAACGTAACTTCTTATAAAGAGTATAAAGAAACATAAATTCACCTAGATCACAGAGCAAGGCCTACAGAAATGACATCTTGTTGGAAAAAAAGGATAGAAATAGACTTGTAATCCGTTACACTTTACATATGACACCTCCATTGATGTTGAACTGTGCTATTTCAACAACAAAACCCCATCTCTTTTACGGCATCCGTACACCCGTAATCTCCTGCAACTGCTCGATCAGTCTATCTTGAAGGGCTTCATCGTCCGCCTGTGCCTTTGGCGACCTCACTCGACTGCCGAACCAATATTTCCCCGAGACACCGTCCGGGGGTCCCTCGGCCAACAAGACGTAGGTCTCGACGGCGGCGTCGATGTCCCCGGAAGCATGACCGCCTCCCATCTTCGTGGGCACCCAACCCGGATCGAGTGAGTTGCTCTGCACGCCACCGCCGGCCCACCTCCTCGCGAACGCGGCCGCGAGCATCACGTTGTGCAACTTTGTGTCGGCGTAGGCTTGGGAGTCGGAAAATCGACGTTCCCCACGGCGCCGCCACGTCAAGTCCTCCAGGGAAGGATCGCCGCCGTTGTGCAGACCCGACGAGACGTACACGAGTCGTTTCGGGGTCGGGTTGATCAGGCAGGTGAGGATGTAAGGGGACACGGTATTGACCGCGAAGATGCCGGGCCAGCCTTGTTTTGTCTTTCCGTACGGCCCCGTGTAGACGCCCGCGTTGTGGACGACGGCGTCAAAGGCCCCGAGCGTGTTCGCGTCCCTCGCCAGTTTCTCGGTCTGCGAGACGTCGGACAGGTCCGCGACGAGGCAGGTTTCGGCTTCGGGACAGGCAGCTCTCGCGTCCCGGGCACGTTGGTCGTTCCTCGCGTGCAGGACGACCGAATGGCCTCGCTTGACCAGGGCCCGCGCCGTCAGGGAACCGAGCCCGTCGGAAGAACCTGTGATCAGTATCCGACCCATCTCGAGAGGGGTGAGGCGAGGCAATGTAAATTACAAACAAGCACGGGAACTTTGGGAACCAATACAAACCGTAACAAAGCAAGAAAAAGCTCGAGGGCTTCAAGTCGTCTCGACTTTTGGTCAACAACCGTCCCGTGGTTCTACGGAGTTGGTTGGATTCCTCCGTGACTGTGACCTCGATATTAATGCTCGGATGTTTGTTACGGGAGTAATTGGGGCGCAGTCGAGAGTTGGATCCATCCTCAGGTGTTTACACTCCACAGTATGAACATTTTTTACGGGGGAGTTGATTCACCTGTATGGCACCTACGTTCACCGTCCAGATCTACAGTTGATGTCGTTATCAAATCATAAAGTCGATGACCAAGAGATGACTTGTCTCCAGACAGTACAACTGTGCACAGAAGTTGTCGAGTGCTTTGAGCGGCCAAAATGACTGGCAGTAGAAACAGCTGCCGAAACAGGCGATCCAAAATAGTGTAGGTGACGCCTTTCCCGCCCCCAATCTTTTCAGCCGGTAATATAATAATAACCTCAATTTATCCACCAAATAAGCGGTCTACTTCTAGCCCAATTATTCTGGGACCTCTGGCGCAACGGTAGCGGTATGTATACACCGCGTAGGAGCACAACCATACGGTGTACTGATTGATGTTCCAGCGTTCGACTCCAGATCGAAAGGTTATCTGTTGTGAGCTTCTCTCTTGAACTGGTTATTCCAGACGATGTCTAACAATGTCACAGCAAATCAGGTGGGGTTCATTTCCTCTCACATATTTTTTTTTGGCGAGTTTCCTCGTGACATTAATCACGTGGGCGACTTTTACTGAAGGGATCAATCATCCGGGAAAGTCATGCTACAAAAAACAAAACCAAGATGCGAAAAAAATGGAAAAGTATCTTGGAACAAAATATTAATCCTTGAACAAGGGTTATTTTTTCATTCATTCATCATCCCCAAAATCAATCCCTCTTTAATCAACGCCAGACCTGGAAAGTAGCAGGTCTTCTTGGTGTCTCTCTCGTGTGCATCCATTGTGCACAGGCAAAAACTACTACTTATTGGCATAAGTAGTGAATGCCTTTGGAGAGAACCTCTTGCAAAAAAACAAAAACACCAATCCCCTGTTCCGTAACAATTCAAATCATAACATCCAGTTCTGTTCTGTGGTTGTCTCATTTCATTCATGCTTTGTCCCATTCCAGTTCCATTTCGGTTTCCATTTCAAAAGTTTTTTCAAAAAAATGCCCGCATAAACATGAGTGATTTCATATCATCCGTGAGTCCATAAACATCAAACCAGGATCCCGTAATCGTGACCCATACGCCATAACTCATGACCAGCAAGAAAATCATAATATACATTGACAGCGGTGGATGGTACTGACACCAACACTCAAGGGGACATGTAACCCTCGAACTCGGCACTAAAACCCACACCGTTGGTCAATGCGACTTGCAAGAATTTGCCATCACCTTCGTTCTCTTTGTCACTGTCATCCAAGCCGTATTTGGCGGAGAATTCAGCGACGCGAGGACTTGCGAGCCAAGCGGTGACACTGCCGACAGACGAGATCGAAGACATGTTTCTCGTATGTTGGGGTGCACTCTTCTCGCCTTCAATCTTGGCCTTTGGCACTGGCAGAGGCTTGAGAGTCAACGAGAGAGGCTTTGGTGGTGCAGGCTCCTTGCCGAGCTTTCGTAGTGTCATGACAGCGTCTGAAGATTCTGCCTTCATGTGCTTGGGAGGTGGCTTTGGCTTCCTCTCCGGTCCCGACATGCAGCTCAACTTCTTCAAGGGCAGACAAGAAAGAGGTGCTTCGGCGGGCAGCGCCGGGAGAGGACCACTGGGTGGAGGTCCTAGAGGTTGCATGACCACGCTTCGTGGCAAGGCAGGCATGCTCTTCTGGCCCTTGACGTGACGAGTCTTCCGTGGAGGCTGGCCGATCCTGGGCACAGGGCCATCCATGGCAGAAGGTTGAAGGGTGGTGGTGGTAATTTTACCAATCGAACTATGGTCGGAGAGCTTCCGACGAGCAGCGGCATCAGGGTGTACTTGAGTGCCAAAGCAAGTGTCGAAATGAGAGTCGGCGACGACAGGCGACCTTTGAGGTCCTTCGGTTGTGGTTGATTGAGCGATCTGAGAATCAACAGAGAGCATCTTGTTGCTCCGCCAAGAAGAGACCCTGCCGACTCTCGACGAAGGACGAGACTTGTCCCCTTCAGAGCCTGGAGTCAAAGGATAATTGCACATGCTCTCGTACGCGGCACCTGGGGTAGTAGCAGGTGGTGATGGGAGGACGGCTGCAGCCTGTGCATCACTGAGAGGAGTCTTGGGGAAGAGGCTATAAGATACAGCTCGTCGGTGAAGTGCATCTGGAGAATGTTCCTTGGTACTATAATTATACGAGGTGTGGGACGAACTCCGGCTTCGTGTGCTCGAGGGTCGAGAAGGTGCAGGTGTGGCAGGTTGAACCGGCAAGTTTTGAAGATCATATCGATGACGAGCAGAGACCTTTCGGATATGTCCCGGTTCGGGGAGAGGAGCAACAGTGGAGATTGGTCTCGACTTGTAAGTGCCGGTGGTGCTGGAAGAATCGTTCTTCTGCACGAAAAGATCGTGGGGAATGATATCGTTGGTGTTTTCCAGCGAGGTCGTTCGCTTTGGGATGCTGATTGATTTCCTAGGTGTGGCCATGTACATGGACAATTCCCCGATATCATCCTGAGTAGGTGTTGACAGTCGCGATTGAGGTCCAACCGGGAGTGGAGGTTCATCAACACTGGTGAAGGACTCTGCACCATAAGACATGACAGAGCTGGTGAAGCTGGTATGGGTGGTTGAAATGGATTGACTGTCGGAGAAGGATGGTTTGCGAAGTTGGTCGAGGTCATTCAATGTGTGGATGGAAGAGTCGGTGGTTGAGCGTGAGATCTGTCGAGAGGGATTACGGAGTGGTAGGGGAGGAAGGTCATTGGGTGAAGTTGGTGATGATGACTTAGGCAGACTGGGAAGGCTCCTTTGTGCCTTGAGGGAACGACGCTCTGGAAGCATCTGATCTTCATGTTTAGAATCAGGACGATACTCGAGACCACCGAGTTCTGCAATCTCCTTGCGAACGACCTGAAGCCAATCCTTGAAAGATCTGGCGTCATCAAAAACGAGGAAAAGATCGGTGACAATCCTCTTGTTATCGGCGTGCTTGAATGACCACTTGGACCAGGAGCCCTTATTACCAGCGGCACCGTGGTCCGAAGCACCATCATGAGAAATTTGAAGCACCCAGTGTTTACCTGGGATGGCATCACTCGCAAAGGCCACCGAGCCAGGTCCGAGTTCCAGGATCTTCTCTGGGAGACGGTCGTTCAACCCATCGGCAGAATACTGCAAGACGTAACCGCTCGTGGTCAGGACGAAAAGCTTCTGGCTGAGAGAGCAGATGCTGGCTCCGGACCAGTTTCGTTTGTGCAGAGTACCATCTGCCGGGAACTTGTCCAAGCTCGACCGTGACGGGGTCTCACTTGAAACACTGTTCCGTCGAGGGTGGCCATTTCGGAAGAGAGTGTCTGTGAATGACGATGGGATGTCGAGGAACTCTTGCTTCCTTGCCTGGGAGTATGCATGGAACAAGGGAGGAGGGTCGGCGGCGACATTCCTAGACGGTTGTCTAAGAGGCCCCTTGGACCATGTGGTACTGCGAGATCTCTTTGTGTGCTCCAAGGGTGCTACACTTGGGTGAGGAGGAAAGGTCTCGACATACTGTCTGGGGACCTTGTCTTGCGACTTGGCCCTACTGAAGAAGGATCTGAGGCGAGACTTTGCACTTCGTTCCGAGGGATACCAGCCTGACTGTTCCACAACCGGCGACGGTAGACGGGGAAAAGATGCTGTGGTAGACATGACGGAGGGGGGTGAATGAGAGAAAGTGACCTCAGACCAAAACGTAGTGAGGATCGAATGCCCCTCATATAAGTCACGACAGAAACATGTCCAACGCGTCGGGATGAGATGTGGTGGCTAGGGAGTAGACAGCGAGGGCTGAAGTGAGGGATGATGATTGGGGGAGGTTGTTTTCCACCCTTGGAGCGATCTTTGTTTGTTTTTGACTCCTGCTATGCACCGACTTCAGGAATGACAGAATGAAAGATCCCAGATGGTAGGGGAGACAGAAGAGACTAGACCTGATCAGTGCGGCAAACGGGAACCCAGGATGGTTGTGTGTTGCTGAAAACCAAGGGAAAAGGCCGATCTCTTAAAAACAAAAGGTGAAGCCAAGGTAGAGCTAAAGACTCCATGTGGCATGAGCTTTTAGACAGCACGGACGGAACACGAAAAAGTCGTGGTATGGGTATGTGCACGGAACGATGGCAGAATGAGAGGAGGAGACTCTCGAGCGCTCTGGGCTTGACACGGGTCTGATGGCAGGCATGGCGTCACATTGACAGGGAGCGAGATTGAAGTTCGACAGACGCCAGTGATGTATGTTGAAAGAGACAGTTGGTAGTGGTAGAAGAAGAAGAAGACGGGTTAGAATGGAGTGACATGTACTCTCTTGCTCCCAGATAGTAAGAGAGTTGATGTCAAGAGGTTTTGAAGTGCATAAGGATGTAAACTAGGTAAGGGTTTGGCAGGGATACCGGTAGTGGTTGCAGTAGAGGGATGCATGGAACAAGTCGAAAAGGGAAGAGACTGTACTGGCAAGAAGACTGAATTGGTGTGGTGGATCCCATCAACATGCAAGCGACGGAAGGCAAGGGAGCTGAATCAGGCCATGGTGGGAGGAATCCTCCAAGAGATGACACTTGCAGAGACGGTCCTCCGTAGGTGTACTGTATGTAAGAGGGAAAGAAAGTGTATGGACAGAAAGAAAATAGTGTTGGTGGCGATGCGGACGGGGAAGCAAAAGTGACAGGCCTGGACCGCATACACCAAGATGGAAGAGGTTTGGTCTTGAATTTTTGTTCTCGGGCTGGATTGATTCGGATCGGGAGATCGTGATGGAGAATTTAGATGAATACATGGAGATATGAAGAGTTGCAGTGCAAGAAAGCGAGAGAGGCTTGAAGAAATGGTCTATGCTTTGTGGTGTCAAGAGCGTAAAGAGGAGATGGCAACAAAAAGAGGCTGTTGATACGAGTGCTGAAACACCACATAACGGAGCACAAACACGTAGGTGGATGAAGCCCATGTCAACAAAAACTGTCGAAGAATTATGGGGACGGTAAATGGGGGGGGCAGTGAGTTGTCTGGGTGTCTGCTGGATGTCTGGGTGTCTGGGTGTCTGGATGTTTTGGGTGAGACGTCAATAAACAGACAGACGTCAAAACTCGGGAAAACCTCCCTTTGATCCATATGCCACCATTAAGTTGAAGATTATGGCTCTTGTAGGGGTTGGGAATTGTAGTGGTTGGTACAATCCTGTAACTACAGATAAGACAGACCCTGAAGAATCTTGAGTGGTTACAAAGAAACCCTACCTTCGTTTACCCTTAACCCTGGGTATTGAACAAAAGACCCTGTGATGGAATTGTATGTAGATCAGGGTAAACCCTCAACGGCTGTTCCCTCTGGGGAAGGGTCACCAGTAAATACCTTTTGAGAGCCCTACATAAACCCTGGGATCATGATCGATGGTACTCGGTATCACGAATGTCATTGATCAAGCCACCTCTTTGCTCTGTCTTGTAAGGAGAAGGAGTATGGAGTACCATATTCATGCAAACGCGTAAGTGGCTCTCCTCCGGCCTCTCCCTACAGTATAGCACAGTAGTCATGTTCGAGGTTTAGGCACCACCCATGGGTCACTGTAGAGGGCAAAACCTCGTGTATACCTACCTCCAGGACTCCGTAAGTAAGAACGACAGCCAGAACGACAGAACGCGTCTACTGTAACTCCCGTATAGGTCCATGTCATGCCGGAGAATACTAACCTATTTTGTAGCTTGAATATTCCCCATCTCTTCTGTCTCTTTACAGTGGGGTCTGACTTTTTCTCGTCTTCAAACGGAACCTTTTGACGGGGTTGTTTTCTCTCGCGTATCTGACACCTGCAGTAGCATACATACAATTCCCTAACTCGAGCCTTCCGAAGAAATCTACCACAAAGTCGGATAACTTTGTGAGTGGTACTTGGTACTCGCACTCTTATTATTACCTCATAATCCGTACCTAGATCAATCCGTACGGCTATCAAAGGTCTGTTGGTTCGCTTCGATAACCCAGCCATTCCATTCATAGCATTTCCTTACCCTAGCTATGGTTTGACCGGGTGCAAGGTTGACTTTTCCACTTGCCTGATTCATTTGTCGCTTCTGTAAGAATCGAATGATCCGTCCCGATTCATCACCCTGGTCACTTGTTATTACTACAACCATCCAGATCTGTCTGGCGGAATATGTTTTCCCAACCTCTTCATATCTGGGCCAGACTCTAAAGTGCCGCGTACTCCGTGCTCGCTCCGCCTTGAAGAAATCTCGGGTTCCCATCCTTTCATGCAGCCAAGGCAAAAGGCATCTATCTTTCAATCCTTCAAAAATAAAATCCCACTCGGCCGTCTCTTTTCGATCAGTACGCGGTACTGAGTCCAAAGAAGAACACGGCAATTCTCCATTCATCTGTTGTCACCTTATGCATTCGTTCTCGGTCTCGCCTCCGATCATTCACATGCATTCTTCCTCTGTAGGGAGTAAATTCTGTGCGTAGGCATGCATATCTTGTGCACAACACTACCAAGTCCTTCCCTACCCCTCCCTTCCTCCTCACGACATGATTGTTAATTGTACTCGCCAAGTATCCAAGTGCTGAGCGTGGAGTACCATGTACAGTAGAGTATTCCCAGAACCATCATTGTCTCTTAATCCATGACCCTGCCCAGTCTTTTACTCATACTCCATAAATATAGACCCTTGCAACATGAGTGAGAGTCCCTGGAGTCCCTGAAAGTCGCCGGGTCTTGAAATCCCAGGGTTTCAGGGTATGGGAGTTTCTACACTTTCCCATCATACTCGTACTCGTACCCTGTACCCTGTACCTCCTCCCGGACTGTACCTACATATACGAGTTACTCCACCCACCCACCCACCCACACCCTGTCCCCCTCTTGTTCCTTACATACAACACACACACCCCTCCCCATCCCCTCCCGTCCCTGTCTCCCCTGTAAAGATGGCAGGTAAAGGTTTTGTTACCTATAGATCTCACACACACACACACACTTCAATGACATGTCCTTGCTTACATCCTTGCCCCTCTTGACCCCTTGTCTCCCTGCGTCTAAGCCCTGGCAAAGGCCCTCCTGACCCTTATCAACCCTTAACCAAGACTACCTTTTCCACCCTTCGGACAGGTCAAGTCACAGAAAAACTGGTTCTTTCTTCAGACTATCAATTGACATTTTTTACGAGAACTCGTATCTATCATGACTTTATCTCATCTCGTAAAGGTTCCCCTGATCGTCAGGGTCACGGAGACTTCCATGTCTCGTCAAAGCTGAAAATGTCTGTTGACAACTCATGTCATTCGTTCTCGATACTCTTGATTGTGAAAAATAGAATCCCAGGTCATCCTTACTCGTTCGAATGAGTTCCTAGCTGATCAAGAATCACCCTTTAGTTTCCAGCTTCCTAGAACAGCCATCATATCATCTAGAAAACTCCTCAAGACGCCATCGCTATGCCATATGACTCAATCAAAAATCGAATCAATCAATCAATCAATCAATCAATCAGTTGGCTCATTATCATCATTCCTTTTTGTGTGCGCAGATGCAGAGGCAATCATCATCTCAACTCTTATCATGGAGCGGGAGATCCTTGAGATACGGCCAACCAATTTCCTCTTGGAGTTCCTCTGGTTCCCATCCCAAGATACGTCGATAACAACGAACTTGAGCTTGAAGACCGGAGATGATGGCGTACTCTTCACCCCACTCGTCGGTGCGTAGGCGGTAGGCGGTACGGATCATCTCACACACTTTCAAGGTTTGCGCGAACCAATGATCCCGGTCCAACCGACTCCGAAGATGATCATCCTTTTCCTGCTGCAAGAGATCGTTGTAGTGACGACGTTGTTCGAGGAATCGTGCCTCCATACCGGAACAATAATTGCGAATCTGTTCGGTAGCCGTACCCAATGCGTCCTCGTACATGGCGATGAGATTGGTATTTTCCTTTTGTTCGTGCTTGTAGAGTTCGACGAGGTGTTTTGCCTTGGCCAATTCACGTTGGACTTGTCTCATTTTGGCTCCTGTGACAAATTTTAAAAAAAAAATTAACTCTGACTGCGCCAGGACAAAGGATTGTCAGAGGTGACTCACTCTCAGCTTCTGGAATCTCTCCTCCATCGTCACCAGTAGGATTTGTGCGGTTCTATTGACATGTCAGGTTTGCGCAGGTGCGTGTCATGTCAAAAACAAACACATACAGCAACTTCTTCGGCAGTTCTCGTGATGGTGTTAACTTGTTCACGATTGCTCCTCAAAATCGCACCCAGCTCTTGAATCTGATTGTACAGATAATTCAAATCTTGCTGATGTCCGACGGGGAGGGTAGCCATGTAATTCGACGCCGCTCCTCCTGCGCCATTCCCATTTGCTGCGCTACTACCTGCGTGGCCACTGGTGGTGGGAGACATGTTATTGTTGCGAACTTGACCACCTGCGCCGCCCATGTTGGTCGTGTCGAGAGGAGGGAAGGCGTTGGACGTGGTGTTGTTTGTCATTTTCTTGGAGGTGTCTTCGGAGACGCAGACGGAGAGGGACGAGGAACGAGTGTGTATAGGCAGAACAGTCACCCAGTTATGGAGGATGTGTCCATCAATGTCCGACTCTTCTGACGATGATTATCTCTCCTCTTCTTCTTCTTTGGGACTCGCAGTGGTATGAGTATTGGTCCAATCTCGACGCCCTCTACCACTACCAGAGCCACCTCCAAACGTCTCCGGTTGGAGAGTTTGTGTCTCGGCGATTTGTAGCTAGATGTTCTCTGCTGCTTGACGTTTAAGATTGTGTGTATCTGCGAGGGCGTCGTTTTCTTTTTTGGTCACTGTCGTGGTGCTGAGTTGAGCCTGTGAATGTGAAACGACAAGTCAAGTGAGTTCCAAAGTCCCGAAGTTTCCCCATTGTTCATCTTCGGAACAATGATAGTCCGTGGACCGAGCTAAACTTCACTACGGGAGTGTGTACAGTTCATGTATCGCTTCAAAGATTCTTGTGTGTTTCTTATCAAACTCTCCATCGACCCATCCATCTCATGCTCGGCCGGTCGCAGCGATCGTCCCGTCAACGAACACGAATTTCCATCTGAGGCCTATAGCCTGAGGCTCTGATGGAATGCAAGGTTGCAATCCCGTTCAGAAAGGACTCGAAGAGTCTACCTGCTCCCTTGCCATGCGAAGATCAGATTCGCGATTGCGTAAACATCATTCACGGGAAGGAAACTTTCGCAGATCAGAAGGTGGCTGTGATTGGCCCGTATGCGATTAAATATGGGAAGTACTTGAGTCAGTTAGAGGGAGAAAATCTACTTTTCCTCGAGAGATTTGCACCTCATATCCCTGCCCCGAGGCTCTATGCGATGTGGCGTGGAAACGGTGATAACTCCGATCTTTTTATGGTCATGGACTTCATACCTGGTAAACCACTGAACGAATTATGGTCAACACTAGGAGATTTGGACAAGACCCAAATTGTCAACATACTGCGAGATATTTTTAAATCACTTCACTCTTTGCCATCACCAGGATTCTTTGGTAGTATCCATCATGGGCCGATCCCCTATCATTTATTTTGGGACGCAGATAATGACCCAGCGATTACTGGCCCATTCAACCATGGACGTGAGATGATCCTCGGCCTGGCGAGAAGATCGCGAGCAAATTCAGCGTCGAATGGAAAGTATTCATACTTGGCGGAATTCTTCGAGAGGCATATAGCCCCAGCGCTTGACGATTATTCACCTACCTTCTGTCATTCAGACGTGCAGCCAAAGAACATCATTGTCGACATGGCACAAGAAGATACTTTGCAGAGCAAAGCTTTTTCGATAACGATTATTGACTGGGAGATTGCTGGCTGGTATCCCAGCTACTGGGAGTATGCCGCTGCATTTTTGAGCTTCCAATGGGACGAAGATGACTGGCCAAACAGGGTAGAGGCCTTCATTCCTGTACGCGCTCCAGAGGCAGCAATGCTGAGGCTGGTCCATCAAGATCTATGGTTTTGAAGCGCTGTGTTTCAGGGATGCAGCTCACAGGTAGCACAAGATCCGACGTCTGACACTGCTTCCTTCCCACACCCTAGCTGAGACTCTTGCGAGACAGAACCCTGATTAGCGCGCGACTACTCACATTCTAACCCCTGCCTCAAAGTTCAGGTATGTAAAGTGCCAGTAAACAAGCGAGAAGTCCTTACTTTCAATGCTTGGCGCTTACTACAATCTATATAGTGCCCACGTCGAAACCGCCGACGCTCATACTGTTCTCACGTTACCTCAATCCTGCACAGAATCTAGTGGTCGCCAGTCAGAGGATGAAAGAAAATGCCTTTGGAAGTCTACAAAGTTGCATACAAGCTTGCCCTGGCCGATCCCGACATTCCAGGACCACGATACCACACCGTCCTCTTCGTTCGAACAAAAACCAATGGCGACGGCATCGTCCATCACGTGACTGGAGACATCGTTTCGGGCATGCAGTACCAGTCTAGACCGGCCAAAAGACCCGAAGACTCCCAGACGTTCCATAGCAAAGAGCTCCTTGGTGTGGTGGAGCCAACAGATTATCCCGGTGTGTTTGATCAAACGTGCCGGCAGCAGCCTCCACCACCGAGGCAGAAGAGGTTCAATCCGGCCACCCACAGAACAGAGCAGATGAAGCCAGACGGGTCATTTTACGAACAAGGTGAAATGAGATCTCCAATGGTCAAGTGTACGGAATGGACAGAAAGGCAGGCGATTCCCGCCCTGTTACAAAATGGCATAATCAAGCCGCGTTGAAAACGAAGTATCTCAAGGATAGGGCTGTTCGAGAGAGAAATGTGGACTGACTGTCCGCACATTGTTGGATTCATTTTGTCGGACGAAGTATGTATCGATGGTCCAGACCCATCATCACCATGGACCTCCCTGTGGACCTCATCGTTACGAATGTGAATTTCCAGGGGGCTTTGTCTGGTGACCAAAAGTTCCTCAATTTGCGTGATGCTCATGGACATAGCCTAGGACCCTTGAGCAGTTCTTGGGCCGTTACGCGCTCCTCTGGCAACCATGGAAGTATTCTTTTCAACGAATGGAAGGAACAATCTCAGGTTCTCGTTAGAAATTGTGATGATGGTATATTTTGGATTGATCTCATTTTTGGTTCCAAGGAGAATGTTATTAGACTTCAGATCTAAATAAATTAGCTCAGTTCTCTATCTTTAAGATCTCAGACAACGACATATATATATGTACAGACTAAGTACCGCAATACACTCATGTACAGTCCGCCCATTGTGAACACGAAGATGTCCATCAAGTCCATGATGAACCCACACCAGAACAGGTATACTACACCTTGTTCAATCTCTATCAATTGATAGGCGCACCTTGGTCTCGGTGCCTCCCAGGCCACTCATAATCCGGCTCAATGGGAATATTCTTTCTCAAATGATTCTTGTACGTCGGAGGGATTCTCCCCATCCTCTCCGCCCTCTCAGACACCGAAATACCACCCTCCTCGTTGTGGGCTTTCAACAGATCCTCAATCGCACTTCCCCATTTGACCAGCTGGTCCTCCATCCACGCCGTGTGCTGCAGCGTCAACGGCAACGGCATCCCATCCGGATCGAGTCCGATTGGGATCGTCATGACGGGGTATCCGGCCTGCGCTGCAATCTGGATGCCACCAGCTTTGACATCAAAGAAAAGCAAAGCGTCCAGGGTTTCGTCTCGAGATCCTTGGAGATTCTTGTCAGAGGGGCATTTCAATGCCGCATCAATGCCATTCTCGCGACACTGCGTCTGAATATGTTTCAACGCGGCACGATATGTCTCGTCCTTGATGCCTTTTGTCTCGACGCATTTGCGAAACAAGCGTTGACCGTCAGGAAAAGCCGGGAGGTCCCCTTCGTGTCCACCTTCGGAACCACGGTTCTCGTCGTTGAACCGCACCACGTCTTCGAGTGTCTTGATGGGCGTGTTCTTGAGTTTGCCCAGGTACTCGTTCATGAGGTAGTATGTCTGGACCTTGCTGACTGTGATCTCGGAAATTTCTGGTCGACTTTCACCATATCGTTCCCTAGTCAAGTCAGGCTTTGCGAAACACTCTCTACACTGCTGTATCTTACCAATCCCAGATGCCCTCTTCATCCAACCTCTCAACGGCACAGGGCATGTCGACCGGTATGATCTCCGCACCTGCCTCCCGGATCAGCTTCAGAGCCTTCTCTCCCACGGCCTTTTGCGGGTACGGTGCAACATCCCAGAAGCGTTTCATGGGAAGACCAAACCTCGCCCCTTTCAACGCATGTCGATCGACGAGGAAGTCACAGTAGCTCTTGGGTTGTCGTCTCTCGGAGACGACCGAGAACTTATCATCGGGGTCGGGACCGGCAATCACGTCCAGTGCTCGAGCCGCATCGGCTACGGTTCGTCCATACGGACCAATTGAGTCTTGAGTTTCGGAGATGGGAATGATTCCGCCACGAGAAGTGAGGCCGACGGTCGGCTTGATGGCAACCACACCGTTCACCATGCCCGGGCTGATGACGCTGCAGTCCGTCTCCGTTCCGAAAGCGAGCGGCACGATATTCGCCGAGACGGACACTGCACTGCCGGAACTGCTACCGTCTGAGGCTTGTCAGGAGAGAATATGTTTCTCGGGGATGGACCTGGGAAAGTTCTTACTGGGAGATCGATTCAGAAGATACGGGTTTCGACACTGTCCACCACGAGCCGAGTAACCCAAAGAGTAGATGCTACCTCTCATACCAGCCCATTCGTCCAGGTTCGTCTTGCCGAGGATAACGGCACCAGCTCGTCTCAGGAGATGAACGATGTGAGCGTCTTTTGGTACAACGCAACCGAGTAACACCCACGATCCGCCCGTCGTCTGCATTCGATCCGCCGTTGCCATGTTCTACGTTCAGGTAAGCATTGTCACCTGACAAATTCAAGAACAAGCGAACATCTTTGACCAAGACCGGGATTCCGTGTAGAGGTCCCCTGATTTTTCCCTTCTCCCTTTCCTCATCAAGAGCCCTTGCATGACCGAGGGCTTCGGGGTTGGTTTCGATCACGGCCTCGAGGTATGGATTAATCTTGACATTGTTAGGTGCCTTGATCGTATGACCAGCTGATAAGCGTGTCTGTTACCCTTTGGATTCTGTCCAGACAAAACTGGACATATTCAGCTGAGGATAGCGATCCCGAGGTGAAAAGGTGTTGTAGTTCATCGACCGAAATTTCGTAGAGGTTGTGACCATTACAAGATGGCAGAAGAAATATCTCCGGCATGTCATTTTGAGCTGTTGAGTGTGTCTCCGAGATCATAACAAAGTCATGGCTCTTTGTTCTGCCATGTTCAGCAACGGTATGTTGTTGTTGTTGAACAGCCATACCGAGCACCTATTCACGATGAGCGGTGTAACGACTTTTCCAGGCTAGCATCAGCGATGAAGTCCCTTACGGCTGAAGCAGGAATGAGTGGTACTTAGTAAAGACAGGAGATATCACACGATGAATTCCTACAGTGATTGAGAAAGGGCCGGATCTTGAACGATATCAATATCATGAACAGTCGTGGTAACACGGTCGGTGAAGATTACGCTCTGAAGATGAGAAAGAGGAGGTGGAATTCTCCGCCTTAAGCGAAGATGCGTATGACAAGTGGCTCGTCCCACTTATGAGGTGGCATATGTGAACAAGAAGTCCAATGTCTTTGTCGAACGTTCGATATTCGCTGGCCCAATACTCACCTGCTCGGCTCAAACTACCTGACTCGGTTTGAAGGCATCATACCATACCACGACAGGATTGCAAACCCAACGCCAGCTCATCACTCCATTGTCTCTGCAATCATCGCGGCCTCTTCCCAGCTTGCTTGCATCCCCTTGGCATAGATGCGGTCAAGGTAAAAGTACTTCAACAGGACAGATCGGACGTCACTCCAGTCTTGAAGCCGAAGTACCTTGCAGACTTTGGCGAGATTCATGACAAACCATGGTCTTTCTCTTTGCCCAGCAGAAATGAATGCTCCCAACAGCAACACCCAAGCTAGAAGTTCATGGAACGGGCCCCAGAGGCCCTTTAGGTCGGACGCTTGCAAGGCACTCTTGAGTTGGGTCGTCAAAGTCCGATTCAAGGCCGAGTCGGGCTGCGACATTTGGTAGTTTGTGAACCAGAAAATCAACAATGCCAGTCGACACGCTTCCTCTTTGTCACTCGCGGGTGCTCGAGGCTCAAATGGGGCCGACAGTACTGCGTATCGAAACTGATAGCTTTTCGCATTGATGTACTCGACCTCTTCCTCTGCTGGCTGCATTTGTTTTTCGTGATAATATTCTCGATACCGAACGACGTCCGTCATGTCTCTGAAAGCCTGAGATATTCTCCAGTCGAGAATTGTGTCAACATCTTGCGTCAGAATGCCCGTCCCCATCTGTCTGGTATCATCCGCCAAGGTTCGATTGATGTCTTCCGTCAGGCTGGGCGGTAGGGAGGCTAAGACAGATGTAGGTGGTGACGCAGGCAGGGTTCTCGTCATTGCGGCGCACATGTACGAAGTGCTGTGGTGAATATTAGTCTACCTGTCATTCATACGGACTACTCTTGACTTACGACAATATGAGTTCCGTCGCATGGGGAGGAATCCCGTGGTATCCGCCTCGCCATGCTATCAGTTTCTGCAGACCACTGACGTGAGCAAAGATCTCCTTCTGGTTGCCCGTGATGACCTGCAGGCACATATTAGTTAAATCGAACAAAAGAAATGTTGAAGCATCACCGACTTCGATAGATAACAAACACATCATGGCGAATATTGTGGAAGCCTTGGCCGCCGTCTCCATCGACTCCATCGTCTCGTTGGCAAGTTTGACCGCATTCACTTTGTACGACACGAAATCTGGCACGAGTCGATTCTGGAGATCCTCCTCGGTGAACGTGGTCTCCTGCGATCCGCTTCTTAGCTGTCCTAGCCGAGCACCTCGCTCTGCAGAGGAGATTGCCAACAAAGAATACAACACCAAGGGTTCTTCAGAAGCTTTTTCGAAAGCCCATCGCGTCTGGATGTCGCCTTGTTGCCGAGTCGGGAAAACTGCTGGTATCATGACATCCGAAACTACCCAGATGGTCAGTATAGTCCTGTTTTCTTGTGATTTTCTACAACTCACAATGTCGCAACACTGCGTCCATGGCAGGAGTTATCGCTATCGAGCTCGGACTGAAAGGGTCAAGGACTGAATTCCTCAGAGCTGAGATCGGCGGCCCATGAAGAGGTTGTCCAACATTTCCAGCGTCGAGCCGCTGAAGAATCTGCGTAAGCATCGATCTGACGCTTGCATTTTCTACCAAAGCACGATCCTCTTCTGGAACTGTGCCCTGACGACGCTCACTGAGAGCCTGTCTATCATCTCCACGCTGAGCCTCGACTGCTTGCCGCACCTCGGATCCTCGGACATTGCTGTAGTATCGTAGCCTCGAGATCTGGTCTTGGTCGATATCTGATCCGGGCAAAACAGCTGTGGGCAGGCCTGGAGACGATGCGGGCGAAATCGTCGGTGTGAGAGTCGGTATTTGTGGGCGGCTGGCCTGCTGATGAGGTGTCGAAGTCGGTGAAATCAATGGTGAAGCCCGCCGATGCTCAACAGTCGGATAGGGTTCAATGGGACGCGGTTGAAGCTGAGGCGCACCGCGATGCCGGCCAACATTGGCAGCGTCGGAACCCCTCTGCTGTCGAGCAGCTTGTCTCCGGCTGCGATAGGCACTCTGTTGAATATGTGCGTTGATCGCACGTTGATCAGAACGTGGTCTTTGCCCGGCCGATGACGAGTCGACAAACAAGAACCGACTTCCTTGGTCAGTCGTGGATGAGGCTCTGGTACCATCGCGATTCAATCTTCGATATTTAGGGGCTGAAGACGCGCCGCTCTCACTTTCGTCATCTGGCTCGGCTGAGGTACTGCCTCTGTCAAGATCAGTCGCGATATTTTGTCGAGCTTGACTTGATGGTCGACCTTCAGCCATTCTCAAAGAGGCAACGGCGCAGCAGATTGTCGAGATAGACCTGAATCATCACTCGGAGTCATCACTCGAAAGGCGGGCTCCGCAAGGAAGACATCGCCTTTTTCGCCCTATTGCTGCACCACTGCAGGAGAGAGTTGGCAAAACGAAGCTATTTCTGCCAGCATGCAAAGGTTGAGATTGCTGCAGTCTCATATCTCCTCCAGGTAGACGAGATGGTCCGTGCACCGATGGTCAGTCAATCATCATCCTCCAACAAGACACTTTGTTGCCCGGTTTTTGAATCTCACCCTGCTGTATCGTTTTGCCGTAGCATGCTCCTTGAATCCGCGAGTCCCAAAATTACCTCGAGTCCAATTAAGTCTAGACTGACAATTCTTGCTCAATAAAGGCGCTAGTATGGGGTGTTGGTAAGCACTAGATCCGTTGAAGCCGAGCTCGTACGCACCATGATGCACGAGGCATTCAGCTCGTTCTCTCTCACCCAAACAGCTTGAGGTCTACGGCAGTCGGCGGCTGTCGGTATTGGTCGACACTGCATGCCTGTTTGGGAAGGAGGATGCAGCCAATCTCATCGAACCATGTCGCTGAATTCGGGGTGAGATGCAGGGTCGAAGGAAGAAAATGGGATGACCCATGTAACCCAGCGTGATAGAGCGTCGTACCCCTGGAAATCGAATGACGGACCTCGTAAACGTTATTGGGATCATGACCAGAGCGATGAGTATGATTTTGGTACGCTGACTCGTCATGATCATCTTCATATTCCCAGCGATCTTGCAGGGAGTTCTCTTGTGTCTTGTTACTCCTATTACCCAGCTTACGATCTCTCTTACAACTTTCATTTCGCCTCTCGTCGAGTAGAGGATTTGTCTTCCACGATATGAGTGTCGTTCTCATGCCGACCTCTGAGTTGGAGTACGTGCCGAAATATCTCTTCATATCAGATGAGAAACAACCAGGGACATATAAAAGTCATGTCATGAAAGAATGTGAGGAGTCCGATCGTTCTGCAGGTCATCCATATTAACATCCACAAGTTTTGCGAAAGCGGAATACTATACGACGCCAGAAACAGTTGGCCACGAGATCGCAAAGTCGAGTCCTTCCGTGGCTCCGTCGAGAAGACATGAAACCACAACCACAACCCACTGAAGCGCCTGCGGAAGACACTAGTGCTTCTCCAGAGTCTTCGTACGTGTCCAGCTCGGCTGTCACGTCACCACAAGCATCTCAATGGACAAATGGAAGTATTGCAACGGATGACTTTTCACCAACAGCATTCAGCACATCGTGCTCAACATTCTCACACCATGGCTTGGCCAGGCTATCCACGTTGGAGTCCTTCTCGGATATCTGCCACGAGCGTTGGGATCTTTTGGACTATTGTAAGTTGGCTTCCTTTCTCTGCGGGACTCATTTTGCTAACTCTCCGTTAGTGTTTAGAAATGTCCTGGGCCAGGTCTCAGAAACAGGTCATTTCGACAACATCGCATGGCCAGGCTCGATCATGGCTCGTCACATATTGGAGCGCAAATCTCCTTCTCAAGTCCTCCTTGCGATTTCAAGTCTCTGTCGTGACCATGACGCAGGTCACCAACAGCCCACCTCTGAGACCATCGCACTCATGCTGAGAGGTATATTGCTGCTCAAAGAGCAACTCCAGAAGTCTGACGGTATCAACGGGGATAGCATTTTAACAATGACCAACCTGTGGACGTATGAAGCCGTGCTAGGTTTCGACATTGTCGATAACATGACCACACAGTCAACAAGGGCAAATACTGCTGCTTCTTTGCAAAGTATTCAAACCCATATCGACGGGCTGCGGCGATCGATCACGCATATGGGTGGCCTAAATCATCTTCCACCAGAGGCAATGTGGTCCGTGGCATGGTAGGGACACATCGATACTCTTCTGGATCTGAATCTGACTTTGTAGGTGCGTAGGAAGTCTTCCCGGCTATTGGGCCATCGATACAAGAGTGATTGGTGGCTCGTCTTCTGACAAGATTTGCGTGGATCCTGGTTACCATTGCTCTCTGACACGACTGGTGGATTTCCTGGCAAGAATTGAGCGACTTGCCTCGTCGGCGGACTTCCAACCTGGCATACTGCAAGAGGCATCTTTCAGCCTAATGAAACACTCTTTTCTGCGATTAGTACAGACGGCTACAAATCAAAGGACAGCACTGAAGAGTATGATGAGGTCGACGAGTATGCTCTCAATCTTGCTATTCGCCTTCGACATACTCCTCGGAGGCAGCAATACAAACGTGCAAACACCCGGAAACCGGCAAAAGGAATTGATGAGGCTTCAGGAGCGACTAGAGCAACATAACATCGACAAGGAAGGCTCGCCACAAAAGACCTGGCAGATCTTGATGACAGAGAAAGAGGTGCCACGTGTTCAGCTTCATCCACGAGCTTGGCCGATTGTAGAAATGGTGAATGAGATCAAGCATCTGAATGTCTCAACGATAGACTCATTGTCAAAGCAGCTGACAGAGTGGATGTTCCCTCAAGAATGTGGGTTTATCGAGGAGTTTAGGTATGAAAGATTGATGTTACAGATTCATTTTGAGCTAGATGGCATGAGAAATGTATGATAGAGAGCGAGATACATACAGAGTGAGCGAGAAAGATGAAAGAAGGTCAAGATGGAAGAGGCCAAAATAGGAATGTGGTGAACCTTTGACCCGAAATGAGCATCTCGAAATTGTTGTATCAATGATCTAACGTAGTTCCGATTTCTTCGGCGTTCTGTATGATCAAAAAGCGCATTTTACAAGGTACGAATCCGACTACGAATACGAGTATCGATTCCCGAAGCTTTGTCCATTCTTCTCTACAACACAACTATCGGTCGTGTTTACACATGTCACCAGCCAATTCCTAATTCTCGCCAGAGTGGTTCGAGATCTTGAGATGGAACTGAGATCGCCTCTCCGCCTCCATCTCTGTCGATGATGTTAACCTCGGATACCACTCCCTCCGCATATCTCCATCCTGACATGTACAGCACTCGTACCGGTTCTGTGCTATATCAGATCACAATATCGAACTGCCGATGAATCCCACTATAATATCCCAAAGTAAATATCCTGTCACATAGCTCTGACAAGTTCTCGGCGTCTTTGGAGAAAGGGAAGCAGGTAGCAATGCTCACGAAGACGATCACCATCATTGGTGGATTCTCGCCGCAGCCTGGACACTTGTCAGTGGGAACGGCACGAAGATACTTGGCAAAAGGTCTATCAAACGAATAACAGATACCTCTGGCTCTGTATTCGGTGTTTTACCATTCGCCAGTAAACGATATGCAATCGCTAATACGAAGCTGGCGCGATGGGACAATTCCAAACCAATATATGATACGAGTCTTGCTACCGCGAACTCTCCACAATCCCCGTTCAGTCCCCGCATAGTACACGGAAACCTGGGAGGATGACAAGCAACTTCAAGGTAACTTGTGCAGATCTAAGCAATTAGAACTGCTTGAGATGAGTCTTGATCCATCTCCGTTGATGTCGATCACGGCAGTTGTGCCTATACACTTGCCGTTTGCTTGCCTCTCAAGAACATTCTTAAGCCTCTTCATTACCCATACTCAGACTACCTCACGAGGAAAGGGTTAGAAAGATACAGAACAGTGCTACATACAGTGTCCATTCCGCTGTACCACATCTTCATCATGTCTGCGGAGATCTCACACGCTCCTCAATCTGATCTCGATCCCGAGAAACAGGTTGAGGAGACTGTCATCCACCTCGAAGATGCACTGGCAACCCTTCAAATTGATCCCAAGGACGCCGACGAGGCATTCACCTTCTTGAGGGACCACCCGAATGCCGATGGCGTTACTCAAGAAGCCATCTCCATCCTGGCCGATGACGCCAAAGCCAAAAAACTCCTCAGGAAGATCGACTGGGCTATTCTTCCATGTATGATTGCAACTTATTTCCTACAGTTCCTTGACAAGACTACAATCGGCTACACCGCAGTCATGGGCCTCCGAGAAGACACCAATCTCAAGGGTCAGGATTATTCCAACGTGGCCATGATATTCTACATTGGCTACTTAGCCGCGGAATTCCCTACACAGTATCTCTCACAACGCATTTCGAGACTTGGGAAATATCTCGGAGCCAACATCATGTGCTGGGGCGCTGTCCTAGCTGCACATGCCACTTGTCAGAATTACGCTGGTCTGATGATCTGTCGCACAATTCTGGGTATCTTTGAAGCATGCGTCACACCGACACTTGTTCTTGTTGTAGCCATGTGGTACAAAAAGTCCGAGCAGGGACGAAGGATCTCCTATGTCTACGTTTGCAACAGGTTAGTTGGTCGCATGCTGAGTTGTATTGATGTGTCTGACTTGTATTATCTAGTTTGACTTCCATCTTTGCTGGTCTGGTATCTTATGGAGCCTCATTTTCTGACAACGGCCATCTTGCAAGCTGGCGAATCTTTCTTCTCACCATTGGATTAGCCACTGTCGCCATTGGATTTGTCGTTTTTCTCTATCTGCCGGATTCACCGGTCAAAGCCAGACGTTTCACAGATGCTGAAAAGGTCGCAACCTTGCTCCGTGTCAAAGACAACCAGTCCGGTACCCAAAACTCCAAGATCAAGACAGACCAACTACGGCTGGTGTTCAAGGACCCGGGCGTTTGGTTGATTGCTGTAAGCGTGGTATGCTTGAGCGTGCCTACTGCTATCCCCAACTTTTCCAGCATCTTGTTGACTACCTTCGGGTACACTCCCCGAGAAGCACTGATTCTAAACATCCCCGGAGGTGTCGTTGGTGCCATCTCCACAATTTTGGTTGGATGGTTGAGCGACCGATGGAACGATCGAAGTTCGGTCATGATTGTCAGTATACTTCCGACTATTGCAGCGTTCGCCATGATGATCGGCCTTGACCCTGGCGGTGTTCCAAAAAGCAAGGGAGCTCTCTTGTTTGCTTTGTATCTGGCCAATTCATTCACTTCGGCTTTTATGCTTCTCTTGGTCTGGAATGCCTCCAATCTAGGTGGACACACGAAGAAGGTCACGGTCAACGCCCTGACGCTGGTCTTATATTGTGCTGGCAATATCGCCGGTACTGAAAGCTTCAGAGCCGCAGAGGCTCCAGGGTACATCAGTGGAAAGGCAGCTATTATGAGCACACTATCTGCGCAGGTCTTTATCTGTCTGCTGCTCAGGTATCGGAATGATCGGCTGAACAAGAAAAACCGTGAGAAACTGGCTTCGATGAGTGAGGATGAGAAAGAGACATTACGACAGCAATTGGCTTATGCAGACAAGACTGATCGGGAGAACCCATTCTTTGTGTACACACATTGAGAAGGACCTGCTCTAAGCAGTGCAAGGACTGAGAGCTACACATGTCATAGTCTTAAGTACCAAAGATTAATAAGAAAAAGATTAATGGGCTACATATGCTATCAAAACTTCGTGCCGATCTTTGCGCAGTGCTGCCTTGCAAATTGTCGTTTCCGTTTCCCAACTCATTCCCATCATGTCCGCAGTTCATCCGGGGAAGAGTGCATGGATAGTACGGACAAAAGGCCAACTACAGGTACCTAAGTACCTCTTACTCGTGATCGATCCATACTGGGGATCCCCACAAACGGAGCGAATGCACGATGATGTGTACCGACTGTTGTCGATCAATAATGCAACTTGAACATCCGCTCACAACTCCTCGAATGTTGCTTTGCATCCGACAATGTGTGTGCTGTAATGTCTCTTTATCACGTCAACGGTGTTCAACATGATGTTGATTCTACCAGTCATTGGTTTTGCAGCCATGATGGCTCATGGCCAGACATTGACATTGGCATCAAGTATGATTGAAGGGATGAGCAACAACAGTCTATTCGATCGATGGCGTCCTTACTCACATTTCTCCGCCCCTGCCGGATGGATGAATGACCCATGTGGACCACTCTATGACCCCGTCGGCGACCTTTACCATCTGCACTACCAGTGGCACGTCAACCATGTGGAATGGGGCAACATCTCTTGGGGTCATGCCTCGTCGGAAGATCTAGTGACATGGATTGATGTCGACCACTTCTCTGGCGATCAATCCCAAGCAGCAGCCCAAGCCTGGTCAGGAAGTCGAGCACAATCACTAGGACCGACCAATCTGACCAGCTCCCACCATGGTCCCAGCGAGTACAACCACCTCGGAATCTTCACGGGCACTGCACAACCCGTCAACTTGACCGGAGAAGTCGACGACGGTACACTACTCGCCTTTTACACCTCCGTCTCTCGCCTTCCCACGAGTTGGGACGCACCGTACCTCAAGGGAACCGAGAGTCAGAGTTTGGCATACTCTACGGACGGCGGTCTCAGCTGGACGCAATACGATGGCAATCCAGTGATATCGCAGCCACCAGAGGGTTGGAACGTTACCGGGTTCCGAGATCCTTTCTTTCATGAGTCGCCGGAGTTGGATCGCATGCTCAACTACTCCGAGCCGCATTACTATTCTGTCTTTGGTTCCGGGATAGGCGACGTTGGGCCCCGAGCACCTCTGTACACCGCACTAGCGTCGAACCTGACCGATTGGACTTTCCTGGGAGCATTGTGGGAACCCAATGGCAACACTTCCCTCGGTCGGCCGTACGAGGTGGGTAATTGGGGATGGAATTTTGAAGTTCCCAATTTCTTCGATCTTGATGGCCACTGGTTCTTCAGTTCTGGAGTACAAGGAGGCGATAGAAGTTATCATGAACAGACTTGGTCGATTTGGAATGAAGGGGTTGTCAGTGCCAGACCGAATGGATCCATTGCATTCGAACCGGTATCGATGGGTGCGGTGGATTGGGGTAATCTCTACGCTGTGAGTCTCAATGATGAGGGAAAAGCGCCATGATCTCTCTGTATGTGTGCTGTTCTGATACTGGAGTCTCTCAAGGTAACATCATTCAACGACACCAAACGTGACCGTCGCATTCAGATAGGTTGGTCACCAGAAGACATGAACAACTTTGGGATCGTTCAACAGGGGTATCAAGGGGCCTTGTCAATCCCTCGAGAACTGTTTGTTTTGTACACGCCCAACGTCAAACCACCTTCGCCCATGAGAAACAGTAGTTCGGTGTACACGTCAAACCCCAACGGCACTTGCACGGCACGCACACTGGGTATCCGACCTGCCCGGGATGTCGTCGCCGGTCTCCGCGAAGGTTCTCACGCCACAAACCATACCGTAGGCGGCGACAACGACAACAACACAATAAAAGGCAACGGTGCCGGCTCCGGGTCTATGATGCTTTTGAACAAGTTGAATTCATCTTCGTACGAAATTTCGTTCACAGTCGCCAGCACGACCGGTAGAGCGGGTTTGACAATCCTTGCGTCTCCCGATTTCCTCGAGTACACTTCGATATACCATGACCCCACGACGTCGACGATTGCATGCGACAGGAAGAAATCTTCGACCATCCCAGAATTTCTCAAGACGACGTACCTAGGGTTTTTCGAACCATACAACGTCATCACTCACGACGAAACCGGATCCGGTTCCGGCGTCGCCGTTCCTGAAACCATCACATTCGATGTGTTCGTGGACGGATCACTGGTCGAAATCTTTGTCAATGATCGTTTCGCTCTGACGACCAGGGTCTATCCTAGCAGACTGGACAGTACGGGGGTGGGCCTGTTTGCCTCCAAGGGAGTCGAAGTGACTTACTCTGGACCACTTCAGGTCTGGGACGGGTTGAAAGATGTGTGGCCCAGTAGACCACGAAACTCGAGTTCGTTGTTGGTCTGGGATACGGATGCAGAAACAAACAATGGGACATGGTGGACGGGACTTTGATGAACCTGAGAAACAGAGGTCCACGGTCTCAATACATGGTGTAAATCACGACGAGTACTTGCGACAATGGCCGAGGAATGTACAAAAGCATGCGTATTTGAATATTTCTATTCTTTGGTTGATGGTGAGGGCGATGACCCAACGTTAGGTGAAATATCACTCCCAAGGTACCAACTATTCTCTACTTCAATGCTTTTCCATAGTACTTCCTACAGTGGCCTTCTTGCATCAACAAGGTCTCCAATCGTTGTTTCGCCATGAGTGTCCTCTGTGATACTTCTGCAAAACAACGGAGCTGACTGGACATCGGCCTCGCAGTTTTACTCTGTATGTCATACTGCTCTCAACGTCGACGTTAACTCCGTTTGGATTGACCTCGGACAGAGCCAGAACCTATCGTCGACAGCGGATACCAAAGTCCGTGTGATCCGTAAATTGTCTCCGTTCGAGCCACTCCTTAATCCCGTATCCACAGCGAGAAAAAGGAGAAAAATCTCTCGTGTTACGAAGTATGTGAACAGCAAACAGCACAGCGCCCGGTGCTGCGACAAATTGAATTCCGGATCTCTCAAGTGTGGTGTGCCCGTACAGTAGTTACTGAGGGTACTATCGTCAAGGAGAAGCTCCCCGTCCCCAAAACTCGGGTCCGTTCACAGAGTACGAATGAAAATAGATATTCGTCGTACTCCTAATGGCCTTGGTATATTTGCTGGTCAGCACTGACTGTTCAATAGTGGATTGGTAAAAAGCAGGTCTTTTTCGATCTCGATTTTGAATCTACTCCCATTCCGAATCGCCCAAAAAAAGTCCGAATATGTTGCGTACGAGTGATAAGTGTTTCCGTGCTCAATCAGGGACACCTTGATCATACATATACTGAGTGGGGTACTTCGTTAGTCCCGTGTGTTCTATTCGCATTCGTTATTCGACAGCGTAACCGAGTCGCAGGCTGTTTGTTTTTCACCGGTCCTTTTCCGGTGTCGCGTCACTATCAGTCTTTTCATTTTTCGGCTTCTCATCACCAGGACCAAGTTCATGCGGACTCTCATGTCCAATCGAGGAAGCACCACTGCTACTCTCAATGCTGACAGAAGAACTCGAATTCGAATTTCCTCGTACGACATCAACGTCACTCTGCTTTTCCTCGTCGTCCCGCTTCGGCAACGGAGTCGGGGCGAATTTGCTCCTCTCCCGGATTTGCCTCCCGTACTTGTAAAACACAAACGGGATGGGTGCCAGGAGACAGGCGACGCCTCCGATCAAGGACGCTCCGGGGCCCACGTCGAGGGCGTCGAACATGTACTGCGTGAACAGCGGCGCCGCGGCCCCGCACGCGGACCGACAGATGGTGTTGGCCGCCATGGCGCTCGCGGTGTACATGAGGTAGGTGTCGGTGAGGTAGTTGAGGTAGGAGACAAAGATCAGCATGATGGAAGCGGACAGGAAGGTCCCGGCCAGGGTGGGCACGATCCAATGGATGCTGTTGTACTGGCCGGTCCAACCGAACCAAAACATGGTGACGGCGAACCCAATGCCGCCGATCATGGCGACGGGGAGACGGTCTTCGGGGGTGCGAGGCACGCCGGCGAGCATCTTCTTCTTGTCGCGGGATGAGATGTAGAAGATGACGCAACCGCCGATGCTGGATCCGATGGCCGTGCCGATGAGTGGAAGTTCACCAACTCCCGAGTTCCAGCCTCGTTTTTGTTGGAAGACGATGGGGTAGATGGTGAAGAGCATGTACAGCAAGACATAGACGATGGAGAGGTAGATTGCCACCAGGAACGAGATTGGATCAAACAAAATCTTCCAGGGTCGGATGAGGGCGATCTTGAAAATGGCCTTCAGTTCTCTGGTGTCGGCTTCCGCAGGTGCCTTGAGCTCGGCGTGTTCCGGGTTACCAGTCGCTCGAATTCTTCGAGCTTTGTTGATCAACACCACCGACGGTAGTGTCTCGGGGATGGTGAACATGAGAACCTCAGTGAACCAACCGAGCCACAACAAAACATAAAAATTCCACCTCCAATCTTCCTTGAGCTCGAGGAACCCGCTGACCACGGGACCCAGAGCCGGACCGACAAAGGTCATCATGGAGAAGACGGCCATGGCGTTGCCTCGTTCGATAGGTCCCCAGATGTCGGCCAAGACTCCGGGGGCATTCGTCAACGGCGCGCTCGCGAACGTCCCTGTGAGGAGACGGCCGACGAGGAGGGATCCAAAGTTTGGTGCGAATGCGCAGAGGAAGTTGAAGGCGTTGTAGGCGGTGAAGGTCGTCAAGAACACCCATCGTCGACCGTAGAATTCAGAGAGGGGCGCGAAGATCAGTGGCCCTGCACAGTACCCGAGGAGGAACAAGGTGATGACGAGGCCAGAGGCTTCCACCGAGACATGAAAGTGCGCCGCGATGCCTCGAAGACAACCCGACGGACTCGACGAGGCGAAGGTGGCGTTGACCACGAGCATGATGGCCACCACGGTACAGTACCATCGTCGTGGGGTCGACCATTGTTTGGGGTTCTCGACATCCTCCGGGGCGAAATCGACATGGCCGTTTTCGTTGAGATGCGGCCTGGCTGAAGGGTCGATTTTCCCGGATCGATATGGTTTGGCCACTGGCCGCGATAGAATTCGTTCTATCGCGTCCATTGTGAGGTGTCTCGAGGACAAGAGAAAGTCGATTTCTCTACTAGAAGAGGAAAAAGGAAAGAAAGTGACCGCAAAACACCATCGAAAAACAACAACAGCAACTCCTATCGTGACGTATATATTCGAGAAATGAAAAAAAAAGGGCAACGACATACGTATTGGTCCACCAGGGACTTTTTAGTAATAATACGCCCCTCCTCCCTCCTGGATACCCTGGGCGATCATGTCCAGGTAGTTTCGGCTATCCGGCACCGGTCTCTGTTCATCACTATGTCCGTGTTAAAGCCAAAAAAGCTTGCCATGCCATGTTCCTGGGAATCATAACACCGAGGCCCATATTATTTATTAGTTGAGGGAGAGACTGAAAGGGATCTTCATCTTCATGCACGTGGAATACGCGGTCGAGGCTGAGCATCTTTGTCCCCATGGCTCTTTACATGTGTCTGATATCTTTGCGTACATTGGTCTTTTGTTTTGGTGGTTTGCCGAAGTCTGAAGTATCGTAAAGGGATGGAATCCTTTGCTATCCCTTACGTCTACTCCGGACATTGGTGCCCGAATCCCAAATGCTTGTGCTAGTTGGTGGAGATGGGATGTGCTTCGCAATGGCCCCTACGAAGTAACCTCGTATGATACCCCTAGCCATTATGAGTGTCCATTTTGCGACTGGCGTACCCTGTACTTCGGTATTGTACAAGAAAGTCGGACCTCGCGCTTGAATTATCGCCGTCTGCGATGTGAAATCAAAAAAGAAAAAGACCATTGCGTACACCTGGTTACTGTCTCCTGTTTCGCCGACCGCGCCTTTCAAAGTCGTCAATCTGCTAGTGACAAACTTTACCAAAGCACACAATTATGCAGGGCTTTGTACTGTGCCTTCATGCAATAGTCGAGTCAGATGGTCGTATGGAGTCTGGTGTGTCTCAAGGGTTGTGCTCCAATTGAAGCCACTATATCCGCGCGTATCCGAGATGCTTAATAATGAGTTGTTGGGTTCCTCGCCGGTCAGGTACTCTAAATGGCAAACCAGTCCTAAACGGAGGAGGTGAGTATTGAGGAACTGCTCTCAGATACTCAAATCTGCCTGGTGATAACACCGACTTTCGAAGGTCCCAGACAAGGACCGGTACTCCTTGTGTACCTGGGTATCTTGTAGATCGGCCAGATACTCCTTACTCGGTCAATGGGTCCAGGATCTCAGCCCTAAGTTTAGTAGACATAGGCCGGCAAATCTCCCTCCCAGCTTAGCGATGATGTTGTGGAATTCGTGCTTGTCATCCTTCATTAATGTCCCTTGCACAACGCCTCGTCGGATATGAGGGCACACGTGGGCAGTCCTGTTAACATCCTACTCTTCGGAGCTGGTAGCGTAGGCGCAGTCCATCTGTATCAGTTTCAACGTGCCGGATGTCGAGTGACAGCTGTATGTCGCTCGAATTATGATGCGGTCAACCGCGATGGCTTCACTCTTATCAGCAAGAGATTCGGTAATGTCAAGTTTCGTCCCGAACATGTCGTTCGAAAGGCCGAAGACTGCCCCAAGGATGTCTCGTACGACTACATCTTCGTCGCCAGCAAATCTTTCCCGGGCACCAAACCTCTGCTGTCTGACATGATCCGCCCGGCGATGCGGCCACATACCGCCATTGTGCTGGCCCAGAATGGGATCGCGATCGAAGATGAAGTTGCACAAGTGTATCCGAACAACCCTCTGCTGAGTTGTGCCGTGTACATGCCAGCGACCCAAACCGATCAGGGCGTCATCCAATATCCGGAGATGCTGAACCTCCTTGAGATCGGGACCTTTCCTGCCAATGCTCCGCCATCTCACAAGGAGGCCGCCACGAGGCTGGCAGACCTGGTGGTCGCTGGTGGTGGACAAGCTGAAGTCCACGATGATATACAGATTGCTCGGTGGTCCAAGTTGTTGTTGAACGGTGCCTGGAATCCGATTTGCGCCCTTTCAATGTGCACCGATGGGGATTTCCTGGGAACGTCTCCTCAAGCATATGACCTGGTTTGGTCTGTGATGCTGGAAATCATCGCGCTGGCTAAGAAGATCGGCATTCCAGGTATTGATGAAAAGGTTGCCGAACAGAAATTGTCCATTGCGAAGCGACGGTCCGAGACTGGCCAAGGCAGAGCCATCAGTATGCTCCAAGACATTCAACAGGGCCGTCTGTTTGAAATTGAAGCCATTGTTGGCAACACGGTGCGGCTGGGGAAAAAGCATGGTGTTCAGATGCCCTTGATGGAGGCATTGTACGCCCTGGGAAAAGCACGTTTCGATGCCATGGTTCGAGAACAAAAGGCACGTAGAGGATGAAACGAAATCCATGGTAAACAGCTAGACATTCTACGATCTCACAGCTAAGACGCTGGCCATGTTGTCAGCGGCATTCTGACAAGGCTTCAACCATTCAAAGAGTGTCAGAGTCTCTGAACAGGTATGCAATTTTGAAATCCGCTGACCAGATTCCGCATGGCATTCATTCATTCACTCATTCACGCATCCGTGTCCTTGCGTCTCTTACATTTCTGAATAAGCCATACGGACGTACCGAACTCATATCGACGGCGAAACTCGACCTAAGAAGTATTTACCCGCCCTGTGCCTGACATGACCATCTCACTTTCTACACAAATACCTTTTGCTGACGCCTTTTCTTCGCCCCCACGACATTACACAGCTTGAAGCTGCTAGACGCAGCTGATGAGGCCAAGAGATCTCTCTTTCTCACCATCTATCCAGCTGGTGCACGGAACGACCCATGATTATGTGATACTCCGCGCATTTGCTCCAAACAACGTCCAGCATATCAACCCACCGTGGCCAACGTGTGATGATTCCACATAGTCGCCGCAAACCAATTTGTGCAGTCTGAAATCGAAAAACCACCTGTTGCAGAATATTAGGTCCGAGTCCCAATGAAACCATCTCACCCAAGTCTAAGAACATGCTAATCGCTCTCCCCGTAGCAAATAGTAGTCCTCTTTTGGCGACCACACCACAGTTCTCGTTCCTCGGGGTCGTGCGATGGATGATCAGAGTCCACCCAACACTGCTCCATTCTTCTCGGTACGGTAGTTTGGTGACGCTGAAAACCTGGAGTTCCGTGTTAGTTGTAAAACACGTCTACACAATGAGACGCTCCATTCCGATCGCTTGTTCAAGGCATGATGATCACCAGCTGTCGTGATTACTTCGTTGGATGAAACCCCTGGTCACCACGACGTTGATGATGGGATCAAGCATGGAACCGACCCCTGCACCACATATCACGGTCTCACCGACTGGGAAACACTGCTTCAGCGTCAGCCTAAAACCAAATCAACCAAGAAACCCAAATCCTTCAGTCAAATGCTGATATCACATTGACTAAGGTCACGGTCTGTGGATGAGCCAAAAGATATACATATAATGTGGCTCACTTCATAAAGTTTAAAAACGGCCGACTTCCCAAAGTCGCGTCCCTCCGACGTTCGTTTCCTCTTACTAGGCGAATACCCTGGAATTTAGTCGGGGCAACAGACTCTTGTCGATTTCGTCATGTCAGACAACTACGACTTCATTGTTGTGGGAGCTGGTGCAGCAGGTGCCATCCTTGCATGGCGTTTGGCACACTCCAAAAGGTCTCCATCGGTCCTCCTGGTCGAAGCGGGTGGAAAGAATGACTCCAAGTCTGTTCGTATCGATGCAGAAAGGTGGCTACATCGCATGGTTCCAGGACAAAATTGGTCGTACAAATCTGCTCCCATCAGCGGCTTCGACGGCAGTATTGTCGACTACGATCGTGGCAAAGGCCTCGGAGGCAGCACCGCTATCAACTTCTGCTGCTGGACGATCGGTCCCAAAGAAGACCATGACGAGATTGCTCGTGTTGTTGGTGATGAGGCGTGGAAATGGACGAATGCTAAGGAGCGATACAAGAGGATCGAAGCGTACCATGGTGTTCCACCAGATGTGCCGGGCGACGTGCAAAAGTACTTGAATCCGCGGCCAGAAGATCACGGTCACACTGGTCCCATTCACACGGGTTTTCCTCGAGTCTGGGAGCAGTCTGTAAAGGATCTCATGGATATTTGGATCGACAATGGCTCCAAGGTGAACCCAGATCACAATTCTGGTGATCCTATAGGCCTGTCCGCCTGTACAAACACGGCGTACAACGGCGTCCGTTCCACCTCGGCCGATGCATTAGTCGGGGCACCAGACAATCTGCATATCTTGACAGATACCGAAGTCCGTCGCCTGGTCTTTGACGGCACGAAGGCGACCGCTATCGAAACCTTTGCGGGCATGACCATTCGTGCCAAGAAGGAGATTATCCTCTCCTGTGGTAGTCTGGATACTCCTAGAATTCTGATGCACTCGGGCATTGGTCCCCATGACCAATTGACCAAGTTCAATATCCCTGTTTTGAAGGCGAATGAGAATGTTGGCCAACATCTGAAGGACCACCATCATGTCTTGTTATCATACGACCGGGCCGATCATACGTCCAAGCGACGGGAATTTTACGCCAGCAAGGAGTTGCAAGCAGCCGCCAGAGTTCAATGGGAAAGGGACGGTTCAGGACCATTGGCAGAGTATGCATGTGCAATGGGTCTGGGCTATGAGAAGCTGGAAGCTTTGTATGATTCATCTGAGTTTCAAGCCTTGTCGCCAGCAGAACAAGAGCACTTGCGAAAGCCGACAATACCTCATTACGAGTATCTTGTCAACGGTGTGCATGTTCCTCATCTTCTCGATCCTGAACATACGCCAGCGGGCACCTCGATCTTTGTCTTTCTCCTCAACATGAAATCCAATGGATCCATGGTCCTTCAGTCGTCCGACCCCCGAGAGCCATTGTTATTCTACCCCAACTACTTCTCCCACCCGTACGACAGACGCGCCGCTATCGAGGCCACGCGGGAGATACTGAGAGTGACCAAGAGTCCTCAATTCAGCAAGGACACTGTTGCCACGACCGTGGTCCCCAAGAGTGAATCGGACGAGGATATTGTAGAATTCTGGAAGAAATCATCTGGCAGCACCTGGCATATGATGGGTACAGCACGGATGGGCAAGACCGAAGCTGAGGGAGTGGTGGATCACGACTTCAAAGTCTTTGGTGTACAAAATCTCCGCATTGTAGACATGAGCGTCATTCCCATCGTCGTCAAGTAAGTCTCGAAAAAGTCCCGTTGGTGTGGAACATACTGACGTCTATGCTACAGCTGTCACACGCAGACGACGGCATACCTTACTGGTCTCACGGCAGGAGACAAGCTTGTTGCTGAATATAACCTCGATGGATGAGTGAGCATTCACTCGTCGATGCTCGTACCCAGATCCATTGCCTCGTTACCGCCTAGCATGAGAACATGTCTCATGTCGAGGTCGGGTTGGTGGAATTTGAATGGAGCTTGGACAGTCACGCACACGGGCCGTACGGAGTATGCTGGAGAGGTTCATCTGATAGTGAGGTAGATATTCTTGCTGCGGGTGGTGGGATCAAACACCTGGTCTCTGATTAACAAATTTAGTGGGCTCCAAAAATAGCTACGGGGACCTGTCTGAGGCCGCTCGAAGCTTTCTAGGCGAATAAAGTACCCGTGGAAGGGCTCTGGAGGGGGGAATGTTTAGAGGCTAGCGCCCATGTGGTGGAGTTCTCTAGGTTGTCGCACAAGCATCAATGCATTTGGTAGACCTTAGAGGCCCCTGGAAATATCCCGAACAGTAGAGGCCGCCATGCCTAAAACTGTGCAGCCGAAGACCCTGTCCTTGTTTCTCCAGCTTGGCGTGTGCCTCACATCGACGCCGCAGGTCAAACTGCCCTTTGTACGAGTACTACAGTACAACGACGGATTGACCACGACCCGAACTCGTTCTGTAGATCACCCCATCTCTCAAACTTCCCTCATCGGCGGTGCCGACGACGACAACAACAACAGTGAGGAGGGCTGCTGCGACGTCTTTTTTGCAGCCCTCGATTCTATCTCAATCCCGTTCCCATAGTCAAATATCTTTACCCCTCGTCCCTGCCTGCCCATCTTGCAGTGTCTGCACCGGTTGACAGACAATATGCTCGGTCTTGTCGACCATCCAGGCTGCGAGACTATTCCAGGTGATTGACTGCTTGGGGGCGGATGCATTTCTTTAGACGATCCTCATCTACCATTTGTTCAACTGGGCTCGGGTTTCATCCTACGCTTTTGCGCTAATTGCAGCCCGTTCAACAAGGGGTCCGCGTAGCCCAGCCGAAGAGAGGCTCTGTGAACCTCAAAAAGTACAAACACCACCCGACGAAGGCTTGTCTGAGGGCTTCCGACTCCTTCATGGCGCCTGTTCCCTCCCATCAGAAGGCAGGGCGCTCGGTGCCACGAAACATCCAAACGCACCTGACCCCGAACGAGGACCGGCAGAGCACCACCGACCTGAACCGTCCCCTTCCTCCACCTCCCGCCTCTGCTTCGATCGAGACCTACGAGATCCCGAGCCTTCGGAGAAAGCCTGTCCCCGGCCAACTGGAGCCGGAGTCGTCCAAACCCAGCCACAACCGGTCGTTCAGTCACCCATTCCCTTCGATATTTGGTTCTAAGAGATCTGAGAAAAAGCATAACGCACGGGGAGAGCCCGAGGTCACAGCAAGTGGTAGCAAGGACAACCGGCAGGAGGATAATAGATCCAAGCCTCCCACCACTGAAGCCGCTGCGCATCGCGGGGATCGACAGCCTGTGACGGGGAAATGCATGACCTGTGACTCGACTGTACGCTGGCCTCAAGGGCTCAAAGTGTTCCGATGTACTACTTGTTTAACAATCAACGATCTCGAGTTCAACCCGGAGAGAGAAGCAGCTGATGGCGCGAGCGTCTCTGGCCCACCTCGCCGATCGATGCCGTTGTCCCTGGACAGAACAAGATCACTTATTGATCGATGTATGAGGGAATATCTCGAGCGACTTCTCGAACCAAAATTCGAACAAGAGCGGGCGGTTGAAGTTCAAGCCCACTCACCACCTGAAGAATCATTTCTCCTAGCAGGAACTCCTCCAGAAAGAGCTCTCTTTGGACAGCTTCAGGATGATGTAGACTCTCCTCCGCCTTCACCGCGACCCCCTACGAAACCACGAAGCCCCTCGGACTCGACCTTGACCACGTTCAAATCAAAGTCAAATGGTCTATCTCCATTTGTTCAAGGTCAGGCATCAGATCCATTTTCAAGCTCCGTTCCAGCGCAAACTCGGCTGCCGGAGAGCAGCGCCCGTGACGCAGCGTGCAACACCCCTGGAATGACGAATGACATCTTCCGTATGGTCGAGAATTACGTAGCTAACTCTTTCATCGGGTGCGCTAATCTCAACAACTCATTTCTTACCCCGAGACCTCCCCAGGAGTCCAAGGGCGAGCCAAAGCCCAGAACAGGTTCGAGCACGCAGCAAAGACGACAAATGTCTGAGCCGATATCTGCTCCGCAATTTGAATCAGAAGTTTTCCTGTCAGATCTCGATGCCAAAACTTTGCTCTTAGGAGATGTCGCTGAGAATGGATCTTGGTGGCTGGGAGCACCAGGCGGACGATCAGACGCATCACATCACCGAGATCGCTCTCCGGACAAAGTGCGTGGCTCCAATAGTTCACGAAATGTCAGGATCAATTGGTTAGAGCTCGCCGAGTGGTATCGTTGCATAATATATGCTGGTGAGGGATGGGAGCAGAGTTGGAATGAAATGAAGTCCCACACAGAAGGCACAGTGCAACAACATTGCCAGTCGATACCTCTCGAGAGTCTGCAGCGAGACATCATCGAGTCTCGTATCCATCTCCACCGGAGCTTATTGAAAATGACCGAGAATCTACTGAAACGGCCACGACAGCCTCTGAAGCATCCAGAAGATTGTCGATTTCTTTTGATATTGCTCTCAAACCCACTGCTAACTCCGCAAAGACTGGAAGCTGGGAAGATGTTCGGTACAACTTTATCGCATCCACCTACGGCGGCGAGCCGATCAAATGAAGATAGAGCTAGAAGCTCCCCAGCCAGACGTAATCCGAGCTCTGGTCGGCGGCCTGGAAGTCTTGGCCATCACTCAGGAATCATCAAGCGCATTCTAGGCCTTCTCTCTAATTTGCCCAACGAAATACATCAGTCTCTTGTTTCTTGGTTTGCCAAATACTCTGATGGCCATTTTCAACGTACCGTGGAGCTGGTTGGAAGTTTCGTCACGTACCGCTTGTCGCGGCAACAAAAGCGTCCTACGCACGAGCCGATCAATCCTACCGCTGGTCTTGTTCCCAGTTTCTCGGGCAGTGGGATGCAACATGCGTCTCAAATCCACGCAGCTCTAGGGGGTCGAGCGTCGTCTACATCAGGGGGCGACAACGATGGCAAGCCTAAACTCGCCTTGTATGGAGAAGACTGGCAGGTTCGTGCAGCAGCAAGGGTGATGGCTCTCCTGTTTCAAGCAAACATTGGACATGCAGCTCGAAAAAAGGATGCACACAATACCCACGATCAAAGGCATCAGAGTCCGGGTCAGAATGCTAGACATCAAGCAAACCGTCATGGTCAGATCGTACCAATTAGCAACTTTTACAACACAATGCTGGACTATGCGGATTTGGTTGCTGACTTTGAGACATGGGAGACAACCAAGACCAAATTCACCTTTTGCCAGTACCCGTTCTTCCTCAGCATATATGCCAAAATCCACATCCTCGAACACGATGCTCGAAGGCAAATGGAACTCAAGGCAAAGGAGGCTTTTTTCGACAGCATCCTAAGTAGGAGGGCTGTCAGCCAATACCTTGTGCTGAAGGTCCGACGAGAATGCCTGGTCGAAGACAGCCTGCGCAATGTTTCCGAGGTCGTAGGCTCTGGTGGCAGCGACATTAAGAAGGGCCTACGCATCGACTTTCAAGGAGAGGAGGGCGTTGACGCTGGAGGACTTCGCAAAGAATGGTTTCTTCTGTTGGTACGGGAGATTTTCGATCCTAACCACGGTCTCTTCGTATACGATGACGATTCCCACTTCTGTTACTTTAACCCTTATTGCTTCGAATCCTCGGAACAATTCTTCCTAGTCGGGGTACTCTTGGGCCTGGCGATATACAATTCGACCATCCTCGATATCGCATTTCCTCCTTTCGTCTTCAAGAAGATGCTCGCGTCCGCTCCGATGACAGGGGACAAACTCACATCTACCACAAGGGTCGGCCACAGCTACACTTTGGAAGACCTGGCAGAATTCCGCCCAGCACTTGCACGAGGGTTGCGGCAACTTCTTGAGTTTGAAGGTGATGTTGAAGAGACGTTTTATCGAGATTTCGTTGTGGAAATGGAGCGATATGGCGAGGTCATCCGGGTTCCCTTGTGTCCTGGCGGGGAGAAACGACCAGTGACAAACTCCAACCGGAGAGAATTTGTGGATCTCTACATCCATTATCTCCTCGATACATCGGTCACTCGACAATATGAGCCCTTTAAACGCGGCTTCTTTACTGTCTGTGGAGGCAACGCGCTGTCGCTATTCCGACCTGAGGAAATTGAATTACTGATACGTGGTTCTGATGAGCCGCTGGACATTGCTAGTCTTCGTGCAGTCGCCACGTATGAAGGATGGTCCAAGAATGAAGGCCCACCGGACAAACAGCCCCAGGTCATCTGGTTCTGGGACTTTTTTGGGCGAGCGACTCCAGGCGACCAGAGAAAGATATTGACTTTCATAACGGGCAGCGATCGCATCCCGGCCATGGGGGCCACGAACCTGATCATTCGCATTCAGTTGCTCCGCCTCAAGGACGAGGTTGACGGTCTTGGCCGGGGGCCGCCTAGAAAGAGCATCGAGAGGTTTCCAATTGCCAGGACATGCTTCAACACCTTGAGCTTGTACAGATATAGCAGTCGTCAGAAATTGGAACAAAAGCTTTGGACGGCAGTTACGGAAAGTGAAGGGTTTGGATTGAAGTAACCAAATCAGAGGCTTGCGGGCGACTGGTGACGCCAACGCGTTCGATGATTGAAATGACTATAAGACAAAGGGTTTGGGATTGACCAGGTTGGATTCGCCTTGGGGTCCAAACCGACGAGAGAAGGAGCTGGAAAGAAAAGTTGGCATATCGAGGTAGGGGAAAGATTCACATTGGCATGGGTATGGGTATTGATTAGTATTTGACTAAGCCCGCGATTGACATGGAATGGCATGGCATTGCATGGGGGATCATGAAAGCAAGGCGTTTCGAAGTGCTGCTATAAGAGCCAGAGAAGAGAGAGAGAGAAAAAGATTCGAGAGTCATCAGGATAACGATAGTCTTTTCTATGAGAAAAAAAAATGCCCACCTTTGGATATCCAGAAGGGAAGAGAACCCATGTTGATGTCGAAAAGACGAGGTTTCGTCCTCGATACAAAAGATGGATATCATTATGTATCATCAATATCCAAAAAGAGCAGAATATCTGTTCCCTCGACTGATGTGCAGTGGCAACGAAGAATAGTAGCGAGAAAGCTCCCATTGTCACACGGGCGCGGAAATATTGGGGGTTGTTTCTTTTGTTGTTGTTTTTCCTTTCTGACTGTCCTATGGTTGAGGATGCTCTCACCGTATGTTTATTCCATCAGAAAGGGTCCCATGAAAATGTGGGTGACCTTAGTCCGTAGGCGCGTGGGATGTTTTTGGCGACGTGTTGTCGTGGGTAGTTTTCGTATCTTTTTCTTCTGCCGTACACATATGGAGCTTACTCGACTCTGTAGGTACAGTAGAGCTGGCGCGCGCAATGTCCAATGTTTTTACTGAGAAGGTACTTTGTACTTAAAGTAGGGTATGAGAAGCATCGACGTCATTGTTTCAACGGGTTTTTCCAAAAGCCTTTGGCAAACCCACAAAAATTTTGGCGGAGAGCTTTACTGTACAAGTACTCCGTCCATGTCTCACACATGAGGTGTGCCACGTCCTCCGTACAAGTGCAAGACATGAGACAATTCGTTTTCAATCACAACGACTAAAAGGTACTCGCAGTGGGACGGCGAACGAATGACGGTATCAAGTCGAACATCGTGGCCGAAGAAAAACAAAATATTTTGTGCGCCATGGTCGATCGAGGTTTGCCAGCTAGCTACTCCATACTTTGAAGGAGCCTCACCGACATTTTGATACTGCATACGGAATACTCAGTAGACGACAACTACTGTGACGGGTACGGTAGTTGAATGGGTGGTCCCCCTGTGGCTCCTCCGTGAAGGCGCATGAAAGCCGCATCAAGGGAAGATAGACCTGCATCAAGTTTAGTTAGTCAGTCGCCTACCCAGCTGCTCGCGGAGGGACTATAAAAGAAGTGCTGGGCAAAAGTCTGTTGGTTGGACAGCGTGAGAGAGATAACGGACGCCGTACAGATCGTACAGATCGAGCGAGTGAAACGACAACTAAGGGTCATGATATCCTCGGTCAGAGATACCGAAATGGTGATCTCACGATGATATTTCGGGAGCTTCGATGCTGCGAGAATCACTGAGTAGCGGCGATGCAATAATAATGTGATGAGGTTGACGGGGACGGAGGGAAGCACGTACTTAGTAACAGTTGGTACCGCGCAAAGTTTGACCCCCCCGGGGATCGATCTGTGGCTCACTCTCTCTCTCACTCCTTGGGGGGCTCCGTACATAAGGTACCTACAATAGGTGGTTTATTAGTTGTACTGGAGCAAACCAAGTAACTCCGTAATAGAGAAAGTCGTTCTGTGTCTGGGCCCCAACACGACCCAAAAAACAATCCGCTTTGTTGGTGTGCCCCGCAACAGCTGCATCATCGTTTACGCCCACGCCAGAAAAGCCAAAAGCACCAGCTGGCCGCAAATATTGCCCCTCGGTGTTGTATTTATTTTCTTCTTGAGAACAGATTCCAACATCTACTACTCTCGATCCTACCCATATATACTCGAACATCTCATATCTTTGCTTCTTACCCATACTAAATACCTAGTCCAGATTCTCAACCGTCAACATGGGTTCTGCAGATCTCCCCACCAAGATGAAGGCGTTGAGTATGACCACCCCTCGAATGAAGCTGTTGTTGTTCGCAGTGTGTGAACTAACCACATCAAAACAGAGTACGACCAGCCGGAGAAATTCAGCGTCGTCGAGGTTCCTCTCCCAAAGCTCCGTGAGCACGATGTCCTGGTATGTGTAGACCGCAAAACAAAAAGGAAGAGCTGGCTGACGGACAACAAAAGATCAAGGTCAAGGCCTGCGGTGTCTGTGGTACTGACCTTCACATCCATGAGGGTGAATTCTTGGCCAAGGTACGATGAACAAAAAAGACCCGACCTCATGTCGGAGCCCATCGTGCTGACACCACCGTAATAGTTCCCCTTGATCCCGGGCCACGAAACCGTGGGTGTCGTCGCCGGTCTTGGACCCAAGGTCAAGGGTTTCAAGGTCGGCGACCGAGTGGTGGCTGACAACTCCGAGCTCTGCGGAGAATGCTTCTACTGCCGTCGTGGTGAGGAGCTCCTCTGTGAAGACTTCCAGGCCCACGGTGTCACCATGGACGGTGGCTTTGCCGAGTACTGTGCCTACCCGGCGAAGAGGGTCTTCAACATCAAGAACCTCACCGATGTCGATGCCACCCTCCTGGAGCCGGCCTCCTGCGCCGCCCACGGTCTGGACAAGATCTCACCCAAGATGGGCTCCAGCGTGCTCATGTTCGGTGCGGGGCCCACGGGTCTCGTCCTGACCCAGATGCTGCGACAAAACGGTGGTTGCCACGTCGTCATTGCCGCTCCCGAGGGTCTCAAGATGGACCTGGCCAAGTCTCTTGATGCCGCCGACGAATACGTCGCCCTCTCGCGCAAGGACCCCAGCGCACAATTCGAGAAGCTCAAGGCCGAGAACCCCTACGGATTCGACATTGTCGTCGAGGCCACCGGTAGCGTCAAGATTCTCGAGGACTCGATCAACTACGTCCGAAGAGGCGGCAAGCTCGTCGTGTACGGTGTCTATGGCAGCAAGGACCGCGTCACATGGCCTCCTTCCAAGATCTTCGGTGACGAGATCACCATCCTCGGGTCTTTCAGCGAGACATACAAGTTCCCCGCCGCCATTGACTACCTTGGTATGTATTCTCCACTTCCCCCTTCTCTTTTCGGTGGACTTGTTGACTGACAACTGTTCTGGTAGATTCCGGCAAGGTCAAGGTCAAGGGTATTGTCAACAAGACCTTCAAGTTGGAACAATGGGCAGAGTGCCTTGAGGCAATGAAGAACAAGAGTGCCATCAAGGCCGCGATCGTGTTCGACTAGAGTGGAATGGGCAGGAATGCGGTGACAACCTCGTCATTTCGACGCAGCCTGGCATAAAGTCGTGTAATATCCTCCATATCTGTGAACATAGTGAGCAGAGGAAAATTAAGTAGAAAGGGTAGATTGGAAAAAGAAGCGAGTTTGACTGGTGTAACCACATCTAATGTCAATTGTTCTGGATTGTCCTCGTCTCGTTCCCCCCTTTAGCCGAGAGGCACATGTTGCAATGACTTGGTCCGTACTTCAATTCGTCGGCCAAAGTCTCCGACCTCATTCCATCCTCCTCGTTTCACGACGTACGTGTTGCTCTTCTGTCCAACATTCTTGACCTAAAATGTGGTCCAAAGGTGCTCAAGTCGACTTTTAGAAGAGTTCCATGAAATACAATTCAATCGCGTTTCCTGGTGGTGTGATGGAACAACCCACTTCATCAGATTTGGTGCTCGGTCAATAAGATGCGTCGTCGCGATTATTCAGCTCCAAGGACTCGATCATTTACTCCTTTGGTCTCCTGAGGACCTTAAAGAATGACTTGTCAAGAATCCAATGACGGTAGGGAGTCGCATAGCGAGCCGGGTCAATATCGGTAATTGATGCTTCGCAGAGGAAGCGTTGCTGCTGTATCCCACGTTTTGGCGGTGTTGCAGCATCTCTCTCTCTCTCTCTCAGAACGCGAGACCCCGTGCTGTACTCACTCAGATTCACTCATCATCGGGATCCAGAAAAACTGAAAAGAACACATCTCCTCCGCTAGGACCCTGCATTTGGGTGTGGGGCGGACTGGGGAAAATGTTTTGAGGGTGTTGCTCACTCGACACTGAAGTCGGGATGAGATGAGTATTCCGCCTCAACACCATGAAAGACCACAGCGACGGCATCAAATGAATACAAAAAGGATACCTTTGGATAGCGCAGGATGAGATGTATCATCATGATCGAAAATGAGACTTTTTGAACGCGAAACGGTTGGGATATGGCCTTTCAAAAATTTTCCATAGCCTCATTGCATACCGTCCACCACGACCTCAACACCCTCACACTGCCTGATCAAAGTGAACTTTCATCTTCACCATCACTGCCGCCAGAAAGAAAATCTCTGTTTTCTGCCGCTCACTGCCCCAGCCTTTCTGGAAAGCCGGTCAATGGGAAAAGTACAAATACCTCTTCCGTCCCTCGTTTTTCCATTTCTTCTTTTCTCCCCAATACCATTCTTCTCTCTCAATAACAAACATCACGCTTGACTAAGATTCCAAACCAACAACTCAGATTCGTAACAATTCTACTGTTTCTTCTCTCGATCAATTTCTTACCCAATATCCATCTTCCCCATAACACCTCTTACGTGTGATATCTCTCAAGATGTCTCTCACCACTACCTTCACCCTCCCCTTCCGAAAGGCAACCACCCCGTCTCTCACTCTCGACCCGTGCTTCAAGGTCCTCTATGAGAACAACAAGCAGAACCTCACCTTCTTCGTCACCACCAAGGCACCACTCCCCTTGTCCGAGGTGACCAAGAGCAAGCCGTTCATCGGATACCTCTCCACCAAGGAGCCCGGCCCCGTGGTCGAGTACGACAACATGCGAACCGCCATCGCCGCCATGCGGGGATACCTGATGTGCACTCCCCACGGAGTCAAGATGATGGACTTTTACAAAGACTTGCTCCGCCTCCAGGGTCACTGGCTGATCGCCCTCGCCGAGCAGTGCGCCTTCGACACCTGGATCAAACTCACCCAGGCTCTCCTCATCGACCGCAACGACGACGCCCTCCTCGAGTCGGTCACCCAGACCATCCCGACCGCCGCCAGCAACCTCTGCGTCTCTGGCTTCATCGACCGCTACCAATTCGCCCAGCTCGTCCAGCACGAGCAGTCCCGCCTGCGCCTCCAGTGCCACGAGGCCGCCGAGGAGCTCTACGCCTTCAAGACGAGCAAGGACTTCTGGAACCAGCACACCAAGCTCGTCGCCATGGTCGAACACTGCGAGAACAAACTCCGCGAGATCCGCCAGAGATCAGCCCGACGCAAGACCCAGCGCATCGCCAAGTCCCGCGCCGCCGCAGAGTACAACAGCGACATCTTCACCCGCCAAATGGGCATGTCGGCGAGATACTTCCCTCAACCTCCCCACGTCACCCGGAGGGTCGACAACTGGATGACCGAGACCAGAAACCGCTGCTTCGGCCACCTCGACGCCAGACTGGAGGATTCTGGCATCACCTTTGACTCTGCCGAGATCTACAACAACAACGATCATGCACAGGCTGTCGCTGCTGGTGTTGTCCCACCTCTTCAACCTCACCAGACTCAGACTCAAATCCAGCCCCAGCAAGTTTAGACTTGAGGCATGCATGAACCATGACAAACCGCGAAGTGGTCATGACACCTTGATCATCATCATCGACCTTGGGTCATCCTCGAACATCATTGATCATCATCGACCTTGGGTCATCCTCGAACATCATTGATCACCGTCAGAAACAATGATCATCAAGTTTTCTGGACTTGAAACAACCAAACGTCTTACCTCATTCCTCGTCGTCGAATCAAACACCATCACCCTGTCCCCATCGATTGATTGATTGATCGATTTGACCCATGACTGACAGACCTGATCGGCATTGAATAATCAGGTACTCACCAAGGCTATAACGACACACTATACGAACCATTATACGACATTGCATGAGGTTTTTCGGTCTTCGATCTTCACATCGGGGCGTTTCAGGCGTCTTCAATTTCGAATCTCTTTTTTCCAAAACAACCACACAAAAAAAAAGTTTATTTCCACCAACAAAATCGCATTTGCATTGCATGGGTGCCACGAAAGGCATAAACGACAACAACATCAAATCATGTCCAACACCACCAAATGACAAAGTGGGAATGTGGAATCAGAGCTGGATGGGATGGGAACGGTCGGTCTTTTCGGGTGCTGGCAAAGGGAAATAAGGGGAAGTACAGTTGGGCCAAATTGAATCGAGTTGAGTTGAACTTGAGCTTGCAGAGCGTCGATCAATCATTGATCATCATTGTGTCACATCCGATTGGAAAGCATGTGTCTTTCTCATACTTGCATGCTTCATACTTGAATTCTGGAAAAAGAAAGAGAGAAAAAAATTTAGCAAAACCAACAAGTCCTACCCAAAAAAAAGGTTGTGCTTTCGGATGATCAGCGGCAAACAGCAAAGGGCTCTCTCTTCTATAACATGTGGCTGGCATGCAACGTGCATACTCATTACTGGATAGCAAAGTTCATGGTTTAGTTTTTGCTTTACAATAGAAACAAATTGCAACACACACAGAGGAAACTTCTTCATTTTGAAACAGTATTGTGATTTCTAGCCTCAGCAGTATGAGATGGCTATCTTCTTCTCTTTTTTTGGTCTTGTTTTGCGTGGAACTCATACCAGCCAAGTCAACCCTCAGTTCTTTTCATCAATCTGGCCATGATCGTTTTCCTCGATTCGCGCGCCCACGGAAAAAAAGAAAGAGAACCCGAGTGTAAGAGACGCGAGGCAAGTCAAAGCAGTCATGACTTGACCCGACGCTCCCCCAAGTACACACGCATACACCATTTGTTCCATGCCATCTTGCATCTTTGCAAAAAGGGATTTGCGCCCGATCTGCCTCTTTTTCTTTGTTCCCCAAAGACAACCCCCTTTAAAACTCGTTCTCCCTTGACCATTATCAGAGATGATCAAGGCACGTACACACCAGTACCCCCTTCCAACCACGACAACACCTCATCGCCCATTCATGATTCCGGAAAGTGCAGAGTTGTGAGTTTGGTTTTTGTCTTCTTTACTTTCGGATGGCTCTCTGGTAAAAGGCCAGCTCGTCACCCTCGAGGATGTAGCCGTCGCAGCGGCCGCTCTGACCGGGGCGCGAGCTGATGACGGCGTACAAGCGACCGGCCTCGAACTGTCTCTCCAGGGCGGGCTCCACCTTGCCGGAAGTCTTGAGTCTCTCCTCCCTCTTGGCCTGGACGCTCTTGCTGACCTTCTTCTCCTCGACCTCGGACTTTTGGCCCTGTCGTCGGCGGCCCAGGGAGGTGCCGTAGTGTGCCTCGTACCACTGTCGGAAGGGCGCGGCGTCGACCTGGACGACCGCGGACTTGGTCAGGGTGTTGGTGCGGACGAGTTCGTTGTTGCTGGGGTGGAAGGCGACGACGATGACTCGGACCTTGCGGGCCACACCTTCGCTTCCCCAGCTGAAGTTGCCGCTGTCGAGGCGAAGGGCTCGGTACTTGGTGTTGCCTCCTCGGGTGCGGACGAGGTGAATCCTCTTGCCGCCGATACGGGTGTTGGCCGGTTGACGTCCCTTTTCGAAGGCACTGCGAAACAAGAAACTCGTCAGAATTTTTAATCCGATCGACTGAAAAAGAAAACTCCCAAAATCTCTCGTCGTGTGGTCTTCTTCGCCTTGATCATTGTTTAACTAGACTTGCAAAACACGTACCGCTTCTTTCTGTAGTATGCTCTCTTCGCACCAGTGGCGCTACGCTTGTGTCTTGAATCTCTGGAGATACCCATCTTGACTACCGGTGTCGATTTTCCAGCAAGAGTAGTCGAAGGTCTGGTTTGGGCGTTGACGAGGTGAGGGAAATTGTTTCGACGGTTTTACCTTGGACGGGTTGTTGAACCTGCCGCAGTCAAAAACTCGAAAAGGTGCGGTGTGGTCCTTCTTGGCGTAAAATGCCAAGATTTTTGTGTGTGCGCGCGCACCGCACTGCCTCCCACCACTTTTTCAGTAATTCGGCCCTCCGCAGTTTCACAAACACACAACCACCACCACCACACCAAAAAAACCCCCTCTCCTACAACCACAATCCGCCGCATTGTTAAAGCGACTTCACGAATAGCGCCAGAAGCTCGCAACAATGCTCATCCCACGCGAAGACCGCAAAAAGATCCACGAATACCTCTTTCGTGAGGGTGTCGCAGTCGCCCAGAAGAACTATGAGTTGCCAAAGCATCCCGACATTGATGTGAAGAATCTTTATGTTTGTCTCTCCCTGTACAACTTGAGAAACGAGGGTGGAGTTTCCCGACAAGAGACCAGAAAAAAAAAGTCTAACAAATCTCTCTACTCAATAGGTCATCAAGGCTTGCCAATCCCTCACCTCTCGAGGTTACCTCAAGACCCAGTTCTCCTGGCAATACTACTACTACACCTTGACCCCCGAAGGTCTGGACTACTTGCGCGAGTGGCTTCACCTCCCGGCCGAGATCGTCCCCGCCACCCACATCAAGCAACAACGGTCCCACGCTCCCCCTCGCGGCATGATGGGTGGTGACGAGCGCGAACGACGTGGCGGCGGCCGTGGCGGTCCTAGAGGTGACCGTGAGGGCGGTTACCGTCGTCGTGACGCCGGCGGCGAGAACAAGGAGGGCGGTGCTCCAGGCGAATTTGCTCCTACCTTCCGTGGCGGATTCGGCCGTGGTCGCGGTGCCGCTCCTAGCTCTTAAGGGAGACTCTTTCTTGCAAACCGATCTACGCAAAGGAAGCAAGGGCAATGGGGCATGGCAAAGGATTGCTAAGGAAAATCAGGAAGCCGGGGCAACTGTTGGACGGAGTTTTCTTTTTGCATCCAGACATTCCCAAACCTCTCTCCACATGCGGTGTCTGTGTGTCGAAAAAGATGCCCGCTGCTGTTGCTGTGATGAGCATGGTCAGGACTTGACATGCAGACACAGAGATCATGCGCACTCTGAAAAAGCTTCTAGCTAGAAGACTTGAGATGAAAAATACAAAAGAGCCTATTGTTAAAACGGCACTCGCATTTTTTTCTCATCCCTGTTCTCGTGCACTCGTCGATTCCATTGATATCAATTGTATCCATATATACGGAGCATCTAAACACCCATCTGGCGGGAGACCGTAGAAGGCAAAAGTTACGAGAGAGTCACTGTATACCTTACTTTACTGTATCTTTGGTCTATTCGTAAAAATCCCCCCTCTCGTATCTCATCTTGTCCATCCTCAAAACGGATTGTAACAAGACATTTGCCCCTATGGCACAATCCTCCTTGTCCGTCCACTCGACCGGATTGTGACTGATTCCATCCTTTGAAGGTACAAAGATCATTGCTGTCGGACAATGTAGGTTCGTACGAACACTGTCATGACCTGCTCCACTCATCATTTTTTGTACTTTTTGATGGCTACCACCACCATCACGTAGCCCCCCGTGTTCTTCCATATCCCCCAGCACACTCAGTGCGCTCTGTTCGACACATTCGATGGCTCGTTCGTCGAATTTGATCGCATTACTCGCAAAGTCTTGTTGGAGAGTCACCTCGGGGCCACCGTCTTTATTCCGTCCTGTCGCGTTCATCATGGTCTTACAAACTCGATACAAATTCTCCTCCATTTCAGCCAACCCTTCGTCGGTCGGATGTCTCATGTCCAAACTCATCTCGACGAGTCCGGCAATGGTATTGACGCTCCCCGGTGAAACCTTCAACCTGCCGAAAGTGACGAGGCCTTTCCCGTCCGAACAACCGTGTTTCGCGATCTGGTGTACCTTCAACATGAGTTGTGCCGAGGCTTGCATGGCGTCGACTCGACTCGACATGTCGGTCGTACCCGCGTGCGCCTCTCGACCCTTGACGACGATCGTAAACCATTTGTAGGCTTGGACACCTTGGACGATTCCAATTTTTTGTCTCGACTTTTCCAGCCTGGGGCCTTGTTCGATGTGAAGTTCGAAATGAGCCCCGACTCTTATCCCGGCGTCAAAATGTGCAGGGACGTCACCCAGATACCCAATCCGTTCGAGATCTTCCTTGACGGTACTCGTGGTCGTAATGACACTCTTCACCTTCCACGCATCATCCAGAGATATCTGTCCGGACCACACACCACTCCCCATCATACTGATGGGAAACTTTGCTCCCTCCTCGTTGGTCCAGTTGATCACCCCCACGGGACCTTCCGTTTCGATTTGATTGTCGTTCAAGGTCCTCAACATCTCAACACCGGCGGCCACACCTAACACGCCGTCAAACCTACCTCCGCTGGGTTGAGAGTCGAGGTGACTCCCGGCGAAAGTCGCCGCCGCTGCCATGCCAGCATTCTCGTTGTTGATCGTGTTGTCTCTCAATCCGGGCCGGATGGCAAAGATGTTGCCAATCTGGTCGACGTGCACTCGACACCCCAGTGACCTTGTGGTGTCCACAAACCAATCTCGAGCTTGTTTGTCTTCTGCGCTCAGCGTCAGTCTCGCGAGTCCTGCGGTTCTGACATCATCGCCGTTGTTGTTGCCGGACGTGGCAGCCCTGGGCGCTGTCCACCTCGCAGTAGAGTGAACCGTGTCCCATAATCGATCAGGGTCGATCTTTAGATTGAATTCATTCAATCGCCACAATTCGGTCGTGGTCAAGAACAAAGAAGGCGTCGTTACGAAACCTCGTTTCAACAATCGTGGTCGTGATCGTGGTGCCACTACATACTTGATCGTCTGCGAGGACGACCAAAGCACCCGGCTCATCTTGTCTTGCAGGAAACAGGGTGATTTCCAGTCATCAAGAAAGACTAAAAGGCATCACTTCGCCTACCTAAATGATTACGATATGTTGATGGGCGCCCTTACTATTCTCTATTTACGGTACACGTCGAAGTCCGCCTTGTGATGGGGGTTCGGTAGAACATTCAGCCGATATGCTGTAAGAGTATCCTGCAACAAAAATCCGAGGAAAAGGATCCAGTATGCCTGGCCTAATAACCACAACCTTGTTGCAGAAGCATCGGTTCAACATCTCATTTGAATCTACAATGTCGTCAAGGACATCACTTCTCGTGCCAAACTTTTCCCGCATTGAGCGAGCCAAATCGGAGTGCCTTCATCTCCGCTGTTGTGTCCAACTTCTCTTTTTTTTCAACAACGCTAGTCATACCATGTCCTTTCCTTTCTCCCACGCAGAGACATCCCTCTCTTAACTTGTGTTGCCCGGACAAGCGGAGACTGAATCCTTGCAGAACCGTTCGGTGGAGGGAATGTCTCTCGAATCTGGTTTGCCCGGGCACTCTGAAGCCTTGAAGGAACTCGTACTCCTCAGCGGTTTGACCTGCGTAGCTTTCACCCACTTGTCGTTCATAACGGGAGAAGGTACCGAGGTAGTCCAAAGAGGGCTTCGTTTACTGCGCTGTCACGCGTGCCGGGCTCGAGCGATTGAAGAAAGCTCCGCACTTCCGAGAAACCGTAGTAAGGTCAAAGCGACTGTATCTTTGTGGTATCTTGCCACGATTGTCCGTATGCTCTCAACGCTCATTCCCTCGCTCCACAGGGTACACCTTTACCAGCTTTTGTTGCTCTTGTGTGTTCGGTGCGATCCCCAGCATCCCTTCAATCTGGTCCGAGAACAGCAACATGGCGGAGGCATTGACCATAAGGGCAACCCCTATTAAGCCTCGGGTTCTCGGCGGCAAGCCTTTGTAGGAGCTGAAAAAATGGTCAGCGAATGTCCTACCATAGCTCTTCGACAACAACAACACAAGGTGGTTCAAATTCTTGGGGCAGGACTTACGACCAGAGAGACATCTCGAGAGATTGATCTGCGAGGTTCCCGACTATCGAGCCTCAACTCAAGGCTAGTACAAAGTAGATTGTCGAGGCAGAACGCTCACAAGTTCTGCTCGTACTGCGACAACTACCCAGAACAATTAAGCACAATCCCTCCTTCAATTAAGCCGGAGTTTTGCCATAGAATATTCTGTCAAGCAAAGGTTCCAGCGCATGTAAACACACGGCAGAGCATTTACGCCTTGAAGTGAACGGCGATTGCGTGCTCAAGGCGGACACCAAATGCTGCCCAACTATTGGCCGGGAAGCGTGTCGGGTTCTACATTGCCCCTTATTGCTGAAGATGCACTGATCCTGAGTTGTTCAGCCTTGCTGAGATTGCTAGAAGTACTCCTTTACATCTATACCAATGCTTCAGGTTTTGAAAGCCCAAAAAATGCGAGTACATAGCATAGGATGCAGTGCCGGACAAAGAACCCCGCACTTGGACATGTGCGCTTGGTCCCTCTCTCTTTTCGGGTTATCGGCGGCGTGCGTGAGCGACATGGCGGTGGGAGACTCCTTGTCCTCGCCTTTCCCACCTCGATTTCCTCACTTTCATGCTCTTGCCCTACAATAGCATCGGGTACCGGATCAAACCTACCTCCTAAGTGACATCTCTGCATCGCTGACTCGTATTGTCATCGGGTTGACCCCAGGTAGCCTGGAAGATGCCGATCGTAAGTAACAATAGTAAACATTTCCGAGACACACCTGACTTTTCAAAAGGAAAAGATCTGTCCTTTCGACGATGGAACGGTCCAGAAGCCAATCAACCGCGAACCGCACATGATAGATCTGATTTCGAGGTAGGGGAAATTTGCCCCGGTACCTTCGGTTCATCATCTCAACTAATTCGACAGTTTCATCACCAAAAGCGACCACTATGACCGCAATCATGGCCCTATTCAGCACAGGATTGGATCAGAACACACAGTCAAGGTGGACGGACTCGTGTCCAGGCAATTAAATTTGACACTTGACCAGCTTGTGAATGACTTTCCTCAGTACTGCGTTACCTGCACACTTCAGTGCGCCGGCAACCGAAGGCACACCATGCGGACTCGAATCAAGGAGGTGGTCGGTGTTGATTGGTTCGACGGTGCCGTGATGAATTGTACGTTTGAGGGGCCCCTAGTTCGAGACATCCTCCTCGCAGCTGGTGTGGGAGAAGAAGATGGTGCCATGCAGCGCAACGTCGTACCGAAACACATCCATTTCGCAAACCATGGAGGCAAGACCCAGCACGATGAATGGTACGGTGGCAGTATTCCATTCGCTAGGGCCATGGATCTCGAGATGGATGTGATCCTGGCAGTCAAGGTATGAACCAACGTGGATATTGCGTGCAACACACACCCTCCTTGTGGTCAGATAACTGATGCCCGCTCTTTCTGCGACAGATGAATGGCTTGCCTCTCGAAGCTCGTCACGGCTTCCCTGTAAGGGCAATCGTTCCGGGGGTCCTCGGAGCTCGTTCTGTCAAATGGCTCGACTCCATCACGGTCTCGGACCAGGAGTCGCCCTGCTTCTATCAGCAGCGAGACTACAAGGTCTTGCCTCCGGAAGTAAGCGATTCGAAAACGGCCGAAGGGTATTGGTCGCGTTGTCCCTCCATGCTCGAGATGCCTATCAACGCCTGTGTCGCTTGGCCAGTCTCCGGTTCCACCATCAAGCTGCCTGCTTCTGGCTTCATCGAGGTTCTGGGCTATGCCGTGCCACAGAGCTCTCACGGGCCCGTGATCAGGGTGCAAGTCTCTGGCGATGAAGGCAAGACTTGGTCGGATGCGCAGCTCGAACATGGTGGCAAATATGCTAGCAAGTGGACTTGGGTCCTGTGGAACGCTAGGATCAAGATAGAGAAAGGAGAGGGCAGAAGAATCTTCGCCAAAGCTACTGATTCCGGGGGCTACACCCAGACCGAGGAAAGATCCTCCTGGAATTTGAGAGGAGTTGCTTACAATGGGTATGAGGCTGCTTTCGATTTGACTGTTATTGAGGAAGTTGATCGTCAGGCGGTCACCACACGTTTCGATGTGGCAAGATTATAATGCTGTCCCCTTCGAAGCAGTTGGATCGTTCCGGCATGAAGATATATTCATTGCTGGAGGTTGGATTCGGCTTGGGCATCAGTAATGGATCGGCAGTTATTCGTAGTACAAGATAATCGCGACACCATAGTCTCACTCACATGTTGGGCATCAATGCACTGTAACCTGGAAATATTAACTGTAGATCTCTAACATTCAATTTCTTGCCGAGCTTCGACTGAACTCAATCGAGACGAAAAGACGCAGTACAACCCAGTACCAGAATAAAATCACTGTATGAAGCAAAAACGTGGTCATCACATCGACCGTTGGCTCATAAGGCAGCCGATTGGATCGTTCAGTAGGTGTGGACATGCCTATTGACGGAATGCGCTCGGCCTGCTTTCTAGTGCCTGGATAAGCACAATGGTCTTGTCCAAATAGGTGGACAACATCCCTGCACAACTGTCAGGCTACCCACACCCGAGTGCGCACGGCTGGCTCGGGAGCGGGCGCGGCAAGGGTCGCTAAATCATGTCATGGAACCAGTGCTGCTCATCCAGGACCAGTCAATTCGGGGTTGGTGAAGCAGTGCAAAGGGTCGACGAAGGGGTTGTCGATTTAGAACGTGACCAGTTGTTGACCCTTTGGTGGCATGTAGAACATGCAAGTAATTATGGGTACGACTGCATCAGCAGGATGTCAAACTTGATTGTGAGGGCTTGAGTCTTGGGTACGGAGTACTTGTGAGAACAATGGCGAAGTGCTGTACTCCGGACTCCTTACAGTTTGCATACTGTTTGCCAGTGCCAGCAGGCTGGGGCCGAGAGCGGTCATCGAGTGAGGCTTCGTCCTCCGGCCGGTCGCTCGGGCCCCGTGCAAAGAGGGTGTCGAAGATCAACCCATACGCCAAGCACGGACTTTGAAGGTATTAACTGTCCTTCACCCTGTACTCGTGCGGATGGCTGCACATACGAGGACATTTAGTTAGTGCCGGTGTGAGCAACGGGGAGGCGATGGGCTGCGTAATCTTCGTCATTCACACTCCGAACCCTGCTAGATGCTAGACATGGCCCACGTTTCCGGAGTTTCGAGGGCTCTTTTGGGGGGCATTCCTCAGGGGATCCAGGCTCTAACCCGTCACTACCTAGGTCTGTAGCAGGGGCCTGAAACACAGGCGAACTGGGGCAGCGGGAAGGACTTTTAGTTATCGTTTTTGACGTCTCTCTTTGTACGAGTCCAGCACGGTTAGCCGCACAGGAAGAAAGCTGTCAAATGCTGCAGATGTCCAGACAGACGGTGCAAAAGTAAACTTCAACGGACAAAAGCGTGCAAAGACGTCGTCGTGTTTACCTTGGTCCTGGTTTCTGAGAGAGTCTGGTGATTCCAGGAATGTTTGTGATAGTGGCCCTGTATGCGACAATCACACGGCCTAGTGAGCCACCGAAGACCACGGTACCCTGGTAGCCGACGGAGATAGAAAACCAGCACCACAGAGTCGGCTACAAGGTTGTGTGGGCATTTGGAGAGGAGGAATCGAGAGGGACTGGTGGGATTTGAGGGAGGAATCCACCACGATTCTTCAAGTTCCTGTGAGGAATAGTCGTGAGTAGGGGTACAGAGTACAGGTCATCTTGGTACGAGCTACTCGTGCAGATTATTCGTGTTGTAGATGATCTCGTATGTTCTACGAGTCCATAGTAGCGATTCGTGATGGGTGGCATGGATGGTGATGGTGGTGTATGCGGTGGTTTTTCCGATGGCACCGTCCGTCAGCAAACAAAAAGTGCGAGCGCAGTGCTCCGTGTTCCAGGGTCGAGGGCATACAGACATACAGCAGAACAAACTCTTTTGAGAGAGGTTGGAAATTTAGATATACTAGTACTGTGAAGAAAATGTTTGATATTACATATATAATCACCAAAAACCCCCCTCGAGTCCAAGCCGGAGTTTGAAGCCTGAAGCCTCTAATTCCCAAGGCCCAAGAAAATCCGACGCTCGACTCCATTTCAAGTGTAGTCCCGTTTTTGGCCTTAGAAACCTGAGAACCTCCATCTTGCGAAGCCAATCCATCTCTCCTCACTCTCTTCCTTGTCTACAGCCATCGGCATCTTGTCAAAGTCAACTTGTCTCTCCTTCGTCCGTATAATTTTGTGTTTTACTGGCATCGAGAGAGAGTGTGTTGCTGCTGCGTTGCTATCACAGCCCTTTTTTTCTGACAATTTTCCACAAAAGTTGCCGTCTTTCAAATCGTTGGAGTTGGCCGGGTTTCTGTTTTTCTGACTCGATCTCGGAGCTGTTCGTCTCCCACTTGTTTGTCTGGTGACTTTTTCCGCCCTGCTTGCAGTTCTCCTGGGTAGTTGGCTGACCATGAACAGTACTGTTACATTATTGTACCTCGACTCCTGTCCGATTCCGACCTTCCTCCGTCGTTGATTATCCCATCTCACCATGGCGAGTGCTGCTCTACCCTCTCCGAAGCTGGATCGGTATGTGGTCATCCATGTAGCCACGACTTGCGATGAACATGGGGTCTACGTGACCAAAGACTCGGCAGAAGTCATTGAAATGGGCTGGATCCTGCTCGACAGTAAGACTTGTGACGAGGTAGGTGGTGAACTCGGTTGGCAAAAAAAACAGAGCCGGCGTGAAGAGACAAGGAACACCACAGGGTTGACGAGTGAATTAGATCTATCGAGAGAGTGTCTTGGTGAAGCCGATCAACACACCTATCACACCGCTTTGCAGTGAGTCTTTGTGTCGGCAGAATCGGGGCGTTGCATAAACTGACCTTGGGATCACAGCCAGCCTCACCACATTGACCTGGGAACATGTTCGCAATGCCGGCTCCTTCCGGGACGCCGTGACTCGGTTCGACCACTTTGCCCAGGAGCATCTGATATCCAAGAATTTGGAGTTCTCCTTTGTGACACTGGATGCCTGGGACTTGCGTGTGCAGCTCCCCCGAGAGGCTCGCGACAAATCAGTCGTCCTACCGGCTTACCTGCAACACTCGCGCACCTTTGACTTGCGCTCAGAGTACGCCCGTTGGCAACAGCACCATCCAGAGTCCCTGCCCTTCGGCCCCAGCTCCCTAGCAAACATTTGTGCTGCTCTCGAGGTGGAGCCTGTGCAATCTTCGGCTCCAATCAAGCACAACCTGCCTTTCCATCTGCAGGCTCTGGCGCCTGCCTCCCCTCGCCGCGCCATGGAGGAGGCGGTCACTCTTGCCAGGGTGCTGCGCGGCCTTATCCGGAAGTCCCAACCCGCGCATGAGCACCCGGATGTCTTGACTCGACCCATGGACGCCAGGGCTGACGTGAACGCCTTTTTGAAGGAACGTAGCAAAGTCCTCCACATGAACGGTCTGCCGCACGACACCACCCAGTCTGAACTCGAAAGCTGGTTCACTCAATTCGGAGGAAGACCCATTGCTTTCTGGACCCTCCGTACTCCGGACCAGCACAAGCCGACAGGTTCAGGGTTTGCCGTCTTCTCCTCGCACGAAGAGGTACGTTGCACTGCCGCTTCTGTCGTTCCCTTCATATTCAGGTCACTTCTGCATTTCCCTTCTGTCAACCTGACGCCACAGATAGACATTTTGTGCTGACATATTATCTTCCTTGCTCTAGGCTGCTGAAAGTCTCTGCATGAACGGACGCGCTCTCAACGAAAAGGCCATCGAGGTCTCGCCTTCATCAAGCCGAGTCCTCGATCGTGCCGCCGAGATTCTCACACCTTTCCCTCCAAGCAAGAATAGACCTCGACCTGGTGACTGGAATTGTCCTTCATGTGGCTTCTCGAACTTTCAGCGCCGTACCGCATGCTTCCGTTGTTCTTTCCCTGCAGCAGGTTCGGGAGGTGGTGATCCTTACGGCTACAACGCCTATGGGTATGCACCACCACACATGATGGGTCACCATCCCCATATGGGTGGTCATCATGGTCACGGCATGGGACATCATGGCCGCGGTGGCGCTGGCCCTGTTCCTTTCCGTGCTGGTGACTGGAGATGCGGTGCAGAAGGATGTCAATACCACAACTTCGCCAAAAATGTTAATTGCTTGCGCTGTGGCGCTCCCCGTTCGGGCGCCGCGATCGTTGTCGATTCTTCTTACCCGTCACCCATGGGTCCCCCATCAGAGTTCGGCATGGGTCCTGGCTCTATGGCTAGCACTCCAGGTCCTACCCCCTACGGTGCTGGTGCTGCCGCCTTTGGCTCTGGTGCTGCCTTCGCCCAGCCACCGCCTAGCCAGTATGGCATGCCTTCTGGCATGGGTGCTCCCGGCACTGGTTTCCCTCAAATGGGTGGCATGGCCCCTGGGTATGCCTCAAGCAACATCTCCCACTCATCGTTTGGCCCCGCGGCTCAAGCTGCTTTCAGTGGCGCCACCGACAATACCGCTCCAGGAAGCATGCCCCCTCAGAATGGCTTCTACGGCAGCGAGCAAGGTGCGGACCCGTTTTCGTTCCTCTCCGCCGGCATCCAAGGCCTTAGTGTGGGCGATGAGAACCAGCCGCCACGCCGCAACGGCGGCCCTCAGACTGCTAAAAGTCCTGCTTAGAAGGTCCAACCGGACATCGCCCTCTGTCATGGAGTTCTTGATTCCAATAACGACTTCGACGACACAACTCATGTTCAGCAAATGGTGTTCAGTTCTTTAATCATTTCATGTACTTGACTCTTGCAGATTCATGTACATGTGTTCTCTAGTTTGTATCGTGAATATTGGCGGGCGGTGCTGGAGGTCAGGCTGGGACTGGGGATTCTTGATGGGAATGGCACATGGAACGTTCTTTGCATATGACGAATGGACGGACCTAGACACTTTGGCTTTATTTTTTTCTTCTTCCTCTTCTTCGAAATTGACGGCTTGCTTCACTTTATCTGCCAGAAAAAAGCCGGTTGGGCGGAGAAACAAGGAGCTTCAAAGGTCTAGACAAACAATACCTAAGGTTACAGGGCAAGGCCAGGGATGGAGTGTCGTGTGTCTGCTATGTGTGAAATGTGAGCTATTGCCGGCATAGCGATGGAGCATGAATATTTTTTGATGCCAGCGACCTTTACGAAACAACTGGTGTATGTGTGTGTGCAGGTGAACGGTTTTTGAAATTTGATGTGTTGGAGGGTGGTTGTGAGGCCTGGAAGGGAAAGAGAAGAGAAGGAAAAAGGCAGAGGGCTCAATCAATCAACGGCTGGACGTTTCTACTCACCGAGAAGTAAACAGGGGGAAAATTGCGATAGGAGACTGACTGGCAGATTGCAAGCCTTGTCGATATTTTTATCTAAGACTGTATCAAACAAAGATTTATCTCTATCTAAACTTTTCGACTGTGCCTTGTACAGAATCTTACATGAATTTTGAATATCCCTCTCTACACCTCGGACTCGACATTGACCAACCCCAACGTATGAAGTTGGGACCGAAACGCCTGAGAGTTCTAGATGTTTTTGTATCATATACTCATTCCATGTGGCGACTACCAAAGAATTTCTCTCGGGGGAAATTTTCTGCATACCCTAGCTAATTGAGAGCTATGTCAACATGATCTGACCTGCGGCTATATCTACGGAGTACCTCGAGGTTCTTCCTCGACGGGGAGGGTGTGTGTGTGAGAGAGAGAGAGAGAGACAGAGAGAGAGAGAGAGAGAGACAGAGAGAGACAGAGAGAGACAGAGAGAGACAGAGAGAGACAGAGAG